TCTTCACTGACATAATGACACTCCCAGCTGTTTGTGCGCGAGTGGGTTATGTGTTGATCCCATGTTTCATACACATCCTATGATGATTGGGACAGCGGTGATCTCCTCCAATACTAGTGGCGATCTTATGTCCGTGGCTCCAGCTGGTAGAGTTGGCCCCGTTCATTACCTATCACACTTTCAGCGCTAGGCTATCTACTCTCTAGCTGGTTCAAGAAAAGGGGGACGGTTAGCGGGTGGACAAGAACGTGGAAAATAAATGGCGAGAGCAAGAGGTAAAATGAGGAAAAGTGTAGAGAATGAGGGGGAAACAAAGAGCCATAATTACGGAGTACAGGACAGAGTTTGAAAGAAATAATTAAAATCAAAGATATTCATCGTCAGGAGACACCGCTTGGGAAGGCAGGAGGGCCTTCTACAAGAGATCAACCCTACCGACTCCCGTACAGCGTGCTCAATTTTAGGTGTGACCCGGTAGAGAGGTAGGGTGCGATGGACGGTTAGGAGGCTGATCAACCATTTTCCCCCCGTCAGCCTTCGAAGCTCTGATACATGGAACACACGAGGTAAGGTCCCTTCCGTGATACAGCAGTTGTATTTTCTATTCACCTACCTTGTATCTAAGGGATTTCGGTTCAATAAGCATGGAAATCAGAATCAATTTGACGAACTCCTTTTACTCCGTACTTCCCGTCCGCGTGGCTGATCTCTGGAGAGGTTCCAAACAAAAGGTTCTTCGGTGGGATTGTAGTCGATGGCTCCGTTAGGGACTCCGTAGATAGACATCAACCGGATAGCAGCGGTAGGTAACACTGCGTACGGAAGGTGTACGGCGTCTGAACTCTGTAGGTACTGTAAATCTTAATCATACATGCAGTTTACCACTACTGAAACAGAAAACACTCTACCAAGATTCCCCGACAGCCCTCTTTAGTCCAGACCTAACGGTCGCGTGTGGTGTCGAGAGGATCCTCCGCAAACCAATGAAACCCGGCGTTTCAGAGTAGACCCCACCGAACCATTCCTGTTGGGGAGACACCACCTCCATCCAGGTTTAAAAGGCGGTTGAGGCGCATGGAAAGAACGTTGACGGGATTTGTGCTCAGCTCCAATGGGCTGCCAGGGTGCAATTTATCTCGCAGGATGCCCGTACCACCTTTCATGTTGCTGGCGACCTTTTTCATTTTCCAAATCTGCGCCCCTCCGGCTTCTGATTCGCCAGGTAACATGGATTTATCCCTAACTTGGTCCGTTGTGTAAGGGAGCTAACCTTAGTAGATCAGGTCAGCCGGCACTAACGTATCGGCATATGCCATCCTCTGTAGTCTGGAGTCTGTATGCCCAGTAGCCCAGGCTCACTAACTGGTAGTGGTGGTTGGTGACTGGGAAAGCAGAATAATTACTGCTTTCATGTAATTCTCGCAGGACTATCAGGAGATGTACTCACCCCCATGCACCGATGCCACTTCCTTGGCATAGAGTCGCCGGATCTCTGGTGCTGACTCTGTCATTCCGGCTGTCTGCATAGATCCGGGGCATAACTAGTGAGCTAGTCGGATGACTAACGCATCCATGTCTGGTTAACTTAGTTCCTGTTCATATTAATGGAGAATATTCTCTAACCCCGATGAAATACGGCTCAAGTTGGTAAGCCGCATCAACCCCAGGTCCGGTCTGTCCGCCCTCATGCTTGGCGGACAAATTGTTGCAGGCGACTCGCGTATACTACTGGCTGGGATTCCTTCACCACCGCTACCTGCAGGCCAATAACATATATCTGATGACCTTGGTTGCTTCACCGATGCGTTGAACATCGGACCCGGGGCCGGGGATGTCCTGATTCGAGCCGGAAGTCGCGGTGCTGGCCAGGGATAGGTTACAGATTTGTCTGCATCGATTTCAGTCAGGACTAGTCATGCTTGACTGGTCTGGTTTGAGCCGTCCCTCTCCCAGGTAGTATACGCGTCCCGTTTGCTGCGGAATATTCACGTCTGGCTCGCTGGGGTGAAGAATATATACTTCCATAGCGCCCGGCGCCCGCCCGTGATGCTGTTTGCTACTGCCTCGAGGAAACTTGCCGCTGCCCAGGTATCATGCCCCAAGCAGATGAAATTGAGATGGTCTTTTGATCATTCCATAATCATGGGAACGGAAATGCCCAATCAGCTGAGAGGGGCAATAGATCATGCATATGACGATAGTAAAGTAATTAATAGGAGTGGCAGGCGGCATTGGAAAGTCTTCACAGAATCATAGTCCGTTATGCTTCAATAGGATAGACCTCGATTTACACATAAGAGAGAAAAGAGAGAGCATGGACATTGATCTGTATGATTGTATCGCTATCAGTGTTATCCCAGGATGTGATGGCGGGGTAGCCAATGGCCAAGTCACGGGATGGCGGTTCTGGTCTCTACTGACCGCCGTAAATTAGCATCGAAAGAGTCACAATTCGGAAAGTGGGCAGTATCTGTTCGATAACCAACGCTTCAGTCTTCCCCGGCCTCTGCACGTCTTCTTTCCGTTCCTGCCGTCAATCTCTGTGGCCCTACGACTGCAGCCATGGCGACCGATATGACGAATCCCGTTTTGGGCGCCCTGTCCGCGTCCGATGCGCCCATTCTGTCCAACGAAGCCTTCCCCTCCACCCCCTCCTCGACTATCAAAAGTGCGCTTGACCGCCTAGCATCCCGCCAGATGGTTGAATATGACACCGTGGAACGAGAAGTCGCTGCCCTGACGAAGGAGGGCGAGGAGATCGCCAACAATGGCAGTCACGAGGCTAAGGTCTTCGAGGCGGTTGTGGCTGCTCTCGACGGGTTGAAGATCGGCGATCTGCCCGGGATTGTTGGAAAGGATAACGCCAAGGTTGGCCAGGGTAATGCCTTCAAGCGAGGCTGGATCAAGAAGGACGGCGCCCTGCTGCGGGCTAACACCGAAACCATTGTCGACGAGACTCGCGAGCAATTGTTGACCGTCCAGCGCACTCAGACCCTGGAGGACCAGAAGGCGCTCTCCGACCTGAAGCGACGGAAACTGGTCTCCTTCCAGAAGGTGATCACTTTCAAGATCACCAAGGGTGCCAAGTATGCCACGGAATTCGTCAAGGAGGAGACCGATCTCACGGTCGAGATGCTCACGAACGGCTCGTGGAAGACGGCCAAACTAAAGCCCTACAACTTCAAGGCCAAGGGAGCTCCCACCCCGGCCGGTGCCTTCCACCCCCTCAACAAGGTGCGCCAGGAGTTCCGGAATATCTTCTTCGAGATGGGATTCGAGGAGATGCCCACCAACCGCTACGTGGAGACCGGCTTCTGGAACTTCGACGCCCTCTTCGTGCCCCAGCAACACCCCGCCCGTGACCTTCAAGACACTTTCTACATCTCCGACCCTGCGAAGGCCGACCCTCCCCGCGAGGACCCCGAGAACGACCCCCACCGTCCGAAATACGTCCAGCCCGCCTCTTCCTCCACCACCGCGCAGAAGCCCCTCGACTACAAGCAGTACTGGGAGGACGTGCGCGAGGTCCACGAGAACGGCAAGTACGGATCGGTCGGATACCGCTACCCCTGGAACGCCGACGAATCGTTACGGCTGGTGCTGCGTACACACACGACGTCGGTATCGACGTACGTTCTGCACAAGCTGGCGGCCAACCCGCGCCCCGCGCGCTACTTCAGTATCGACCGCGTGTTCCGTAACGAGGCGGTCGACGCCACCCACCTGGCGGAGTTCCACCAGATTGAGGGTGTCATTGCCGACTTCGGGCTTACCCTGGGTGGCCTGATCGGCTTCATGGAGGTCTTCTTCGCCAAGATGGGCATCCACCAGCTGCGCTTCAAGCCCGCCTACAACCCCTACACCGAGCCCAGTATGGAGATCTTCGGCTACCACGAGGGTCTGGGCAAGTGGGTAGAGATCGGAAACAGTGGTATGTTCCGACCGGAGATGCTGGAGCCCATGGGTCTTCCCAAGAACATGCAAGTGTACGGATTCGGACTGAGTCTGGAGAGACCGACCATGATCAAGTAAGTTTTCCCAAATTGCACTCCCTGCATCAAATCCAAATTTCTGATAATTTGTAGATACGCCGTGAGCAACATCCGAGAACTTCTCGGCCACAAGGTCGACCTTAACTTCATCGAGAGCAACCCGGCCGTTAGATTGGAGAAGGACTAGAGTAGACTAGAGAAGATACAGATGGGACGTTGAATTGACGTGGAACTGGATACGAAACGGAGAGACAAAAAATAAAACTTTTTTTTTCATCGTTATACATGATATGGTACGAAATCACACGCATTTCTTAGAGAAAGTATTTAAATCGAGGGAATAAATAGCAAAAGAGAAGACCTACATTTCCAAGACCTGAGTTTGCAAAAGTACGAGATTCAGAGTAGTGGTTACAAACATGAACATTCATTCCAGGATAAGTAAACCCACAAACCTATCGAATCCGTACGTGCCTAGAATGGAACGCAAATCTACAAATCCCCGAAGCAAGCAAGGCCAAAAGCCAACTAAGCAAAGTAAAAAAAAAAAAAATCAAATAGTACTAGAGGAAATGTCCCACCCGTATCTGTGCCCCAGCGCACATCTCTGCAGAAGTGGCTCTTCAGTAGGCGGGATATGAATAATATTCGGCACAGGGTTCAGTAAGAAAGGGAAAGCAAGTATTACTTTTTGGTTTCTTACTGAGATCTGAACTACCTCCTCGCTCATAGGGACGGCCCATGGAACTCGGATGAATATCTCGAAGATGTTCAATCTGAGAAGGGCGTCGGGTGAGGGGGGTTTGATGGGCCGTTTTTTTTTTTTTTTTTTTTTTTTTTTTTTTTTTTTTTTTTTTTTTTTTTTGGTTCGAGGGATCTTGGGAGGAGGGATTGGGGGAAGAAAGGTAAGGTATAGGGAAGGAGATTACAGTTGGGTTTGGGCATGGTAGGAGGGGAAAGAATGGGACATAGGAATGATCGGTATGACAGGGACGATATTGACAACGGAAAGAAACCAGAGATGGATTTGATTAATTGACTGTATGAAATTCTTTCATTCATGGTTTTTTTTTTAAGGAAATTCTTAATCATATCGGCCGATGTTATTAACCCCACAAATTCGGTATAAAAACATCATTGATCCTATGAACATCATTCCATTAGCCTCTTATCTTGCGAACACATTATGTCTGCCATTCTACAACAGAGCCGACAGAGATGGAAAGAAAAGAGAACATACCATCATGGTTATCCCCCACCATCAAAGTCCACCCCAGAAATTCTCAAACACCCGTAAATTCATCATTTACCGCTGGCGGTTGGCGGACCAGACGTTCTTGAGGTAACCGTCACGCTGGGCGAGGCGGTTGAAGGAGTCGTCGCTCTCACCGCGAGCACGGATGAAACCGCAGAGAGCGTAGGTGTTGTTCTCACCGGTGTAGCGGCCGTTCTCGTCAACCTTGCCAACGGAGAGCTGGACGGAGGCGTGGTCGTTGGCCTTGATGATGCGGTTGGTGGCGCTGCACTTGCGGGGGACGTAGCTGGTTGGGAAGAAATGTTAGTGTGAGTTCTTTTTTCATCATGGTTGAACGTTGCAATTTTTCCTTCCAGGTGCAGATCGCATTGGCTCCGAAGCTTGGGTTCCCTGTTGTCCTTTCGCTTGTTTTTCATGTCTCTTTGAATGCAGTTATAGCATGCAAATTGGAAAGAAGAATTGGGAACCCTTCGCTGGCTGCGATAGGTCTGAATATGCCTCTTGCCCTCTCGCTGTCGCCTTGTCTTCGCGAATCCACCAGCCCGTAAAATGCGAATATGGACAGCGACATGTCCGTTCCTGACTTAATTCTTTCCCTCCTCTTGACAACCACAAGACCAAATCGCAAGACAAGACGAGTGACGAGACACAAGGACATGTTCATTCCCTAGTCGCCGGAAATCGATCGGACCTTTTCCTCCTCCCTGCAGGGGAAAATGCAAAATCCCCTAATAAAGGAGAGAGAAAAAAACGGTGACAACATACAGATCGACAATCTCTCCCTTTTCGTTCTCCATTTTGGCGGTTGGTAGTGTCTGAGGTTGACGACGGTGAGAATTCGGAGGGGGTGCGCTGGCGGGTTAAACTGGCGGACGGTCGTGAAAATGCGCGACTCTTTTGGGGCGATTCCGGGCGACGGTTGTGTGGGTCATGTGATCTTTTGTCGAGGGCTACGGTCGTGTTCCCATTGGGGGAGGGGCCGTGGCGGTAAAGCAGTGCCCTACTTTCCCGTCCGTGGTTGTACGCGATCTAGACGGGGGGACCGGGTCTCCGGTGGCTGCTCCTGACCCTGGATGCCTGATCCTTGTAAATTGTTCAACATTCAAAAGTATACGATATCTGGATAGTTGTCTTATAGATGGCTTTTTTCTTCCCCGCCATCCGCTGGAAATACCTCCTTCTTCCAGCAAACTTCGAGTTGGCGAGCCGCTCCTTGCGAGAAACGTACCAAGACAACTCGGTCGGATTCGCCACGTCTATCACTGTCCTTTAATTCCGGCCCGGGATGGTCCAGAGCGAGCACCGTCCGCTTGTCGGACGTCATTTTGAGCATCTTCGGAGATATGCACTTCTCGGTCCATGGGGGAGTACCCGAACGTGCGAACTCGACCAGCTGTGTCCGTCGGTTCTTCAAATCGTCTACCGATGTTCCGGCACGAGGCTCCTTATCTAAGAATTGCGACACCAGGTGCAAAAGCAGAAACTGCGGCGGGAAAAGCATGATCTCGCCCTGTTGCGCCATACGAAGCCATTCCGACGCCGGCAAGAATCTAGCCTCGGTGACTTCGATGCCGCCGTCGCTCGTAGGCACTTGGATTTCCTCACGCTCTCCTTCCGCGGGAATCTCATTTAGAAGTGATTTCTCGGCTTCGAGAGGCAAAGGGAGGAAATACAGGTACATTTGCGTGGAATATCGCTTGGGCACGTTCGTCGGGGTGATCCATCGCGTGAACGGCATCAGTTGCTCTTCAAAAGATCCAGTTAGTTACTCAAAACGGAAACACGGGCAGACTTTCGGAAAGTACAGTAGAAGAAGTAGGGAAGATCGAACCTGTATCAGGAACAGCCGCAGAATCCAGCCCATACAACCAATCGGCGAAAGTGACCTCCTGCTGATGAATCGACCGTCTGCCCTTTTCCCGCTCGTCCTCCGGAACAGTTAGCATCTTCCCGGAGGTCTTGTTCTTGGCCAGCAGGATTCCGCTCTCTTCGAACAGCTCGCGGAGCGCGGCTTGTCGGTACCAGGGACCATCGTCGTGCCTTTTCAGGTCCTCGACGGGTGGACATGGTCCGTCTTGACTTGATAGGTTTCCGCCGGGGAAGACGTGAGCCGAGGCAAATGACGTCGAGGTCTTGACGCGATGGAGTAGCAGGATCTCGTTCTTCGGAGATACCAGAATGACACTGCATATCGTCAGTCATTTGTATCTTGACTGAAATATTTGTTGCAGGTTGTAATTTCTGCTTTTCTTTCCCTTCACGAATGACTTAGATGGAAAACAAGCTCGGCTAACCTTGAACTCGGCCTTGGGGGCGATGGCTTCGCCTTCGGCTTTTGAGTGCCTCTTTGCGATGACATGCTGCGCGACGAAAAGACTCCTTTGGTTTGGGATACCGATGAGGCTCTACCAATAGATTGGGTCAAATAAAGACAAGATGTAGCTCGTAAAGGTGTATGCGTAGAACCTGTCGGAAAGGAGCGTCGGATGAGTCCTTGCCGGTTGATGTATAGCGACTTGGATAGTGTGAATGCGCGCCGCGGCACATGTGCGGGGTTGACCATGTCCTTGTATGAAGAGCAACCGAGGTGCAGCTAACTTTGATTCTAGAATAAATAAGGAAAGGAGGAGCAGGATCAATTGATGAAGGGGGAACGAGGACGCATGCCAGGAACTACTACTAGTACTCCGGAGAACATAACCTTGGCAATGGCTGGGAGAACCTAGGCTGACTGTTCCCCCGCGGGTAGCCGGTTCAGGTTTAGACCGCCTCTCTCCGACAAGAGTATGAGATTGAGACCGAGCGAAGATTTACAAGTACGCAGTTGCAGAGCTAAAAGTGTTGAGAACAAGTGATAAAGTCTAATTCATAGTTCAATATCCCAATTGCATAATCATGGTAAGCATGAAATGCTACAGCAACCAAGAAAGAAAAACAAATGCCCGCACATATCCACATCTAACTCCTAACCCTCATGCCAGTGAACTTTTTTATTTTCGTATCACCACGTGTCATCGTGTAAACCGGTCTTTGAAGCAAAGAAAAGTCCCGAATAGAAGAATAAATCAACCAAGCGCATTATCTAGTTCATTTAAGAGTAGAGCTTCTTGTCGTAGCTGTGCAGACCGTGGACGTTACCCTCGGCCATGGCGCTAGCGCTTCTCATTTCAAAGCGGACAAGACCCTTGTTCACACCGTCGTGCAGAGCATCAAGGCTGGGCACACCGATGTCCTGAAGAGAGTGCTGCACACCCGCAACGAGGTAAGGGATGAACTTGGTGACGGAGCCACGGTCGAGGACGGAGCCGGCAACACCCTGGGCGACCATGACGTTGTCCTTCTCCGAGAAGTACCGAGCGGTACCGGCGTTGCCAGCCTTGCCGCCGGCCTTCTTGTCCTCCATGACGGCGATACTGCCCATGCCACGGTAGGCCTTGACCAGCTGACCTTCGTTGCTGACGAAGTACTCACCGGGAGACTCGGTGGTACCGGCAAGGAGACCACCCATCATGACGGTGGAGGCACCCATGGCAAGACCCTTGACGATGTGACCAACGTTCTGGACACCACCGTCAGCAATGCAAGGAACGCCAAAGCGGGCGGCGAAAGAAGACACGCTGCGAACGGAGGCGGCCTGGGGACGGCCAACAGCCATGACCTCCTGGGTGATGCAAGCACTACCGCTGCCCATGCCAATTCTCAGGCCATCGACACCGGCGGCAATCAAAGCCGCGGCTTGCTCCCGAGTCACGACGTTTCCGCCAATGACATCAATTTCGGGGAAGGTCTTCTTGACCCACTTGATCATTTCGATCTGGTACATGCTGTTACCCTGGCTGCTGTCAAGGATGACGATGTCAAGACCAGCATCAACAAGCAGCTGAAGACGGTGCTTGTCGGCATCACGAGTACCGATGGTAGCAGCGCAGATCAACTGCTTCGACTCGGGAAGCTTAGAGGCCAGAGGATAGTGGAGGTTCTTCATCAAGTCACTGCGGGAGAGCAGGGAGACAAGGTTTCCGCTCTCATCAACGATGGGGAGCTTGCCCTTCTTGGAGCTACGGAGAACCTCGTTGGCCTCGGCCAAGGTGGTGCCAGCAGGGGCAGTAACCAGGTTGGTGGCCATGATGGCGGTGACTGGGTCGTCAAGGTTGGGGTGGAACTGAATGTCACGGCTGGTGACCATTCCGACGAGCTTCGAGCGGAGGGTACCGTTCTCTGTTGACAGTAACAGGATTAGTCATGAGTTCTTGCAAAAAATGTGTGGAATCAAGAACATTAAAATGCAGGATACATGGATCAGATAATAATCTGTTTCTCTACAGTGCAACTCTCGCTGCTCCAGTGGAACGAAAGTTATATGAAGAAAGATGGAAATCATCACAAAAATTTGCAGCTGGGCAAAAGGGCAAGGGGAGAATAAGGCAAAAAGTTTGATAACTTACCAGTGACGGGGAAACCACCGAATCCCCACTTGGTCTTCAGATCCCGGGCTTCTCCGACAGTAGCCTTGGGGGAGAGCACAACGGGGTCCAAGATGAAGCCGTTCTCGTATCTCTTCACCTTGCGGACCATCTCAGCCTGCTCCTCGGCAGTGCAGTTGTGGTGGATGACACCCAGACCACCCAGCAAAGCCATGTGGATGGCCATGTTGTGCTCGGTGACAGTGTCCATGGGGGAGGACAGAAGAGGAGCCTTCAAGCTGATGCGCTTGGTGACGGGGGTGTCCAGGCTGACATCGGAAGCAGGGAAGCCTGTCATAAGGTATGAATAACTAGGCACCAAACGACTGCAGAAAAAGGCTCATCGTCGTCTTACCGATATATCCGGGCAAGATGAGGAAGTCATTGTAGGTCAATGCTCCGTGCTTGTCCGAATCCAGCAGAGTATCAACATCCAAACCATCTCTGGAGGGGTAGTCCTTCTCCAGAACTTCCAGGGCCTTGGTGTGATCCTGGATCTCGGCCTTCATGGCCTTGCCAAGAGCGTCGCCGTTGGAGATAGGCATTGTGGAAGAATAAAAAAGATTCTAGAGTTTTCTATCGTAACTCGTAGAGATCAAAGAGGGGTTAATCAACAGATCGACGATAGAAACGTTCTGTTGATGGAGAAAGTCTTCCTTTCCCAAAGAAAGGAAAGAAAGAAAAAAGAAGAAAAATCGGAGGAGAAAAAAATTGGCTTTTGAGTCCTTGCAACCTGCGCCCGCGCTAACAATTTTTGCAGCCACTAGGCCGCATGCGGATAGGCGCCAGACCGAGCTAGGCGCCGTCCGCCCTCATTGGCCACTAAACGAATGCGGCCTGAGGCGGTGAAGCCGAGGGGTCGAGGGGCAGCGGCTGATGTAATCAGGGCTTTCCTTCTGTCGCCTGGAGACTGTTCTAGTAGCGTGTAGACATCGACCTCATTGTTGGCTCTAGGTTATACTGGCAAGCCCCCAGCGTTCCACCCGAGATTCATCGCATATGCAGGAATTGGTCCTCCTAGATTCTTCTTTCATGCATACGAGTGCATTTCCAACCAATCCAGCAGGGAACACCGGCCTAAATTAGGGCTGCTGGTTAGACAGGCCCGAGGTCTTGGTAGCTGTCTCAGAGTGGATAAGCTTCTGTCTCACCCCGGACAAAGTCCCCGGAAATAGTATCCAATGCGGGATAAGGTCTTTCAAACACCGTTTCCTGTTGGCCGAGTCAGCCCTATACTCTTCTTGCTGAGACCTCGAAGGAGAGAATTGTGTATACGACTGGATCACCGTCGACTTTCTCTCTCAAAGCTTTATGGTTGACGTGATTCGGTCTATGGCAATTCAGAACAACTTCTGTAGGATACAACTCGTTAACTGGTTTCCCGACACGTTTGGCCGTTATCGGATCTTTATCTTCTGTAATCTGAACACTAACTGGAGCTGAAGTGATTGAGTGATCCCTTTCATCGCCCCAGATGAAATCTGGGCGGCTTGTACAAGCCTTTTATATTGACATCATCACCTAGCACAACGAGTGGAACAGGACCGACTAAAACGTGGCATCGTGGCATCGAGGCATCGAGGCAATTTTACGGTCCTGATCTCCCCTTGCTTAAGTGCTTCTATGCTGTCCTGAGTAGGCCCGACAAATAATACTGCCCACCGGCAGATTGCAACACGAGACAGGATAGGGGAATTATCCTGGATACCGGTGCCATTGGCTACATTGCGTCCCGTACAGTACATGGGCTTCTACAGGCCGGTTCGCAACCCGCAGAACAGTACTCGCCACGTTTGGGTCAACTGAGAACGCGACTACAAACTTGGAGTGAGTGAAGTGGTGATGGCTTGTCGAAGGTTAAACATGTGCCTGATATAACTATTCTGGGTGCTTTCAATCATATGGCTCAATGTAAACGAGCTGTTATTGTTAACAATTACGGGACGAATGGGCGAAAGATAAGAGCTGACAATTCGAGCATTCGGGAGTGACAGCTGTTATTCACATCGCTGCCCCTATATCTTCAACATTCACAGGCCCCAGCGCAGTTCCCGCTACGGCGTTTTTAGTATGACAGGCCTCCTGGACTCTTGTGTGAGTGTTGCATTCATACTGGAATAAGGTTGGTTGGTGGCTTGAACTAACAATATCTGACGTAACATATGCAGTTTCCAGTTTCCAACAGCCGTAAGAGACTCTTTCTATTTCCCAAATCGCTTACGTGCATATACACTTGGCATAATGGCGGTTACAGGGAGAACGTGGACATTGAGTTATATAGACTCTGTGAATAAGGTTCATTATGACATGTTCTCGGAAGGCCTTAGATTCTTGCTTTCTTAGAAGGATCCGTGTTCGCTTTCTCATTGATACCAATCACACAGAGCCCCTCGTCATCCACTCTGTACAGGTTCGCCTTCAATAAAACAAGTTTCTTACCCACATGCTTTAGGCTACATACCAGGCGCACCTCGTTCCCCACCGGGACAGGCCGCAGGTAAGTGGTGTGCAGGTGGCGGCTGACACCTCCTTGCGAGTAGAGGCCTGGTTTAGACAATGCGAGCAGAAAGAGGGTGCTGAGTGTATCGATAATGGTGGCCACGCATCCACCATGAAGGTGGTGGGTGTAGTTACACATATCCTCCGTCACGACGAAGCCAAAGGTCACCGAGGGGGGAGAACTGGCCCCTGATCCTGGGGAGACTGCTTCGATTCGCGCATTGTAGTTTTCGGGGTTGAAGTCCCAGCCCTGGATTGGATGGTTCATTAGTCACAATGACTGGGGGATTTATGCACTATGCCCCAGAGATACAAGTGACGTACTCGGCCCTTAGAATCCTGACAGTGTCGCTCAAAGAAGCCGGATACTTTTCTCTCAAAGTCAGGAGGTGCGGAAAGTACCCCGGTCATGGCTGTGATGGGAGGGAAATCCGTTGAATGTAGGTAGCTAGACGGAAAGGTAAGACTGATGACGATAATCTTCAAGAGTAATTGAATGCGGCAAGTAAGCCAAAATATATGCCGTGCAGCTATGTAAGGGCGGACCGACCAAGAAGATCACACTAAGGGTCGCTAGCTCTGTTACAGCGAATATAACAAGCCGACACCCCCAATGCTGAGTCGGCCTGATCCTCGAGAAGAGAAATCCCAATCCGACCAAGCTTACACTCATAAGAGCCAAAATGACAGCCGAGGAGCTCTCACCAAACTCCAAACCCAACAGTGTAGCCGTCATTGGCTGTGGTAAACTTGGCCGTCGCATCGCTCTGTCCTGGTCCCGTGGTGCAGTTTCTGTCAGGATCTTTGACACCGAACCGGACCGCGCTGTCGAAGCTTTGAACTGGGTGCAAGATACTTTGGGAGACTCCATATCTCTATCCAACGAGACCACAGGACATGTGGAGATTGCATCCACACTAGCCGACGCTGTGCAAGATGCGTGGATGGTGATCGAGTCGGTCCCCGAACAGATCTCTCTCAAGATGCACGTTTTGGGCGAGATTGACAAGCTCGCGCATCCGCTGACAATCATTGCTACGAACTCCTCGTCGATTCGAAGCAGCAGGCTGGTCTCCAGTCTAAGTGATGAAAGACAATGCCTGTTCCTCAACACTCATTACATCCGTCCGCCTGAGATACCGATCGTGGAGATCATGACATGCGGCCGGACAAGTGCAGCAGTCACCAAGGAGGCCGCTTCCCGGATGGAGTCTGTGAGACTAGAGCCCTTGATAGTCGAGCAGGAATCGACGGGATTTGTGTCAAATCGCATCTGGGCGGCGATTAAGCGCGAGGTCATGCTCGTGCTGGCCGAGAGAGTGTGCACTGCAGAGGACATTGATCGCGTGTTCAAGGCCAATTTGCACGCCGCGTGGGGGCCGTGCGAGCTCATGGACATGGTCGGTCTGCAGACAGTGTGCGATATCGAAGACGTTTATATCGAAGAACGCAACTTGCCTACCTACGGGGTCGACTTCATCCGCCAGAACTACGTGAGAAGAGGGCACCTGGGCCGAGACACAAGCCGAGGCTTGATAGACTGTCCATCGAAGCCCCAGCCCGCATCCATTCGAGATCAATTGCTTGGGAGTTGGGATCTAATGGAATTGACCGCCATAGACCCCAACGGACATCAGCAGCACCCATTTGGACACAGCATCCAAGGACGACTCATATACTCCGCTGATGGGTACGTTTCTGCGACCCTACAAGTGCCAGGACAAACGCCCTTTGGAGGACGAAACCCACGGGCTGGGTCAGAGAGCGAGCTGGCAGAAGCGTCAAGACGGTATATGGGGTACAATGGGACTTATTCCACGGAGGAGAACACCTCTACGCCTGTGGTGATTCATCGAGTGCAGTATTGCAACCTTCCCAATCTCCGGGGACAGACTGTGCGGCGATTTATAGACCTCAAGACTGTGGGTTGCGATAGATTGCTGGCGCTTACTTGCGAAGAAGCCTCGGCGGACCTCGAAGGGGGTCGAGAGACTCTGCGGTGGCGCAAGGCGACTCAGGATGGGCCTTAATAAGGTTTTTGAATAGAACATTTAGCCTGTTCTTTGCGCCGCAGGATTCCTTTTCTATTCTTCTTCGTTCCCTTCATAGAAGTATCTTGAATTTGCCGAAGCTTTTACTTTCCGTTGCCTTTTTATTCTCCAAGTCTAGAGTGGCCCATTCAAAGACTTAACTACGAGTTCACAAAGCTCCTGCCAAGTCGATTTACCCAGATTGGAAATAGCCCACATCGTCTCTGGTATAAACCATTGGAGACCTGCGATGTGACAGCTGACGGGGTTATTCAAAGCAGAGTTCGAGAACCTAACCCGTGCAGAGCATGTAGTGACACAGAGATTCATCCCTCGAGTCAATGTGAGATAATGGATGGAGTTTGTTGGAGTGATCAAGCCTATGACTGGTGTTAAAATAAGCAAACAAAACAAAACGTAAGGGCCGTAAAAATAGAAACCAACCAACGAATCAATCGCAGTAGCCCTCTCATATATAGCAGCCCGACTGCCTTTGTATCTTTGGGAAAAGAAAAATAATTATACCATTTCCTGCCTGGTGAAACTAGCTTCCGCATGAAGCCGCATGTACCATACAACTTTCTACGGGCTGAGCTGGCAGACTTGGCCACATCTACAGCCGAATTGGGGAAAAGAAGAAGATTCTTGTGACGTATTCCAAGGCTGAGCTGATCTGACAGTCTGACACAAACAAACATAAAGATGCGTAGGAGGCGCTAATTGATGTACAGTGATAGGATTAGCTCAGATATGCCTTTGTTCTTTTTCTATCTTTAGTATTATTTTAGTGTTACAATAGTATGGCTGTACATACTATTGGGGATTTTAGTTGGGCATGCACTGTACATATGAACATGCCCCGATAAGAGGCCTGGCCAACACATTCAATTGAAAAAAATCCCCAGATTCCAAGCCATGCCCCATCTCATTTCATTTCATAAACTTGAGCATTCAATGTCACGATGGCTCCACCGACGTTTCTGAACCGAGTGGCCCCGTGGGCCTGCCATCCATCAACAACATCATCGTCAACCGCCAGCAAAGATGAAGAAGGCGTGCTTCTATCGGTGATCAAAAACGAGACCTCGATTCCTCCTCTGCAGCTTCCCATCTACTGCATCCTTGCCTACATCATCTACAAACTCCTCCTTTACCCTCGATTCCTGAGCCCGTTGCGCTCTCTCCCTCAGCCAAAGGTACATACATACACCCAGCTATCTATATCCTCAAACTTTAGGGTTCTATCCTCTAACAACCCCCAAAAGGGCGGCTACCCCATCCTCGGCCACGCCTTTTCTCGCTTCGAACAACCCCTCGGCAAAACCTACCTGCACTTCATGAACACAGTCCCAAACTCCGGCCTCATTCTCTTCCGCGACCTCTTCCACACCGACCACCTCCTTCTCACGTCTCCTGAAGCCCTGGCCGAGGTTCTCGTTCGCAAACCCTACCATTTCGATAACCCGCCTGAGATTCGGCTCTTCACGAGTCGGATACTCGGGGGCGGGTTGCTTACGTCCGCTGGGGGGACGCATAGGATTCAGAGACGACATGTGATGCCGAGTTTCACGCTCAGGAATACGAGACGTCTTGCGTGGTTGTTTTGGAAGAGGAGTGGGGAATTGGTTGATGGGGTGAAGAGGGAGATGGAGATTGATCTCCTCCCGGGTGCTGGGGGGCCGTCTGGGGATGAAAAAGGGACGGTGGTAGATATGAACGTCTGGGCGACGAAGATCACGCTGGATGTGTTTGGGGATGCAGCGCTGGGTCTGGAGTTAGGGCTTTTGAGGGGGTGTGACCATCCGATTGTGAGGGCATATGAGGGCGCGTTTCGGTCGACACCCGGGAAGGATCTCCTCTTCTTTGCGGCGATGGCGAGGGTGGTGGATTGGATTCCGTGGGCTGTGGATAGGGAGTTTGATGATTCCACGGCGTACCTGAGGCAGTTCTGCAGGGAGGCTATTCAGAGGAGCAGGCAGAGGCAGGAGCTGAAGAAGGAGAGGGGTCAAGAACAGGACAATCAGCCGGATCTGTTGTCGAAGATGTTGGCGTCGGGCAAGTTCACCGATGAGGAATTGGTCGATCAGTTCTTGACGTTTTTGGCGGCCGGGTGAATCTAATTCCTCTTGCATACTGGATATTTGAATAGATGCTGATGCTGATACTTTCTAGACACGAAACAGTCGCCGGTACATTCGGTTGGGCCATCAACCTCCTCGCCAGCCATTCCTCAATCCAGGATCGTCTGCGCGAGGAACTCCGCCTCCACGCCTCGAGACCCGGCGATCAGATGGCCGAATCTCTGGAATCGCTGCCTCTTCTGTACGGAGTCTGTAACGAAGCTATCCGTCTATACCCGTCCGTTCCTATCACGCCCCGGGTTGCGAGCCGCGAGACCTCTATTCTGAACTATACCGTGCCAAAAGACACGCGAATCATGATTGCCCCATGCGCCATCAACCGGGCACCGCACCTCTGGGGTCCGACGGCGGACGAGTCCGTGCCAGATCGCTGGGTCGATGCGGCCACTGGGCTGATGAACAAGACGGGCGGCGCTGAGAGCGTGTATGCAAATCTGACGTTCCTGCATGGAGCTCATGGATGCATCGGGGCGGATTATGCGAGAGCGGAGTTGAGAGCCATGGTGGCGGCTTTTGTGCTAGCCTTTGAGATGGAGATTAGGGCTGAGGATCGGGGGAAGGTGACGGTGAGAGGGAGGTTAGCTGCGAGGCCAGGGGACGAGGATGGGAGGCTGTTGATAAGGTTGAAGGCTGTTTAGTTGTCGAGGATTAGAAGAGGAATGGAGCGAAGGAAGATATGATATAGATATGCCATTGGCCTGAGTAGATTTTGTGATGATATCTTAGAAGACATTCATATACCAAATATAAAATAAGTTACTAACTTCGATCTGATAATATCGTCATTTACAAGCTTATACGCTTGAATACTAGACAGCAATTAAATCATTTTTATTTTCTTGTTTTATTATAGTGTAATAGTTAGAAAATTTGTTTTGTCGATAAATCAGATTATTATAGAAATTAAAAAGATATATATTAAATAATTTTCGCAATAAACTTTTCTATTTCAATTTCATATTTGCAGTTTTCTACAAGCGCGAATGATAGAAAATTGAATGATTTTGTAGATTAAGAAGTAAAAAAAAGAAAAATAACGATTAATCAGTTTTAATTCAATCAGTAGATAATGCGCTCTCTATTAGAGCTTGTTCTTATCAAAATGCATATATCTTTTAGTTAGCAAGACATATTCGCTACATTTTGCAAACTTTAGATCCATTGCAAAAATGTATTCATCAGCATCTGCTATAAGATTTAGTCGTTAGATGACTTTACTAAACAAAGCTATGAGCTGATCGTCTGTAAATTCTCTTTTTTTAATATTTTGTTAATCACAAAACTTTAGATCATTGTGAAGTGCAATGTTGGATGTCAGGTTGTCAGGTCTGGGGTGCGAATTAAAATATGTTTTTTTTTTCTTTTTTTTTTTTTTGCGTTGAGTTAGATCCTTTCTCAAGGAATTGGTCCTTCTGTCAGCTATAAGAGGGCCTGAACCGGGAGACTGGATCCCGCTCGGGGGGGATCTCTCGGAGCGAGAGCCATTGATCTCGAAACATAGCCTGGTTTTTGAGACAAAGGCGATTCCTTCGAACGGGGCTGTAGTTACAGTCGGCAGGGACTTTTTCGTGCACTGTCAGGTCTGAGAAACCAAGTGCGTTATGCTTAACTGCTGCGGTAACAAGTTTTCTTACCCACCAGGTAGTAAGGTCTTCCACTGCGAAGTTGTAGAGGATTAGTATATCTACAGCCCAGCTTAGACCAACCCTCACGCACGTATCATTGCACGTGGAAGCCACATCAATTCAGGAGATTGAGGCTATATGATCTATCATGGAAAATAGATCAAGAACCGCAGTGCTCGTTTTGTCAAGGACTTTTCTTTTGCCACTGCCGAAGGATTGAGTTTTGTCCGTTCATACAGGCATAGAAGACGTGCTCTTGCCGTGGTCCAACAAACAACAGCATAAGTATAGGCATTTTCACGGTGCTGATAGCCCCTGGTTCTCATTCGGACACTTGCCCTTTGGAATGCGAATTCAACGCTGGCCATTTTAAGACACCTGCGCTAGAAGAGAAGTGAGAACACGATATGGCGGGCTCTATCCGCAAAATATCAGACCAGGATGATACCAAGCGCCATTGCCGCCATATCAGTGAGAATCGGGACTTGAGATGCCGAGTTTATTGGGCTGATCTAAGATTCGCAGCCATAACATAAGGGGCCTTGCCAGTTGGGGCTCCTGGGACAAATCATTGGCGTTATAGTATTCTCTTTGTCCAATTCTTTTCGAGGGTAAGCAGGGGAATCGACGTTAGCTGCAGTCTTCCAGAGCTGTACAGGTATGGTCGAGGCCGTCTCCCCGCGTCAGGAGTTTTATAGCAGACGAATGGATTGCGATGGCATTATCATCAATTAACTCCATCTGACGGTGCTATGTGTTTCCAAAAGTGAACTTTCGTTCCTGTCTGATTTTGTTACCAGAGCGATATGGCCCAATTGGTGCAAATGCCAGTCCTTGTGGCCCACGTAACGTGGACATAATCTGTTCTATGTACGTCTCCTTGTCCACTGTTTCTTTTTTCAGGAGGAGGCTGATGTTTGCTGGAGGAACGATTGTGTTTTCGTGTATAAGCCGGATTTGCAAGCTCTTTCAATCTGTCAGGACTGTTTCGAGTCCTGGATTGTATACCGAGGGCCCCATGGAATTCTGTTAACAGTGTCACAGGTGCTCTCGCAAAGGCACTCTTCAACAAGGCCTTCTTCATGCTGAAGCTGGATCTTCATCAGATGGTGATCGATTGGATCATCGTGGATAGACTGTTTGTTCCCAGGTAGCTTTATTGTGCACTTTCCATTCTACAATACAAAAGCGTAGTAGATTTCAGTATCACGGTTTCTGGCATCTTCCATTCGTTCTGGAAGACTCTCATGAGTTCTTAGAGACTTTTGAAGTAAAGCGTATCTGGTTCAACTTGCGCTTTGTTTGCACGTGGAGTTTCATGATTGTTTTTTGGGAAATTCGTCTAGGGAGAGTTAGCATGTATCCCGTCAACCAAGGTAGTTATTGAGATTGATACTACGGGTATACACACCCTTTCAAGCTGAAAGTCCAATGACTAACTGGCCCTTGGGCTCGTGATAACAGGATATAAGGCCAATATGTTTCAATTCAACCGCAAATGAAGTACCCCTAGGACACAGGTACTTGTAACGAGCAGCTAATTCCTAATCAGTAACAACTCTGGAACGAAATACAATAGAGGACAGGGTAGTTGCAGTAGCAGATGTACTGGACTTGCTACCAGGAAACAGAAATTAGAGAACAGAAAAAGAAACATACATGTGTCCATCGTAGTTCATGTCTGCTCAATTTTAAATGATTAAAGTCCGTAGCATCGACAGGAACAGTGGCTGGGGCCGGGACAGGTGACCCAATTATCAACGAGAAGACGATGCCAGAAGCTGCAACGAAGCCCATAAGAAATTTAGGCATTTCTGAGTCGAGTCATTCCTGTTTCTTTCTATGGTGATACTGTCGCTGTTGTGGTTGCTTGCTGCCTTCTTCCAAGCTGCGTCTTGTTCACACATCTAGAGCCATCAATTAGTCTTGGATAGGTATAAAAAATCGGCATGCCGACAAGGTATGTATGTATGTATGTCATACATGTAAGCATGGAAGGAAAGAAGGGAAAGCGTACATAAAAAAAACAGCCATCCGGGCCATTCGAGGGCTTTCTCTCGCCGTAGCCTCTAGTATGGGTCTATTAGGCTGTGGCGATATCGATATCCATGTGGGATGTTGTACATAACTGAGGCTTTGGTGTAGCTTTCATGGGCAAGCTATTGTCCCTCTGATTTGAAGAGGATGAAGAAGATAGAGATAGAAGAGACAGAAGAGGGGGTGATTCAAGTCTTAGCAGCGAGATACTCCCTCCTCCAGTGATAGTATAGCAATCAGTGAAGTCGTTTGCTCGGGCTAGTTAATAGGATAGGAATGTAGTGATATAATCCCATCCTCTGGGTATATTCACCACTGACCTGTGATCTACTTCCTATTTCATATTCATCGCCACCTTCACCCAGATATCCAATATATCACCTACGAGGTTATTTGCCAGTGTTGGTGGTGGAATGCCCGTGGGCAAATCAATCGTAATGATATTATATACTCATAGACCTGAAATATATGCTAGAAAAAGACAAAAATACAACATCTAATCCATCCACGTCACCGACTTCGTCCACAAAAACTCATCCAACATGTCGGATCCGAATCTTCCGAATCCGCTGTTCTTGACGCCGCCGTGAGGCAGAACCGACTCGTTATGCACCGTCATCGAGTTGATGTGCACAGCCCTGTACATCCATTAGCATTACCCCTGGACCAGAACCCTTGGCAGAAAGCAAGGAAGAGAATGAAGGAAAACTCACCCAGAATCAATCCCCTTAGCCACTCTCAACGCCCGGCCCAAGTTCTCCGTATACACCGCCGCACTAAGCCCATACTCGGTATCATTCGCCAACGCCACGGCCTCCTCGTCGCTGTCCACGACAAACAACGACACCGTGGGCCCGAACGACTCCTCCGCGTAGATGTCCATGTCGCGAGTGACGCCCTCGACGACGATCGGCGCCAGACGCGTATCCGAGGCCGTCGGGGCGTCCGGGTCACCGGCAATCACCTTGCCACCTTTGGCGACGGCGTCGCGCACCAGGTTCCGGTTCTTGGTCACCGCCGCGGCGTTGATCACGACGACTTCGCCGCTGCCGCCACCGGCGATGTGCTTGATCGTGGCGTTCAGGACGGGGCGGAATTGGTCGACGATGGAGCGGTGCACGATGATGCGTTCTGTGCACATGCAGACTTGGCCGGACTTGTAGTGTGTTAGCTCGGGCCCGATGCAAGTAACCCATGCACATAGGCAAGGGAAAAGATGACTCGGGAAACGTACATGAATAAACGACCCCAAGACGGCTCCCAACGCCGCCTTCTCCAGATTCGCATCATCCAACACGATGGTCGGCGCCTTGCCGCCCAACTCCAGAATCACAGGCTTGATGTGCTGCGCCGCAATAACACCGATCTTGCGTCCCACGGCCGTGCTGCCCGTGAAGCTGAGCTTCTTCAGCGCCGGGTGCGCGATTAGCGTCGTCGTTACCTCAACGGCGTCCTGCGGCCGCGAGTAAATGACGTTCAGACACCCGTCAGGCAGACCCGCCTGGCGGAATGCGTCACCGATAGCCCAGAAACACTTGGGCGACAGCTCGGAGCCTTTCAGGACGGTGGTGTTACCGGCCGCCAGGGCCAGGGCAACGGAGCGGGTACCAAGAATGTAGGGTGCGTTCCTGGGCATGCATTAGCTGCTACGCCTTATACGGGAGGGGACTGGACTAGGACTTACCACGGCGCAATTCCCAATATCACACCGTACGGCTGCTTGTAGATGATGGCGCTCTCGCCCTCGCCCGCAATTGTGGGCACGGTGCCCACAATGCCCGAGATCTTACCGGCCGCGTCCCGCAGCAGATTCACACCCAGCTGGAAGATGAACTCATTGTACATCTGCTCGGCGGCGGTCTCTTCGACCATGTACCGCAGGAACTCCTCCTTGCGCTCGACGAAGACGTCCGCAGTGCGCAGCAGGATGTCACGGCGAGCGTCGGGCTTCGTGCGCGACCACGCCGGGAAGGCAGCCTGCGCGGCCTCAACGGCCTCGGTGGCTTCTTTAGCGGAGGCAGAGCTGCATTTATGCTCGACCTGGCCGGTGCCGGGGTTGGTGACGTCGAATTGGATGTCTGTGGAGATGTTCTTGTTGTTGATGATGAGTGGGACGGAAGCACCCGGAGGAACCTGGGTGAAGGACATCTTGTCTAGTAGGTATGGGTATGAGGGTGAGGAATTGAGAGTGAAGCAGCAGAGCGACAGAGAGAGAAAAGGTTAAAAAGTTCAATTGACAACAGGAAATTGAAGAAAAATAGGAAAATGTCCGAAGAAAGAAGAAAAAAATACGAAAACAACCCCGCGACCGAAACCCCTTTTTTATGAAAATCCAAGCCCATTTCCAATCCGAGTTAATAATGCAAAGGTTTTTAGTTCCCAGTAGTTTCTGGTTCGGCCGCGACGCAGAGTGAGATTGTATCCACCGCAGGCCCAGAGATCGTCGATTTCCAGCGATAGAGAAATCCCGAGCTGAGGGATCCCCACCAACTACCGAATGGCCATTCCGGTGAGAGAAAAGGCCAATTCATTTTTGGGTCTGCCGTCAGTCGAGAACCAGACTTCCGCATGTAGGAAAGTATGAAGATCCCTTGGCAGCAATGAGCAGACGTCAGTGGAGCGGGAATGCGGAGAAGCGGAGTTGCTGCAACCTTCTGACTGCCGATTTTCTCTTCCGATGCCTCTTTATGCCCCGTCATCTGTCTGTTGATAGGACAATAGAGTCGGGGGAGGATCTGGACTCCTTCCCCGCGGGGTTTGAAAACGCGGATCTGGTCCCCATTCCTCACCTTTCCTCCGAAGTAGTTCCGGTCTCTCGAGGATCAATTGCACTCTGTCGGAAGTAGTCTGCTCATCCCAGAGCTGATCGGGTCGATTGAACTTAAAATGATATCCCTGCGTGGCAAGCTGCCGATGGTGATACCGTGCTTTCGGCTCGGATGGAGGACACGGTACTTTAGATATCCTGGGCCGTGATGTCGTCTTGGTGCTATATATGTCGTCTCTATCCAGCCTATCAGGTAGGACTTGATCCTGGTCTCAGATCGGTCAGCTTATATTGCGCTGCATTTCAGATACATACTATACCACACCCCGTACAGTCCCCAACCCTACCTCCCCGACTCAGATAAAGGCATCACATCATGTCCACAATCACCACACAGGCACTGGTATGCCACGGACTCAACAAGCCCTTAGTCCTCGAGGACGTGATGCTGGACGAGATGCGGCCTGACGAGGCGATCGTGGAGATCGAGGCCAGCGGCGTCTGCCATACCGATCTGTAGCCTTGCCCTCTCCTATCTTTTTCTGCTTTTCAAGCTCAGTTTGCCAGTCAGGACTAACACTTCATAACCAGATCTTGCATGGACGGGACCATCCCCGCCGGCTTCCCTAATGTATTCGGCCATGAAGGTCAGTACTTACCTCCCTCCGTCTCCCACCAACCCAAGACCAGATACCAACAACTGTAATCAAATACTAACACCCCAAACCCAAAAGGCGCCGGAACCGTCCTCCAAACCGGCTCCTCCCTCAAACACATCCAACCAGGAGACAAAGTCCTCCTCTCGTTCAACCACTGCGGAAACTGCACGTACTGCAAATCCTCCCACCCCGCCTACTGCGCCACCTGGGCACCGCTCAACTTCTCCGGAAAGCGCCTCGACGGGACCGCCACGCTCTACGACCCGAACAGCGCCGCGCCCATGCACGGGACGTTCTTCGGCCAGAGCTCGTTCATGCGTCGCGCGCTCGTCTCCGGGTCTAGTATCGTTAAGGTTCCGCGGGATACGGAGCTCCCGTTGTTCGCGGCGCTGGGGTGTGGGTTCCAGACTGGGGCTGGGTGCGTGTTGAACACGCTTCGTGTGACGAGGGGGAGCTCGCTTGTTGTGTTTGGGGTTGGGGCTGTGGGTATGGCGGGTGTGATGGCTGGTGTGATGGCCGGTGCGTCGACGATTATCGCGGTGGATTTGAATGAGGGGAGACTGGCGACGGCGAGGGAGTTGGGAGCGACGCATGTAATCGACGGGAAGAGCGAGGATGTCGAGGGACAGATTAAGAAGATCTGTGAGCCCGGGAACGGGGCACAATTTGCGATGGACGGGACGGGAGTTCCGAGGGTGATTGAGACGATGGTGAAGTGTCTGGGTACGAAGGGGAGGGCTGCGACGGTGGGGGCGCCGAAGCCGGGGTCGACGGTCGCGATTGATGTCTTTCAGCATTTGATCATGGGGAGGGAGTATGTGGGAAGTACGGAGGGGGATGTGGATGCGAAGACGGTGAGTTTCTTTTCCTTCTCGGTCTCTTGGCCCTAGGGGGCTGATTGTTGGTCATGAAAACTAACTGACGATAGTTTATCCCGTTCTTGATCGAGGAGCATGCAAAGGGTCGCTTTCCCATCGAGAAGTTGATCAGTTATTATGACATCAAGGATTATCAGACAGCGTTTCAGGATATGAAAGCGACAAAGGTCATTAAGCCGGTGCTGCTATGGAAGTGAGCTTCCCATTATACGCTTATGAAGAGACAAGAGACAAATTGTAATAAACATGTCCATTAATTGAAAGCCATTATTTACCTAATCTATCCCAAACACAGAGATAGATTTCCCTGAACTGAAAGCCATATTTACCTGATCTATCCCAAAATCCGGAGATAAAATCCCACCGACATAAGTAATATATACATCGAAATCGTTCAATCTCCCCTTTCTAAGCCCACTTTCCAAGCAAGGCCATCAGCAAAGCACCCAGGCAAAGCAGACCGAACGCCCCTAGAACGTGCCCGATGGGGGCCTTCTTCATCGACCGGCTGAACATGAATTCGTGCGCCATGAGTTCCACAAGCGCCGTGTAAATGAGGATACCCGCGGAGATCGAGTCGAACACGCCGTTGACAATCAGCGTCGTCCGTCCCTCCGGGGGATAGGCGTTGCGCACTCCCAGTCCAATGGCGATGGCAATAGGGGTGGACAACCCGTAGCCAATGCTCAAGAAGTAGGGTGTCAGACGTTTCGAGCGAGGCCAGGGTACTTCGGCCAACCGGGATCCCAGACCCAGGCCCTCAAAGGTCTGATGGAAAACCAGAACGATGTACAGCGTCACAAACTCCTCGCCGGACACTGCCAAAGTCAGTCCGATGAAGACGGAGTGGAAGATGATGCCGAATTCCAGGATGAAGATGGACGTCAGCTGCGCCATGTACTCCTCCAGCGCGGCGGCTTTCGCGCCCGCTTCCAGGTCCTTGTGCTCGCGCGAGTGGCCGAGGTGGTCTTCTCCGGGCATATGGGTTTTGGAGTCGGCAACCTCCGCGCTGTGCTGAACGGAGTCCTCGTCGTGGCCGTGGCCGTGACTGTCGAATTCATCGTGGGAGTGATTTTGGCCAAATCGAGCAAAGCGCATAACCATCAATTCGACAAAGAACAACACCACAATGGTCATGAGAACGATACCCTCGACCCAATCGTATTCCGTGATCGGACCGGTCAGACACTCGTTGGTGAGCGACTCATGTGCGGGGGCTAGGAGATGGACGAAAGCTGTGGCGACGATGACACCGGAACCGAAGTACTTGGCGATGAAGAAAGCCCATCCGAAGATCTTGGAATGACGATAATTGCCGGCAAAAACGGGAAAGACGGCGCCGAACATGGAACCGACCATGATAACGAAGATCGAGGAGATACGCAGACCCATGCGGCCATCATACTCGTTGCCAGTTTCACAGGCAGGAGCAGGGCCCGAATCCTCGTCTCGGGCGAGGAGCGTATGGAGAAGTGACATGTCCGCCATTGGATTCGATTGGTCCTGGCAGAGGGATGTACACGCACAAGACTCGAATCAAACTGTTTACAGCACGGACCAGGTGTTGACGTGTATGACAGATGTCGTCGAATTCAGGAGCCTCGTCGGAATATGCCAGATAATCCAATAGAATCGAGTCGAGATGTGGGACGAGGAATGCACAATCGCCGAAAGAAAAACGTGGGCAGAGAGGACAAGCCGACGAAAGGCGAGAAAGGCGCAAGAATGCAATTACCCGAATGCTTAATGCTTCTTGGTATTCTTGGTATTTCTTGGTCGTCTTGGTTTTCTCTTGTCGCGTGCTTTTATATCGCTTCCTGTTGTGCGACCAGGCCACACAGGCAAGATTTTGACCGTCCTCAAGGTCCCTGACGGTCCACTTTAGACGTCTGCTTAGTGTCGCTCGAGACCAGCCAAGCGAGGCACCAACAGGGATTTGAGATGACAGCTGAGGACCTTGGGGTGTAGTGCGAGTCGGATATCTCCGTCGATTTACGTGCAAATTGTCTGTGGGTGTTGGTGTGGGTGGGTGACTCGGACACGGAATGAAGCCGATATGGAGAGGCAAGACACCGGACAGAGCACGACGGTCGACAGACTACCCACGAGACAAAAGGCGAGGACCCCAGGAGAGAATGGGCGAGGAATGGGAGCTGAGGGGAGGAAAGAGAGGACGGAGGGGCGACATGGTGACGGAAATGTCTCCCACTTTGGTTTGGGTTGCAGCGGCGGAGGACCTTGGAGGAAAGCGGGTGCCATCCTCGACGTCAAAGAAGACTTTTCGTCGCGTTTTTGAGGACCTTGGGGGTGCGAGCTTGGGGCTGACCCTCTTTTGGGAGACTCTTCATTGGCCACCGTCCTTAGTCACGGAGGGGCCGGTCACGTGGACCTTTCGTCCGATATCAACACACCTGAGGGAGTAGATAGCAATGTGATATGATACATCAATTGCTCTAAAGTTGCTTCAGCAGCGGAATTGAAAGGGATCTATACAGAGTTAGAATTCAACTTCCAGGCACCCGCACTGAAAAGCTAAATCCAAGACGCCTCATGATTCATTGACCCAAGCTGAGGTCCACCGGGTTGGGAAAGCGGTGACGGGGTTGGAGGGGTGCTGCGCTTATGTAATGATGAGCCTGAGATCTGGCCATCGGTGAACAACTAACATTTAAAGTGTTACCAGTTGATGTGTGTAATTCTTGCTATCTCGTTCGTTGGGGCATCTCGATCAGATGGTCCATGCAGACAATTGACCCGATTGAGGAACTAGCTCCGGAGTACCTTGTATGCTACAAGCAACTAACAGGCAATGGTCTAGACGGTCATTAGGGGATCTATGTCTGGATCCAAAGGGGCCATGAGCAAGTTTCTGATATTAACGACCCGAATAGGCATATCTCAATCAACTCCATGGTTGACCGAAGTATACATTAGGGGCTAGACAGGAACCCTGATGGTTTGCTTGACTAACGAGTCAAAATATATATCCACAGGAGTGACCGGAAGGAGTTTCTCTTATCAACTGTGCTATCAGCAATATCATGAGATCTTCTACCATGTAATTTAAGCCAACGGGAATATTCCACGGCCCATGAGCTATGCCACTTCTCAGAATTCGTAGGTCCGAGTACTCGTGTGAACGCAGGATATTGTACTGAGGCAGAAAAGGCTTGGCAGACGTCGACCTAGTCAAGGCCCGTGATATGTCATCATCACCCATCTTCACCCAACTCACGCCTCAATCCTTCCCTCCCTCTCTGCGATTCAATTAGGTCCCAAACTAGCCCAGCTCCTTCTCACAAAAATGGCGCCCATCCGGCGCTACCTCCGCATCAGCAAATACACCATCCTCGAATGCCGCATCTACCTCGACAACCCGTCCGACACGCGCTGGCTCCTCGACTCCCGCGACCCCGTGCTCCCTCGCATCTTCGCCGCCATCCGACCGCTAGTCCTCCCGAAACTGCGCGAAGAGAACGAGAGGCTACTTTCGCGCAAGAAAGGCCATCCCGTCAAGGATGTGATCGCTGAAGGTGCGTATTGTGCTGTACATCTACACACTCATGCAGAGTTCATAATCCCCGACCGTGGCACATGACCTGACTCCTTACATGGATACGGATTATATTACCGGAGAATGTTGGCTGATTACGTGCATTTGCAGATGAGTTCGAGGTTGCGTTGTTTCTTCGGGAGTCGCGGACGCGTCATTCGCTTCTGACGCGACACAAGGAATTCGAGGATCATGGGTCTGGGGTAGACGAGAAGAAGAAAGGCAACAATAAGCTCGGGGAGGCAGGCTCGCAGGCAGACAAGGGCATCCTGGTCGAGAGCGAGAGCGACGAGGAGTCAGATCTGCGGAACATTCCCCAGGCGGGCGCGGATGAAGACGAAGAAGGTGGTGGTGAGATGCCAGGGAAGCGGAGACGAAGTGGTTCGTCTGGTGACGAGCTGCGTGCGTCGAAACGACCGAAAGATCAGGAATGGGCAGACGAGGGTGACGGCGATGACAAGAAGATGCGATTTCGGACCAACTACGAGGGGTTCAACATCTATGGCTGGACGCTGTGTCTGCTGGTCACGCGGAAGGGTGGCAGGTCAAGGCCTGGAACGACGCCTTCGGAACCTTCGCGGCAGGCTCTCATGGAAGAATGGATGTCCACGCAGGCACAGGGTGATGCGGACGAGGAATGAGCCGAGAATTCAGAAAAAAGAAAAAGGGAGAAAAAGAAAAGGGGTGAACCTCGGTGTCACCCGTTCAGTTCAACACAAGCATCCAATGACCCCTGTAGGGTTCGTGTTAATCCTGGTCAGGTGGCGCCGGCAATCATCGATCAGCCCAGGACTGTCTCAAGCGGCAAGACAGGAAAGGCCGAAAGGTCCGCCATCAGAGTCAGACAGACCACGACAGCTGAAAACGATGGAACGGCATCCCAGAGATTCCGATCTGCAGACCGAGCGTTGCATGATGGCGTGGACGCAGACCATGTAGATGAACATGGGGTAAAAGGCAACCTGCGAGCTGAAATCCGTGCACCCATAAGCCTCGAACGGTCACGAACCACACGACGCTTGCAGTCTGCATCTGCAGTCTGCAATCTGCAACCAAGACAACCCATTTTTGGGACTACGAACGGTCGCACGACATTCAGCCATAATCTACGCCTTGTTTCACAGGCGCAGTGCAGGTAATAAAGTGCGGACCTATTTCTGTGCAATACGGACACTTGCATATGAAGAGGAGCGATTCGCAAGACAACGAACGCGCCCTTGCTTCTTTTAGGTTTTCTAATCCGAGTCGCGGTTTGAGAAAATCATCCGAAACAGCGCCGGAATTTAGGTGTTTCTCGACAAGAACGCTCGCTTCTCGTCCGTCCTCAATATGAAACACAGAGTTTTCCTAGTTAGTTCGGTTGTTTGAGTATTATGCTCATACCTGCCTCGCTGTGTAACATGTTTCCGTGAATCATGTTAAGTCAAATCGAGGTCCTGACTTTGATTAATGAAAGAACCTGAACAGCCCAGTCCGATTTAGTAGGCTATGTACGGAGTACAGGACAGGAGTTCACAGCATGCACGCCGTGCTCAATCGAGGTAGTCACTTGATTCCCTGTCTGACTGTCTGTGCCTTGTACACCTATCTACCACGCCACATGTACATACATGTAGGTATGTCAGGGTTCTCCGTACATGCAAAATCATACGAGAGTGTCACTCCCTAAATACCAAGTAAGACGGCAGATAGAAAAGGGTGGTCCGGAACATGTATACACCTACACTGTAGGTCCATAGTTTATGCAAGTAGGAAAATCAGAAAACAGGACACGGTCCAACCTAAGCCGGCATACGGAGTAGAGCAAAGCAAATTAGAAAAGAAAGAAAACCCAAGAAGATCAGCATTGCGCCTCTCGGCTCGCTGCATGAATCCCAAATTAGTCGCGGGACAAATATGCATGTCATAGTTGTAGTCGCCTATTTATTATTTAGTATTTACCCCGTATCTGGATTATAGTGCACATGCGATAAACATCGTACGATATATATTTCTACCCTACTAATATACGGAAGGCGACCAAATGATAATAACTAGCACAACATAAGCACACCCTAGTCAAGCAAGGCCGGACGGTTGTACAAGGTAAGTATATATCACGAGGTATATATGTACTGTACACCTGCAAGTATGGGCAGATGTATGTCCGTCCGTAAAAAGAGAGTCAATTCAGCTGACTTGAAACCTCAGGACTCACACGACAGACAGAGCATAGCCCAGCAGCATCTGCAATGTAACGCAATATAAATGCACAGCAAATGCAGACCGAGTCGACAGAACCGACCCAAAAAAACACAGCCTCAATCGCCACAACGGAAATAACAGCGTACAAAGATAAGTTAATATGGAACTATGGATACTACTACCTTGAAATTGACCCCAATAATAATCAAATCAAACGTGATTCAGATAGCCGCTACGGAGTAGTACTAGTAACACCTTACCGAAGTAAAAGCACGGGAGTGCCATATTAAAAATTAAACGGCGCAATCCACATCACTAATAAAGAGCGGTTGTTAACATGAGACATGGAATGGAAGGTTCTATCGCGCTTTTTCTTTCCGTGTCACGGACTTTTACCCCTTACATTTTTCCCTACTAGAAGTATGGATAGCTGGATTCTACCTAGTCGAGTCTACAGTACACACGGAGAACACAGTACGGGATTTTTGTGCTACATGCTTGAACTTAGTCTACTACCTAGGGGTAAATCATCCCGTGATGTTGGCTATTAGCGTCAACCGTTGAACTTGACCCTGCCCGTACTCCCAAATTAAAATTAAACATTAATATCAACCAGAATCAAAATCAAAACGAAATAGATTACGGATTTTCCGACCCATCAATCTATCCCGTGCTCCCGTGAAAGCCTAAATCGATCGGCCGGAGCATTTTTCTTGTTGACCTTGCCATCTCTCCCGCATGATAATTTACTAGCAATTAATTCCGTAGATCCTGAAGCGATCAATAACCAAACAAGCGAAGGTCAGAAAATCAATTTGATTAAGACTGGTTAAGGATCTGCCCCCCAAGGCTTACGCGATATTCTACGATTCCTTACGGTGGGCGGTGCGGGCGGAGGAGGAACTAGGAAGTCAGGAGAACAGACGCATTCGCACTCCATACGTACTCCGTAGTAAGTCCGTGAGAAGGTACCTGCCTACCTGGTGGCTGGTGCCAATTAGTCCGACTACCGAAGGCCGCATCATCTCCTAGGAGAGTTAGAGGCTCAGAATCAGAAAAGCACGGGGCCACCGCCCCCAAACCCAACCCCGAATTATTGGGACGGTCATCCTGAACCTTATGTGAGCATGTAAGCATTAACTAGAGGCTAAGCCGCACGGATTGGGGATACGGCTATGAGTGCGGTTGAAACCGATATATCTCCGCTCAGGCGCTTGCGTGTAGAGGTCCAGAGGGAGAGTTCTGTCGCACAAAGCCCGAGAACGACCCGAATCCGACTACCGAAGACCGACGGAATTGGGCTCACGGGCTGAAAATGGAAACCCCAAACGGACGATTCCGTTCTTCCATTTGATGAAAGAGGAAAGAGGAAAGAATGGGAACTGTGGAGTTGGATTCGGGGTCTGAATGAGCTTCCTTCAGCCTGCTGTCCTGCTCTGCTTAGCGGTAGCCTTAGCCGCTTTTCTTACGGAGTCCTGTTAAACGATAACCTCCATCCAGGGACTGAAGACTACTCCGTGGGAACGACCGGAGCAGAATACCACGTCATGACATCATGAGTACCCCGAAATATCTCCCCAAGAAGAAGATTTTCCTGGTTCCTGGCGCGGCTGTGCTTTAAATCGGTTAGCATTTAGCAATAAACGCTCGCCGAGCGAAAGAGAAGAGGGAGCGAAGAATGATAGAGTGAGACATTGTGCTCCCCCCAGCCTCCGGACCCAAAGTTGGAGCTTTTTGCGTTCAAAAAGGGATTTGTGGAGCATTGAATCTCCCACGGAGAATTCTTATTCGGTAATCATCTGAAACAAGCCAGCCTGGCGGACTAGAAAACTGTAGATTGGACGGTTCACGCGCTTGTAGGCAACGGACTGGGACAGGTGCTGAAGGAGGGACCCTCTGCCCCCACTGTGACCGCACGAACTCAATTAGCGACTGTTAGGCTAGCGCTGCTAGCACTGGTTTGGTGAAATTTTTTTCGTTCTTCCCCATGAAGGGAGAGGAGCCGCCTAAACTGGTTATGGGGATGCTGAGGAGCGGTGAACCATGGTTGAGAAAGTTTCTGGAAGGAGGCTATCTTTTTCTTCGGGGTGGAGAAGGATCCGGTTGATCCTTATTTTGCCTCTGGTGGAGGGCATTGGTAAGCATCGAGCGAAAAGTGTCCGACAAGAATGAGATGGCGGTCAAACGCGAGTCAAGATAGTTACAGACAGGAACCGTGGAACGCAAGGGTCAAACGGGGTGAAATTGAACTTTCTGCGCAGGAATTTGACAAGTAGCCTTAATGGTTAGGTTAGCTGCAGACCGTTGATCCCGCAGTGTATCATCCGGGCACGTGAAGTGACTAGGCGTCCATAGGACTGGCTCTTCCTAGGATGATTTGACTGCTGACAAGGAGACTTGGCAGTTGACATGATTGTTGTATCACACAAATCGTTAGGGCTCTCTAGGCGCTTCCAAAATGCCCTGATTGGGACATCAGCAGCAGCCTTGTCGATTGTTGATGGCGAAACATTGATTGGACGGCTCATCGGCCGGATCCAATTCCAATCTCTTGTCCATGGTTAGCACTCAACGGCGTACTCCGTAAGCCTCTTAGCATTGAGCAAGTTAGCAAGTTAGCAGTTGGCAGCCAGGAACAGCCGTCAACCGGAGTACTGCGCACCTGCGGTGTAGGGCAGCTGGAGACAGAAAACAAGCTACCGGTCTACCCCCAGCAATTCCCATCATGGTAATTGGCAATCGTCCTCCGTGGATGCTAATATGCCATCGACTAATTCCTTTACCGAATGCAAGTCGCTCACCAAGAGCAACCAACAGTGGAGATCTCATTTCACGGAGAGCCCCACCCGCTTAGGGCTCTTTTTTTCTGTGCCCTTCGGCTTACGGAGTAGCCTTCTCCCCTTCTTGCCATGTGTTTCTTTCCACCGATTTGCGATGGAATCCAATCCAGAGCATGTGATAGGACCGAGGTAGACTTTCTCGACTCCATTAACCGCCGCGCATCCGTGGTAGAGGCATTCAGGAACCATCCCATGATTTCATCAGGTACACCAAAGTGGTGATGTCAGGCTGCCGTCAACCAGTCATTCTTAGTATGGCCCGTACCTGCATCTTGCAAAATGCCGGGCTAGAGACACTAAGTCACTAACAAGGACCGGAGGAATTCCTGGCGCTCCAGGGAAGTTGGCGGCGGCAAGACTAACGCGGCGGGTGGCAAATCGGTTTAATGAAACTCTGGGAGGAGACGAGATGAAAACGCACATCACTGGATCTACGGAAGGACGGATGCTCGATGAGTTGATGCGGTCGGCTAGTGACGTGCAGGATCAACCCTCATCTTTTCCCGTCTTTGTCGCCTGGCGGCCACTTTTCAGGCCACTTTTCATCTGCAGAAGATCCATCCGTCTTGTACGCCGTACACCGTGTGTACTCCGTACGCTGGGCCACAGTCGCACGGCGGGTACGATGACAGGGTTCATTGAGCAATGAGCATCCAGGTCGGCGGCCAGGATACTCGGCGAACGAGTCCACGGAAGAAAGGGAATTGACATCCGTGTCGGAGGAGTGTTGCATTGCATTATGCAGAGACGCCGCGACAGGGGGGAATTCCAAAAAAGAGTGGTACTCCATAGGGTTCCCTGGATGCACCTGATCATAATGAGGACGATTATACTCCGTAGAGAGAACCTGGAAGAGTGGAATACGGAGTACGGAGTCCTTCGTACGAAGGTCGAATGCTCCGAGGGGAATTGTGGAGAGGATGAAGGCCGCTACTCAGTAAGGGATGTCAGCAATAATGATAATATCATAATAATGAAGATAATATTAACATTGAACCTTGGAAGAATGACAGGTCAACCTTGTCAACGGGTCAACCGTCAACCGAACCAAGAGCGGCTGAAAGGGACAGCTGAAAAGGTGAAGACGGAGTACGGGAGAACAAAAAGTAAAAAGATTCCAAATATAACCCCAGCCGAACAATGATGATAAAGAAGACGAAGAAGAACAAAGAAAAGAGATTAAAGCCGGGTAGATTGGTCGAATCAGACGGAACGCCGCAACCGCAGAGGGAATCAGCTGCAGGGAGAATAAGAGGTACACCGTAGGTAAAGATACTCCAGTATCGCCTCAATCTACCTCGATCGGTTGGTCAACCCCTGAAACTTCGCCGTAAGATACGGTTTTCAAGGTGAAACGACCTGTCATACCTTGACCTTCTTTACCCCTGACGCTCAACTTGCAAGTCCGGATTCTGACTTGCCTTGACTTCTGGGCATTTTTGCCCCCTCCTTTTTTTTTTTTTTTTTTTTTTTTTGTCTTCCATTCCATGGTTTTGCTTTTTCCTTGGTGGACAGTATGTGTTCATGAGTGCGTCTCTCCGTCTCCCCCCCTTCCCCTCCTTTCCTTTCCTGGCTTTCCCTGCCCTGGAACCTCGCGGATGTGGTGGCTTGGATCAGGTCCCGACATTCTGGCTGAGACTAGGATCTCCTTCCTGCGACGTGATGAATCACCATCCGATCCTCAGCGTTTCAGGCAACCAAGCCCCAACCGTTTTGAGAAGCCGCCGCGAATTAGATAGAATCTCCAAGAAGTGAGGGGGCACACTGCACACCAAAAAGAAATATGCCAGCTTGGATCATCCCTTAGCATTTCCGATTCCATTCCTTCTTCCCCTCCTTTCCTGCCTCAAGGATCTACGAACTGGCACGTGTCTGCATGAATTCGCTAGTCTTTCAGCCCGTAAGCCTATGAGACCTGCCCGATGTCTTGCTTTCGGACCTATAGAATGTTGGCGGATAAGATTCACCCATCAGATTGAGTCATCACTCTACCCTGATGCGATGGATTGGAGTCTACTGTATCGCCGTCTTTACGTAATGCCGAGTAAGATTCCACGTTGTTGAAAGATACGGGGGGACGGGTTACCGCTCCGAGCTAAGAAAATATTTTTATTCTTATGGTATTATTATGATCCAAAATAATTCCAGGTACGGAGTCAGAAAACAGAAGAAGAATGGAAAACAAAGAAAAGGGAAAATTAAACACCGATAGACGGGTGGGTCCGATTCCTCCGGAATACTTTTTTTTTTTTTTTCTCTTCGTCTATTTTCCTCTTTCATCCTCAATCCGCTCTCCCTCTTGCACCTTGGCCCTTGTGTCTTCCATGGAATTAACCATAATCTCCCGGTATTAATCCTGGTGGAACTTCTCCGTGAACCACAAATAAGGGGGAGAGACAACCCTCCCCAGAAGACAAGGCAACGAGTGGGACGGGAGGAGCTTCTAGAAATTTTCCTTGGAATTTCCCGTTGGGGCAGGCCGTATGCCCATATGGCAGCCCACTGGGTACAACTAAATCCGTTAGTCGTATTATCTGACGTAGTTCGTTTCCCTCTGTCCGTTGTGGAGCTGAGCTCCTGTTCACGACAGGGGTGTGTCCTTAATATTCTTTTTCTTTTTATTTTTAATTTGATTTTTCGATTTTCTTTTTTCTTGAAAAAAAAAAAAAAATCAATAATCTTTTTTGTCAATCATCCTGGTCACCATAATAATAAGAGATAAAATAAAAATAAAAACAAAAAAAGGCGTGGATCAGAACATTATATATTAAGCACCGTCTGACCTCGCCTTTTGAGTTTCTTTCTTTTCTCTTTCAATCTTCAAATCAAAAGACTTTGAGAACTTTCCACGTTGCCTACAAGTAACTACAGTTGCGCATCAACACGCCTTCATCCATCCACCACTCGACAACACTAAACTACTCAACTACCACCACCACCACCAAACAACACAACTCAACATGCCTTCCATCGGTGGCTCTACTTCGCAATTCCCTCCCTGCCCGGGACCTCCTCCCAAGGGCCCTCTGCCTCCTCTCCCCAAGTAAATTACCTCGAGTAATCTTGGACTTTCTGATGAGATTGACGACCGGCGAACTCGAGCGGTTCCTTGAATCGTGACCCAACATCGACACAAACCGACTCGAGACGCCTCATGAGATGGAGTTGCATTCTTCAAGCATGGATACCACGATTTCGTTTTCGAGAATTTGCAAATCTGCAAACCGGCATTTTACTACTGGATTTGACTACTGGATTTTTTGATCGCTTTTCTTTCTTTTTCTTGAACCACATTATATCCTTTTATTCGGCCTTTTTCGATCATATCTCGGTTTTTATCTTTTCTATTCTCTTCACACCAATCATCCTGCGCAGCGACGTTCATCGCGGGTGTTGTTTCTTTTCTCACTTCGATTCTCCGAACAAGCGCTGGCGCATTGTTCTCTCATTCTGCGATAACGCTTTGATCTTGCGACATCCACCGAAACCCGCCACTCTGGGACTATCTCTACGAAGCAAGAGGACGATCCGATGCAAGCGACAAGCATGATATCAAACAACGCACCGTCGCCGAATCACAACCACCCGACTTCCCCACCCTAGCTCGGTCCCATCGTCATCACTTATCTCTCACGACGGCCGTTTCCCAAGCACTCGGACGGGGCCTTGTCAGCATTACTTCCAGGATTTGATTCCAACCCCGCAAAGCAAACACGGCTGTTGCTGTTGGCGAAACCCAAAAGACCAACCAGGGGCTTGGATTTCCTTCTTCCCACGAGGCTTGGATCGCGCGATCGTCGGATGTCAAAGCGTTATGGGATTATGATTTCTTTTTCCTACCTTTTTTTGACTAGGAGCTTTTTAATCATGGGGTTTGATTTTCTTTTTTGTCTGTTTGGCTTTGAGGATTGTGACTCAAGCCTGTACTATTTTTCTTTCTTTTCTTTTCTTTTCTCTTATCTTTCTTTTTTATCTGAAGCAACGGCATGTATAATAGACTTAATATACCCAACAGCAGCAGCAGCACCAGCATATGGCATTCTTTTATTCTATTTGAATTGAAACTTTGACCTAGTGTCAATCATTCTATCAACATATTCTGTCCCAAACCTGATTTCTAGATCTTCTCTCCCAAGTAAGGTAAAGCACATACATACCTAACTGCTAATGCTTACTGAGTACGTGTAGTTAGTTAGAAAGGTAAGGTAGTTTAGGTAGTTCTATCCCGCTCCCCGCACTTCGTAATCCCTAATTCAATCCTTTTCGTGTCCATTGCTTTTCCCCCCTCATCATACTTTGATAAAAATGCAACCAAGCACCCAAAATGGAATACCCCCCTCAAAAAAAGCAATTATTTTTTTTTTTGCGTTCTGAAAAAAGAAATAAAAGAAAAATAAACGAAATAACTGTCTCACGATGACCGCATGGTGCGCATCATGATGTGACGGCACCGCAACGCTAAGCGCTCGGCCGATGAGACTTGACAGGGGTTGGGGAGGAGAAGGGGGTGACTTGAGTGACTGACTGGGTGTCGATAGCGTGATTCTTTTTCCCTGCTTTGCCATAACTGACTTGCGCCTGCGTCTGCTTCCGGTTGATCCTTGAAGAATGGAATTGAATTTTGGATTTTGGATTTTGGGGTCGTACGTTATCGGCTTACAGTACCTGCCTGGCTATCTACGGGTATGTGACTACCTATGTGTTTTGCATTGAGGGTGCTTGTTGCGGGGGTGAGTTATTTCATTTTTTTTTTGTTTCTCTATTTATCTGGATTAGTTGATGGGGTCGTGTGTTGTATGCTGCTGCAGTAGTTATCGGGGTTTACCTACCGTGATGTAGAATGTTCTGTATACAGTACGAAGTATGTCTGTCCTACATCGCCCGGCTGCAAGGTAGGCAGATGTCTCTAACCTACCCCTCATGATCCGATGCAGATAGAACAGGTGATTTACCCTGCTCTGTCCTGCCTGCCCTGTCCTGCCTGCCCTGTCCTGCCTGCCCTGCCCTGCCCGCTTGCTTACGGAACCTAGTACAAAAAATAGAATGCCATGAGGATGAGGATTCAATCCATGCGGTACAGCCTTAAGCTAAACCCATTAACCAACCAACTAGCTAGGTAGCTATTTTATCTGTGCGTAATATGACGAGACCAGCGGCTGCGGGATGCATGGCATTTTGCATTATTGGGCTATGCCATTGTCGTTGTCTAATGAGTTATGAGTAATGACTAGCTAGCTAGTTAGTTAGTTGTAGGTAACTAAGGGCATGCGCCTCGGACTGGGAATTTGGCTACCTGGTTTTATGTGTGCCTACTCCGTAGTCGGTTAGTGAGCCGGCCAGTCTAAGCGATTTGACGATGACTCGGTAGGTAGGCATAGACAGGGAAGGCGTCGGCTGATGGTGCATTAGTTTTACGGAGTAGATTCTGTGAGTATCAGCATTCAGCTCCCATCTTGCTCGCATCGCCCCGCCCCGCTTGTTGTGTACGGAGTATGTGTGTGTGAGAGTGTCTCTGACTAGGCAAGGGGGACAGTAGCCTAGTAAGGAATATTCACTGATAGCGAACACTACTTATCTAACTACGTGCTGACGGCTGAGGGACTATGCACCTTGCCATGCAGTGCAGGAGAGTATGCACGCCACAACGGAGTACGGAGTCCTGTTCTGCGTCGAGTCTGACGAGGATAAGTGCGCCAGAGATACTAGGCAGTAGTAGACCCTGCCTGCAAAACAAGCCAGTGGAGTAATCTCGGATACGAGGACCCGGGCCTGCGGAGGAACAAACCGTCCCAACTAACGGTAGAAAGTTGGAAGGTCAGGTCCATCGGCGGGAGTCCGATCGCAGGTCAAATGACCCGCGGCACGGGAGACTAAGGTTCTTAGTTCGCCCGTTAGCGCGCCGTACCTGAAGCTGGTCAGCCTTCGGAGTCAGACCACTTGCCATGTGCGGAGATGGATGGTCGCCGTTTCTTCTTTTTCTCTGATGTTTCTCGCTTACTGGTGCGGATAAACTCGTTGATTGGTCGATACATACATGACTGCCCTGTCTGTCGTGCGGCGCAGGTAGGCATTCTACGGGCACTCCGCCGTACGGAGTACAAAGATAGCATTGCCGCTACCCACTGCCCGAGAAAGGCTCCGTGCAGATTGCGGAACAAAGGAAACTAGAAAAGGGAATCGTCATCCTGATCAAGGTCCCTGACTATCCGGCTAAGTACCTGGTCTGACTGTCTGCGTAGAGAATAGAATGAATGCGTTATTTTGGTCCAATTGCGCTAAGTAGAGTGTCTGCCTGTTCGGGCTAATCTTGAGGCTCGTCTCTCGAAAGTGAGGCGATAAGAACCGGGAAACACGAAACTTAATCTACCTGAGAAGAGGGAAATGGATGACAGTTGACGGAGGTGTTTCGTTGGCCATGAGGGGTCAGAGACCAGACAAGAGACATCTGACGGGCGTTACGGCGTATGGAAGCAAGATAATTCCCTCAGGGGATCGTGTCGTCCGGGTGCATCCGTGAACCCACGCAAACAGCGTATCAGGTTTATCAATCAAGTGCGAGATTCAATCCGGATGACAAGGGGATGGCAGGAATGACGCAGTGTCGGCGACCACTTGGGGAAGGTGGAGATCCCTGCCTGACTGCCTGAGGGCCTGGCTGCCTCAGGACGGCACGAGGCGGCGGCCAGGTCCACGTGACGCGCATCGTCAACCCCAACTTTCTCTCGACCACCGACCTGCCCCGACCAAACGCTGGGAAAAAGAAAAATGGTTCTGGAGCTCCATGTCTGGGGTCCAGCTTTCTCGCTGCCCTCCATCGATGCGCAATGTCTCGCGACTATAGCCTATCTCTCGCAGACCGTCCCTAGGGAAGCCTGGGTGCTGGTCGCAAGCAGTGACCCGACCGTGTCCCCGACCTGTATGTTTTGACCCCAGTCCGGCGCATTACTCCGCATTTGAGAGATTTGGAATTGAATAGTTGTCTGGAATTGATTGTCCTGCTGCAGGCGAACTCCCCGCTCTCAAAAATGGAACGACATGGGTCAGTAAGTTCCGCAATATCGTGGATTATCTGCGCCAATACTCGAATGGCGACTGGGATCTGGACGGGGATCTGAGCGGCCTGGAAAAGGCCGATAACATCGCGTGCGTCTACTTCTTTCTTAGATTTCTGAAACGCATCATCCGACGAGCTGCATTTATTGACTAAAACAAAACAGATTCTCCTCGTTCGTCGAATCCCGCGGCCAATCCCTCATCGACCTCTCCCTCTACGTCACCAGCCAAAACTACTACAACCACACCTCCCCTGCCTACGGCTCCATCCTCCAATGGCCCAACCAATGGATCCTCCCGCCTAAGCTGCATGCCGCCGCAAAGACCCGAACAGACCATCTAGGCCTCTCCTCGCTGGACCTGGACGCCATCGAGGAGCAGCGCAAACGCGACCACTCGGCGGCCGTCGCGGCCGGCCAGGTCCCGCCGAACTTCATCCAGTCGCCGCGCGACACGGTCACGCGGCTACTAGGCAAGACGGCGCAGCAGAACCAGTTCAAGCTGGAGGCCCTGACGGCCGAGTTCTTCGACGCCCTGGAGGAGATCCTCGGCGCGAAGAGCTACCTGCTGGCCGACGAGGCTGCCACCAGTCTAGACTGTCTGGCCCTCGGGTATCTGAGCCTGGCGCTAGTGCCGGACCTCACGCACACGTGGCTCCGCGATGCCATGGTCGCCAAGGCGCCGCGATTGACAGCCTACACAGAGCGATTGCGACGCAGATGTTACGGACTGGGGGCGCCAGCACCAGCACACGAGGGATCGACCGAGAAGCCGGAGCCAGGATCCACCGTCCTGCCGTGGCAGGCATTCGAGCGCCCCCGGCTGACCACCGTCGGCGCGACGCTATGGAATGCGCTGGCCGACGCCACGCCGATCTGGCGCAACATGCGCGCCTCGACGCGATTACGGGAGGCGGCGGAGGAGTCGGACTCGGGGCTCTCGGACACCGAGAGCAAGGCTCTATCGCAGGTGGCGATCGGCCAGAGAAAGGATCTGCTCGTGTCTGTGGCGACCGTGGTGGGTGGATTCGCGGCGCTAGCGGCGTACATGGTTCATCTGGGGATTCTTGCATTTGCGCTGGAAAAGGAGGAGGAGGAAGGGCTAGGCGAGGAATACGAGATGCCAGAGGCATTCCAGGCGGAGGATCTGTTGTCGTCGTTGCAGATATGAGTGCTGCTGAGTAGATGTTCTGCACTAGCAGCTCTAGCTAGCTAGCTAGGTAACTGGTAGTTGAGTCAGTTGCATGTATTTTTAGCCCCATGGGAAGAACAAGTCTCTATTCAAGGTATCCATCTGACTCAGTCATCCCGTCTCTTTTTGCTTTTTATAAACGAGATTCATTCGGAATTAGCCCCTCGAGCTGCATCTACCTACATCACATACTATACAGTGGACAGTGGACAGTGAACTAGACCCCATACATAGCATGGACGCCAACTCTATAGATTAGAACCAAAAGTAAACACTAACCACCATAACTAGTTACGCCACCATAAGCATGCGACACACCCAGCCCAATGCCAAACTGCACATCATACAGCCGTAAGACCTAACTTCCATAGACCATGCATGAACCACGAGCCAGGAAGCGAATCCTAGCATCTACATACATGCAATGCATGTATAGTTCATCCACAGGTCATAGCCACGGGATATGCATCTAATATCTATTTCTATTTCTACTTCGTAGGCAGAGTACGGGGTAGATACTAAGCACTAAGCACTAGCAAGCATAGGTAGCAAATGGAAATAGATCCCACGTGCGTTTTGTGAATATGGAGATGTGTCTACGTACAAGCAAGGGACATACTTTACTGGCTAACTTGCTAGCTATGGATTGGATTATCTTGTCTCGTATCATCTCAGATTTCTCACATCATCATACCTAACTAAATTACCAAACTAGCTGCTTCGTGTTACGAAGGGTAAGTTAGGGACTAGAGAAAATAGATCATGCTGTATAGGGTAGGTGATTACCTTACTGAGCGAAGGAAGCAAGCAAGCAAGCGAGGAAAAAAGAACGCAAAAAATAGTTTTGGTTATGATTAGATTGAGCAATGTGTGTGTGTGTGTGTGTGTGTATTCCTTTATAGATGAATTGAATACACTTGTCCCTGGCTATCATGTAAAGTATAACTATATGGATAATTACTAGTTAACCAGCTACGTCTATCTGACTCCTTATCTCTACAAAGGAATTGATAGGTGCATACAACTCATATGTATATCAACTGGATTGATAGACTCAATTGCGCTGCTCTTTGGTACATTCATTGTAACTCAAAGTAGATTTAGAACATACGAAAAAGCAAAAAGAAAGAAAGGAAACCGCATCAATTTCCAAAAATAAAAGTCCCCCAGGGCCTCCCTCCCGAAGGGACATGGAGATTCAGATTCAACGCCAACAGGCCTGCACACTGAATCATTGAGTAAAAATAGTGCATAGCGAATACGAACCCTTGGTCTATCTCACCTGTTCAGCACATGATGTGATGTAGGAAATTCCTAGTTACTCCGTACTCCGAAACCAAGACCTCACTCAGGCCTACCCACAGAAGCCACGAAGTTACCAACGAAGACCCAAGTCCCCGAGGAGAAAAAGACAAAACCTACTCCGTAAGTAAGGTAAGAGCTACTCCGTATAGAAAACCAAAACCCAAAAACCAAAAAGTGTAAAGAGCAGGGAAAGAAAAGAAAAAAAGACGACTATCACATCCTGAAACACGCCATTCCACGAGGGACCTAAAAATTAGACCAGGAACACCCGAGTCATCCATCCTCCAATCGCCAATCGATCTATTAATATTATTGTGTTTCCGGCCCGAGGGGGCCGAGGGTACATCTTCTAACTTCTCGGTCGCCAGCCTATATTTACTATATTTAGATGGTAGTTACATATTTGCTTTGAATGGTTTCTTGGTCTAAGGGGTTTGGTCTTTGTTCTTTGTGGTCTGATCTTTGTATACGTACCTGCGGATAATTTGGAAAGATCAATGGAAATAATATGAGTAAGAAAAGAGAGATAAGCAAAAGAAACAAAAGGGGGGATAATTGAATATCAAGTTCGGAGTGCACTACTGTTGGATTCAGGATCAACATGAGATATTAGATAGCAAGATCAAAAGTTCTTCCGGGTATTCTTGGAACTTGTCAACTATGGTATCTAGTCGATTGTTAACCATGGTTATGCAGATGGCAGAATGTACAAGACAAAAGCCATCTTTTCAATCATCTAAATACCCAGTATCTTCACCAAACAGAACAATTTCTCTTCAGAGAGTCTCTTTGTCTCCAATCAATACAAACTGCACATCCTAGAGAAGAATGACCCCTTTCATCTGATACTATACTGGTGCTTAGAGATGGTCCTCACACCGTCCCCTGGGGGCTTTAGATAATGTGGTCGGAAGGCTAGATCAATAATGTCCGCGGCACCGGTGAAACGGAAAGCTCTCGACGAAGACTCAACCCTTCGGCCTCCTACAGAGACGCCAACGAGGATATGTAAACAACATGCTCTAATCCATCATATTATCATCCCTCAACTTGTACAACGATGAATACAAAGCCTAACTTAATAGGCCTTGGTCGGGTTGGATGCGTCATGCGCACTGGAGAAATCGCAGTGAAAACCGCCAATAAATGGACAGTGCCTGACAATGCATCGGAATATACAACCATTGTCTACGAGCAAATGAACAAGACCAACGAGGAGTCCTTGATACACGAAGGACGCATCTATCGACATCTTGCACTGGTAGAAGGTGTCTTGCAGCCGCTTCACATCTCTGATACGGAAATCCGGATGCCGTATATAAGCCACAGATCGCTGGATAAATACATGAGCGCAACTAAGACCGTGGGCGCTACTCAACATAGACAATATCTGGCGTGGTTTCGAAACGCTGCAGACATTATCTCTAGAGTCCATGGGCAGCGGGTTATCGTTGCTGATATTGCAGCACGGAATTTCCTAGTCAACAAAGACCTATCGCTTCAGTTGTGTGATTTTTCTGAATCACTTATCATACCAGAGGACGACGTTCCAGAAGAATTCCTGTCCGAAGATTTCCTCTCGGTCAAATTCGACATCGCTCGTTTTGGGTCCATGATGTACGAGATCGTGTCTGGCCATCGATATGAATTCTACATAAATCCTGAGATCGACAGTGACTTGGACGAGGGCGAATCGAAAACTTACAAAGAATGGCCGACCAGCGACCGGTTTCCAGACACAAGCGATATATTCTTCGGTGATATAATTCGCAAGTGCTGGCGCCGCGATGGGTTTTGCAACATGGAGGATGTTTGTGCCGCCTTGCAAATGGAAGCCAGTTTGGACTGGCGTCACATAGTCCGTGTGGCACGCCCAATAATCACGACGATACTGTTCTCTATGATAGTCGCCCGCCGTCTTCCATGGCGAAAAGCCGTGGATGCCCTTCTATTTAGACGGTAGCCTACCATTCTTGTTCTTACCGAATACTGTATTTGGTCCCAGCTGGAAAAGAATCTTCCCAATGTTAAGTTATCAGGAGACTATAATCATTGAGCTGATATAGAATAACTACGGAGTACCTTTTCGTTAACTAGTTAGACATTTTGGGTCCTTACTAATCAACAATAGAAGCAAAGAACCAGTTCTTACGAGGTAGGGGTGACACTGTACACCGACTCCTTTATCTATCCCTACCCAAATTTGTGTTGTTTCAAGAGCCAAAGAAGTGAGGAAAGCAATACAACTAAATACAATTTAAACCATGGAAATATCTAATCAAGAAAGAAAGTATTTATTTCAAAATAGTAAAAGAAAAAGCTGGAAATAGGTATAAAGAAATGAAGATCCACAGAGAAAAAGAAAAACAAAGACGTTTACTCGTCAAAGTCAATGGTGACGTGGAGACGGACACCGTCGTTGCCCTTGTAGTTACCACCAATGCCATCAACACCCTCCTCGGCAGCGGTGTAGGCGTTGAGCACGTTCTTGGCCAGGTTGCTGATGCTGGAGCAGCCACGGTCGGAGTGCTGGCAGATCTTCATACCCTGAACATCCTGGTTGGCGTTCTGGGCCTGGATGGCGGAGACGTCCCAGCCGGACCAGGTGTGGCCGTCGGGCAGGTCACGGCTGTTCTTGCTGTTACCGAAGTCGAATTCACCCCAGGTGCAGGAGTATCCGCCCATGTCGTCGGTGGGGAGCTTGGTGCCCTTGGCGGCACCCCAGCTACCCTGGGAGTCGCCGTCGAAGGCAACGTACTTGGTCTCGCCGGCGTCGATGGTCAGGGTAAGGGCGGAGTTGCCGCTGTACCATCCGTTGATGCCACCGTCGGGGCCGATCTTGTTCCAGAAGACCATGGTCCAGGGGTCCTTCTCGCTACCGTGCACGGCAATGACGTAGCGGTAGTTGCAGGCGTTGGACTCGGACACCTCCTTGATGTTGCTACCCCAGGGGGAGCCGACGTTGCCCTTGTAGAAGACGTAGTCCTGGTCGTTGTCCAGGGTGCTGGCGCCGAAGCCGTCGCGCGAGAATTCACCGGAGGGGTTGTCGTACCAGTTCTGGCAGCTTCCGCCAGCGGGAGCAGAGGACGAGGAAGACGAGGAAGATCCGCTGGGGGAGGCGGACTGGCTGGCGGTGGGGACGGCAGCGACGGTCACGACCTGAGTAGCACCGCCCTCAGCTTGGAAAGCGGGGGTAGCCTGAGGAGCAGCGGTGGCCTCGGCGCCGGACCACTCGTTGGTCCAGGAGACCATCTTGCCGTCCATCTCGACCTTGACGATGTCACCAATGTCACGCTTCTCAGCGGGGTGAGCATGGCGACGCTCGTGGCCGTGCAGACGAGCAGCGGCAGTGCCGGCGGACAGAGCCGAGAGGAGAAGAATCGAATCCTTGAGCTGCATGGTGGAGATTGAAGAAAGGATTGATATCGGGTATCGATAGTATCAGATAGAAAGTAATCACAAAAGGCGGGGGGTATCACGCGGTGGATCAAAGAAAGATCAACAGAAATCAAAGACCCTCGGGAAACGCGAGAAACAAATCAAGCAATGAATGTCTTGTTGTGAATGAATGACTCGAGCAATGGAAGCTCCGCGATTGTAAGGAGAGAAGTGCGAACCCTGAGGGGGAAAAAGTAAGAGAAGGATGGAAGAGAAGAAAAGGAAGAGAGGGAGAAAGAGAGAGACAACCGGGGGGGGCACGGCGTAATAATAATAAAACTCATAGTCACCGTGCGACTTTGACGGACCGAATTTAATTAAATGAAAAGGGGGCCGATCAGGGGAAGTGCAGGTCGTTGAGTGCAGCGATTGGCGCGCGGAGAGAAACGGTTCCTGAGCTTGCCTTTGTGAACATTTGATTGGATAAGACTAGAGTTTGGCCCCGCTCTAGGCTGCGGTCGAGACTTTCCAGACCCAACAGTCCCGTGGTACCGTACGGTAATCGGTCAGGTCGGTCAGGTACCTGGTACCTTAGTTTACACATCTCCCTCAGTTCCTGACTGACTGTGAACCGAGAAGAATCATGCAAGGCACTCCAAGTACACTCATTTACAGAGAACAGCGATGACTCGGTTGGGTTCCCAAGGGTCTGCTGCGTTGGATCAATCAGAGTCGATCCATTCCGATTATCGAGATTAGATGCATGACATGGAATGCTGCCCGATGTGAGGAATTGGCCCGAGATATGGCCAGAGGTTAAGATCCGACGGTCTATTCTACGGAGTATACTCAGTATTGGTCTGTTCTCGCCGGTCTGAGAGGTTGATTCTGGATAATTGACAATGGATACGTCACTGCCAGCGTGGTGATACATTATCATTCAGATCCAGTCCAGTCCGTCAGGCAATACTACAACCGATGGCCACGTCAAGTCGACCCACGTGAACCGGGCACCGTCAAATCTGCGGACATCACTGCAAGTTGATCTATTCATCGAAGTTGAATCACACCGACAACTGCGAACTGCCAAGCGAGATCATTTCCTCGGAGCAAACAAGTACTGTACCTGCAGTAGTCCTGCCGGTACTCTCTTTCCGATACATACCAGATGTTGGTTTCTCCTGCAATACCCAAGACATGCTGTGTATGTATGTACAGTATGTACATCTGGTGTACCTTACGGTCCTTACCGCGTCCTTCAGGGAGCCCCTTAACCCTTCAGGTACGCTGCGGTCCCTGGAAACCCTGATCCAGGGTCATTGGGGGCGCCATTCTTAGCCCTTCGACGCGAGATGAAAATTCCCAGGGCTCGTTCTCCAGGTACGGTGTAGCACCGTGTAGGCCCTGGCCTTTGGGACATCCCCGTCGACGGTCCAGCCAGTCGGCCGTGGGTCTGGAACGAAAAACACCCAAGACTCAAGAGAAAAAAAATACCCACTCTGGATCCCCTCTCCTCTCTTTCCAGTTTCCATCTCCCCGTGCCCCCGTCGAGTCCACCCTCGACCTCGCCACCGCAGAGACAGAAAACGTGAATCTTGTTGCCGGCGAAGGCCGAGTGTTGCCCTCGGTAACCGACGAGGCGACAACCGGTTCAGAAGGAGGATCATCCATGCAGAAATCGCTCTTCTGGACCGTCTTTACTCTTCAGTAAGCATTCTGTAACCTTACGGCGTAGTAGACTCGCTAACCGCTGGTACAAATAAATAAACACGCGATCCTTGGGGCGGCGAGCCACGGTTATGGCCCGGAACCACTCTTCTGCACACTCGGTACCTCCTGATTATTATTACGTCGTGTTTGAACCTGAATTTGAGCCCTAGGCTGTGCACCTTCGCATATGCCCTTCTACGGAGTACAGTGTACGATCATCAGGATATGGGGGATCCTACTGAGAGGGATTAACGCAGACCTCGACCGGACGGGCCGGGACTCGTAAGCTGCCTTGGTCGACTGGACGATCTGCTAAATTTATCCCCGTCGATCGGTGCATCACGTGGGTTTATCTGCTTAGTAAGTTTATGCCTCAGGTGTCTGTTTTGTCTAATCACCTGACGAGCAGCTAGAACTGCTCATGGGATCATCTCATCTAATCAACATGACATGCTGCGAACAAAATATGTACAATGGTATCGAGGCCTTAAAACTGACCATCACTTCAGATCTACTCCCCCCTCGAACGCCCCTCCTCCGGCGTCCGCATCCACTTGCACGCTCTCGTCCAGCCCGCACACCCGGAACAGCATCTGCGGCGTCATCTCCGGCTGCAAGCCTGGAATCCCATCTCGCTTCAGCTTCAGCATGGCCTCACGGATCGCCTCGCACGCCGGCCCCAGCGCCGCGAAGGGAAAGATGATCATCCGGAACCCCATTTCCTTGGCCTCGGCCGCCGAAATCGACGGCGTTGCGCCGTGCTCGACCATGTTCAAAAGCATCGGCCAGGGCGCCAGCTCTTGAACCGCCTGCCGCGCCATCTCCTTGGACGTGATGCCCTCGAGGAAGCCCACGTCCGCGCCCGCGTCGCGCGCCGCCCGCAACCGCGCCATGCTCTCCTCGTACCCGTGCACCTGGAGGGCGTCGGTGCGCGCGATCACGACAATATCACTGCCAATGCGCTGGCGCGCTTGCACGGCCGCTCGGATCCGCGTGACGTAGGTGTCTCGGTCGACGAGGATCTTGCCGCCCAGGTGCCCGCAGCGTTTCGTCTGCACTTGGTCCTCGATGTGGAAGGCGGCAACGCCCGAGCGCGAGTACTGCTCCGTCGTTCGGGCCACCATGATGGGCCCGCCGTAGCCTGTGTCAGCGTCGGCAATGACGGGGGTCTTGGGGGAGAGGTTCGAGAGCATCTCCGCGTTGGCGCGCATGTCGTTGAGCGTGCAGATGCCTAGGTCTGCTTGGCCGTGGACGGAAGCGGCTGTGCCGGCACCGGTCTAAGGGAGAGGGCATCAATCAGGAGCGTTCCAATGACATGAAGGTAGGCTGGACTTACCATGTAGAGAGCATCGAAGCCTACGGAGAGGGCAATGCGAGCGGACAGGCCGTCATACACTCCGGGGGCGACAATGCAGGAGTTGGGGTCTGCGAGGGTCTGTCGAAGACCAGTGGCGGCTGTGACGATAGGCATTGTGATGGTAACTGATGATGCAGGTTCTTCCTAGACCAACAGATTGAGCTTAAGAAAGCCAGGATCAGGAAATTACTGGGATGTTCTGATGTTTGCCATCGCTTTTATATGGCGGATGGCAATGCCGATCCCGAAACCGGGATGCTTAGATAATCTCGGGGATAACTCGGGGAGCAAATTGAAAGAGTTCTGTAGAAGACAATCGGACTAGAGAGATGTAGAGCTGTAGAAATTCTCGAATTCGAATGATCGGAGTTCCAATTGAATAGCCCATAGATCCTTGTATCAAATTGAGGTCCAACTGAGCCAACCCCGGAAAGCCAAACCCTGCAAACTGCAAAGCGGCCGCGACTCGGCATTTCCACTTCTTTGCCGCTTTCTTCGCCTCTTCACCTCCACTCCACCTCCAACTTCTCTCGACCTTCACCTTCTCATCCTCCACCCTTTCTTTCCCACGAAAACCTCTCAAGTATGATATTCTAGTCGAAGTGATATAGCACATTCCTCACATTCTTCGTTCTCACCACCCATCCATAAGATGGCCCGCTCCGCCATCGTCCAAGAATACGCCCCTCCGCCCGCCTCCACCACCCTCAGTCTCGACCGCAAAGTCACCTCCGAACGGCAACACAATGGCATCGCCCGGCCCAAGGGCTACCGCGTCTCCTGGCACGCCAATCCCGCCGTGGAGCTGCACCACTTCGGCCAGTCGCACCCCATGAAGCCGTGGCGGCTCACGCTCACCAAACAGCTCGTCATGGCCTACGGCATGCACCACGCCATGGACCTCTACCTAGCGCGGTCCGCCACCTACGAAGAGCTCGCCGACTTCCACAAGACCGACTACCTCGATTTCCTGCGCCAGGTGATGCCCGGCGACATGGAGAAGGCGGAGCAGAGCGAGAACGTGGCGCGGTTCAACTTCGGCGACGACTGCCCCATCTTCGACGGGCTGTACGACTACTGCTCCCTCTACGCTGGCGGTACCATCGACGCCGCGCGCAAGCTCTGCAACAACCAATCCGAGATCGCAGTCAACTGGTCCGGCGGCCTGCACCACGCCAAAAAGGCCGAGGCCAGCGGCTTCTGCTACGTCAATGACATCGTCCTCGGCATCCTGCAGCTGCTCCGCCTGCACCCGCGCGTCATGTACATCGACATCGACGTGCACCACGGCGACGGCGTCGAGCAGGCCTTCTGGTCCACCGACCGCGTCCTCACCGTCTCCTTCCACAAGTACGACAAGGACAACTTCTTCCCAGGCACCGGCGCCCTCGACGCCACCGGCCCAACCCACCCCTTGAACCCCGGCGCGCACCACTCCGTCAACGTGCCCCTCCACGACGGCATCGACGACGACTCCTACATCCAGCTCTTCCGCGACGTCGTCGGCAATTGCGTCGACGTGTACCGCCCGGGCGCCATCGTCCTCCAATGCGGCGCCGACTCCCTCGGCTGCGACCGCCTGGGCTGCTTCAACCTCAACGTCGCCGCGCACGGCGCCTGCGTCGCCTACGTCAAGACCTTCAACCTGCCGCTCCTCGTCGTCGGCGGCGGCGGGTACACGCCCCGGAATGTCTCGCGCGCCTGGGCCCACGAAACCTCCATCCTCATCGACGCCCAGGACCAGATCGACCCGCACATCCCGGAGGACGTGTTCTTCCGGAACCACTTCGGGCCGGATTACTCGCTATTCCCGCCCTTGTCGGAGATGCGCAAGCTCGAGAATAAGAACCCGCGACCGTATCTGAATAGTCTGCTGGAGTCGATCCGGGAACAGCTGCGTTACATCGAGGGTGCGCCGAGCGTGCAGATGAGTTTCATTCCGCCTGACATCCTCGGGCTGAGAGAGGAGACGGAACGCGAGATTGAGGAGGAGATTGCGTTGATGGATGAGGAACGCGAGGAGCGCGAGGGCAAGTTTAGTCGGAGACGGGAGTTGGAGAGGGGGTTGCCGACTAGAGGGGAGTTGTATACTGCTTCTTAGTCTTTCCCCCTCTCTTTTCCTTCCCTAGGTACTTTTCTCCCTCTCTTCCCCCTCTCTCTTTGCCCACCCTAGCTGGATCTGATTCGATTTGATGCGATATATTCAGTCGTTGAGATCTGAGGTCATTACAGGGACTGGCTGGCATTGTTCTCCACACTTTCAATTCTGTTTTATTTCAACGTTCATAAAAGGAGTTTACTGGGGGGTTGGCTGGCTGGATTGATTATATTGATTGGCGTTGATACGGAATTTCTTGAATATGTAAATAGGTAGCATTGTTGTAAATACCCATGGCCTTATTGTTTTACCAAAATAAACCACTCTGTTCATCTATCTCGAGAGCAATATACTCCGTACATTCTTCTGTTGATCACTACCGAAAAGATACATACATTTAAAATTGAATAGAACATGGCTTATACATACTAGTCCTATCATATATCTATATAAACAACTCCTCCCCAAGTGAAACTACCTTGATCGTAATTGCAATTCACCAGACAAACTATCCATCCATCCACACAAGCCCAAACGCAACAAGATGTGAAAATGAAGAAAACATTATTGATATTTATAATTAATTCCCAAGAAGTAGACGACGAAAAGAAGAAGAAGGATTCACCTATATCACCGACTCCCGGGTCTGATACTCCTTTCTTATGTTAAGTGTTCAGTGTTCAGGACCATGGATGAGTAAGTCAAAAGTCACGAATGGAAAGTCAATCGGGTATCCAGTACACTTCGCAGATGGGTATGGAGGTAGTAATTTGTGCGTGCGCGCAAAGTGGTCAAGTCAATAATGTGCGAGAAAGGCTCAGCCTGGGAATATGTTGAAATCTTTGATGGAAAGAAGAGGGCTCTGCAGTCTGCAGCCCTCACTGTAACATCCCAAAGATAAACGGTTGAAGGGTTAAGAAATGTTGGTTGATCAACCGGTTCAGCCTGTCAGTCAATCAATCATTCAAACACGGATATGGCAATGTTGGCTGGGTCTCTGTCCGTAGGTGACTACGTTTCGATGACCGAGGGACCGGTTTCTCCCATTCCTGTGCTTTTTGTGGGTTTTTTTTCTCTTTTCATCTGCCTTCCCTCTTCTGTCTCTCCTTTTCTATTTTTGTAGTCTTAAGCTGATATACCGTAGATTGTAGATATCACGGACAAGCTGGTCTTCACGGGATTGGCGCTCAGGGCTTGGGCTTGTCCGTGGCGTTCACGTACTCGTTGAATTCCGCCGTGCGAGAATCTCTCCGCTCCACGGGTGGTTCTTCCTCGTCCTTCACAGGGGGCTGGGGCTGGGACTGGGCCATGGCCGGCTTGGTCTCGGTCTCATCCGACGGCGCTTCGTGCTCCTCCTTCTGCTTGTGAGGCGGGATGTGAAACTGGGAGGGTTCGGTCTGACCTGGAAGAATGGGCGCAATGGACAGGATCTGCTGGTGAGCCCCTTCGGGGTTGTGCGGGTCGCTAATGATCCCCGTCAATGACCGCCCCATGATATTCGGGACATAAAACTTACACTCGGGCGTTGATGATCCAGTCCAGATCTTCTTCTCCCTCGTCCACACCACCCGGCCCTCCTTGCACGCGACGGAACAGCTTCGGCTGCCATTCCACGCCGTCTTCGGCCCTTTTGGCCGCCTCCTCTCGCTGACGATCCTCGATTTTCGTCTTCTCGTCGGTGGCTAGTTCGTGGTTCATGGCGATGACCGCCTTGGCGGTGCTTTGCCATAGACGCTGCGACTCGCGCTCACCCTGCTCTTCGATCGGCCGGGACAACGGAGGAGTATGTTTCGCATGACGTGCGTCGAACAGGAGCTCCTTTTGGTGCGTCTGTAATGGTCAGATTTGGATCCGCAAGAGGGCCAGGAAAACAAGTTACCTGGACGTTCTTGATATGCATCTCTCCGTTCCATAGCCCCGAAAGCTCGTAGTATACCTCGCCCGTCTTCTCGTTCTTGATCGTTCCGCCGATGGCGTTATAAGTGCCGGAGAAGTAGCCCTTAGTCTTGAACTCCAGATCGGCCACCAGGTTGTTCTCCGGACATCTGACGTAACTGTGATCGCCGAGCTCATACTTCATCTTTCCAAAAAGGATACCGCGGGCGTACATATTCGGTTGCGTCAAGATACTAGGTTCGTCAGCCCCCAAGTCCGATAATTGGGCATAGAGATCACGTACTATCGTTCACCCTTTTCCTTGTCCTCCCCGCGGTTCAAGAACCGCAGGATCGCAATCCCCTCCATCATGCTGGCGGCCGAGTTGCCGAGGAATTTGCTGCGTGGCTTAAGCGTTCCGTCGATCCGGATGTGGTGTTCGGGGGCCATGAAGAAATAACTCGATTTGGGCGGATGGTGGGAGGTCTGCTCGGAGATGTAGTACCCGCGGGTACCGTCGGGATAGTCCCAGTAACAGGTGAACGTCTCTCCGAGGATCGGATTCAACGGTTTCTTGACACCTCTGCAGGAAGAGAAGTATATCAGCACGGCGGGATCACTCTTCCGGTCCGGGTGTGACGTACGGAGGTTTGATGTGCCATCCGCTCAGGTAGAACTTGACCACGGAGACGAAACGTTCTAGCGGGTCGTCGACGGTGGGCATGGGCAGGAGGGTTTCCGGATGGGCCATGAAGCTAGAGAAGAGGTGTATTAGTCGAGATCCGGCGATTTTGAAGCCACGTCGGCGCTCACTTGGTGATCCGCTCCAGCATCGATCGCGGTTCCAGGATAAAAGTAGGCAGCACCACTCGACTCAGGTCGGCGCCCGGTCGGAGCTGGGAGATGATGTGTGAGAGGACTGTCCGATTAGCCAAGATTTGTGATGAACTGCGAGATAGAAAATACATACCATTGCCCTGGTCGGGTTCGACAACCTCGTCATCGCCGCTCACGGACCCGGTCTTGGGTTCGTCGAGCGAGGAACGAGTACCTGAGGAATTGAAAAACGAGCCCCAGTCAGCGGACATGATGGGGCGGGAAAGAGAAAAGAGACGATGAGTGAGTGAAGAGAGTGTGTGGAAGAGCGTGGGCGATGGAGGGGAGAAGGAAGAGGAAGAGGGAGAAAAAGAGGAATGACGTGGGAGACGAAAGGAAAGGATGAAGAGGGGCCTCTCCCCGTCTCTCCGTCATTGGCCCGACACTCACTCGCTGGACTGGCCACCGACGACCGTCGTCGAATATGCGGCACCGCAATGGAAACGGGCATTTTGTTCTCGATTCGATTGCGCTGGGCAGGTTGATTCTTTCTTGTTCGTGAGTGAAGTCGACGGTCGCGTTGGGAGACGATCGGTTTCTTAGCAGCAGTTGGGAATGAACAGGCCGGAAATCATCACCTGATAAACTACAAGCTCTTAAGGGAAAGCGAAACAGATCAACTGACAGGCAGACGTGATTCAATCTTCTTTATTTATATCGAGCCATACGAGGAACGAGGGCGAAATTTGATCATCCGGTGGATTCCCATACCCACCTATTTATATGTGGCAGTGGATTCTCCTGCCCGGTCTGACCTCTCTGGCTCTCGCCTCTTCAGCCTTTCGACGATGCCATAACGCGGAAGATATTCATTCCCCTCACGTCGATCATCCCTTAGGCCTCCGTCCAGGGTCCCTCCACATCCCTCCTGCATCTTGTCGCGGTCGATGGATTCTGGACGCGGCCCTCGACCGGCGACGGTATTCGACTGTTAGGCCTAACGATTCCCAGTTCACCGATCGCTGAGCAGGAGGGGCAAAGCCGGCTTGGCGAGTGGGGAGGCCGGCAGGGATGTTCGTGTCCATTGGAATTAATCTGCTGTCATCGGAATGGCCGGTGATATCATCCAGGAGTACCCGAGATGCCACCACAGGCGCCAAGCAGCGTTTGTCTCTGATCTATCGTTGAAATCGGAATAACCTGCTGGAATCGAAAGAACGCCGGAAGAAGATCTGAAACAGATCACTATGAGGTAAAAATAACGCCATAAACCCCTGCTCGTTGGCCTCTACTCTAATCTAACCCGGGAATTTTGAACTGCAGAGAATCCGAAAGCTAACAAAAACAACACATCACAGATTACTCCGTCCCAGCCTCGCAATCAACGGCTCGTCGCCCTGCGTGATCTCCCTCAGGAATGTTGGGTCTGGCTTGTATAGCATGACGTGGAAGTGTTCGACCGCCATCACCGACTTTAACGATTTCCAGTTCTTGAACCAAACCACCTGCGATCGCTTAGCGCTCTCTCTCACATCACCGGGAGGAAGTATATACTGACCTGCTCCGACGGCACCCTCGACCGAAATGTCCTGGCCACGTAGTCGTCGATTTCTCGTCGCGCGCGCGGCGTCAGATCGTCCGTGGCCGGGTCATCCTCTAGCTCGAACTTCGTCCACACCACTAGATGCACGATGCCCTCCTCGAGCCCGTACGGCCAGTCATTATACAGAATCTTGATGTCCTCTATGGATCGGCAAACCGCTACGGTCAGCAATTACGATCACCCATCCAGGACAAGGGACATGATACGAACCATCGCATTCAAACGGCCGCCCCTTTGGCTTCAGATCTTCGACCGCCCCTTCGCCCCAACGCAGCCGCTCCTTGATAATGAACCGCAAAATAGACCCATGCGAGGCGATGATCCGCTCCTTGTATTCCAGGTACTTTCTCAAATCACTCGGCACGCGCTGGAATAGATCGATGCGATTCGTCCCTACGTCGGAGATGATCAGCCTGACCTTAACTTGACATTGACATGGACACCCTATCCCCTTTCCTACAGACAACTCCATTCCGATTTTACTTACGCACGATCTCCTTCACCAGCTCCCATCCTTGTCGCTGATATCGCTCGTCAGGCGTCGACAGGATCTCGATGTTCTTCTGACAGATGTTGCGGAGAAAGTCGGGGCAGTGGGTGGGCCGGTCGGCGTGGGGGACGTTGACATGCCAGTACGGAAGTGACCCGGCGGACGCGGTGGACAGTGCCGTGCTGACGTCGTTGTCTAGCGTTGTGGCAGCCGTAGAGAGTTCCGCTGCGTTGGACATGGCCGGCGATCCGTAGAATCCGTTCTTTGTAGTAGGTAGGAGAAGCTGTAGTCAGCCTGTACGAGGGAGTTGCTGCGTAGACCGGAAAGGGCGGAGGTAAAGAAGGTAGGGGGACGTCGTGTTATATGGTAAATGACTAGATGGAGAACAATTAATAAAAGGGATCCGATTGAATGAGTCGCATTCAGCCCAAACGGTCGGGGATGACGACCGACGACCAACGGGGGCTGCGATCGTCGTCAGAGGGACCCGCTGCGCCAGTGACCATTCGAGCAGCGATTGACCTGCCTTGAGCCAGGAATGCAAGACGAAGGAAGGGGGGTGACCGTCGCATAGTTATTATTACCGAGAAGTTAGTGATTAACTTATTGAAAGAGAGGAACACTCCACCGGGTGGAGAACTGTCATTATTGACTGGGGAGTGACTACTCCGTATTGACTATTGAAAGGAGGTGTATTCATGTGGAGGTTGATATTGAATGTCATACTCCATAGAACAATCAATAATAAAATCGGATTGTCCATGTCACCCTGCAGCAGGGCAAGCAATGTGGCGTAGGCTAATGCGTTAGCACCGTTATTTAGTTGGACGGTAGTATCAACCACCCTTCCGAGGAATCAATGACTATACGAGCCCGGAAGTCCGGAGTAAGTCAACAAGACAATCTGATATTAATAGAATACATCCCCAGGAAATACGAGCTACCAGAAACAGATAACTACCTTATGATAGATAGAACACTCCATAGTCCTCCAGCTCAACGCGTCAAAAACGAAACCTCCGGCCCATCAGACCTCACAATCGACACGCCCGCCGCCTTCAACTCCCTCCGCGCCTCGTCCCAACCCTCCCCAGGATCCACGCACCGCGTCGCATCCTCAACCAAATAGCTCCGAAACCCCGCCTTCGCCGCATCAATCGCCGTATTCTTGACGCAGAACTCCCCCGCCACGCCCACCGTGAACACGCGCGTCACGCCCCTCTCCCTCAAATAAGCCGCCACGTCCGCGTCCGCCGACTGCCCATTCACCGCCGAGTCGAGGTTCCCGAAGGCGTCCGCGAACGCCGAGTACATTTCCACGGTGCTGAGCAGGCCTTTTCGCACGTACAGGTCGATCTTGTTGGTGTTGATCTCCGGGATGAGCTCGGCGCCTTTGGTGCCTTGGATGCAGTGGGCGGGCCAGAGTTTCTGGGGCTTGGTTTCGTGGGCTTTGCCGGGGGCTGGGTTGGCCATGTCGATGTAGCCGGTGGCTGCCGTGGCTGGGGGGTGGTTGCTTGCGAAGGAGATGTGGTTCGGTGGGTGGTAGTCGAGGGATGCGACGCGGGTGGTGAAGCCGGGGTGGGCGAGGAGGGAGTTGATGATCGGGTGGAGGGCGCGCGCGCCGTTGACGGCGAGGGAGCCGTTCTGTGGTTGTCACTGCCTGTCAATGGGGTGTTTCGAATTGATGGAAGAGAGTATGTGGTAGGTACATACCGGCGGACAAAAGTCCTCTTGCATGTCCACTACCAGCAATGCCGCTTTCATCTTGGAATTCCTTGGTATAGAACGGGATGCTCAAAGGTGGTCAAGGAGAACGGTCTTTGTCGAGTCTTTATGAGAAATGTTGAGTTGAAGTGTGAATGGAATTGAGAAAAAGAAGAATGCTGCTCCCTCGGATGTCCGATCTTTTATGGCAGGGTTGCCGTCCAGGATGATGGATGGGGAGGGATGCAGGGAGCGACATCATCGTCTTATCCTCGTGACTTGACTAGCGGATACTGCACAAAGCCACGTCATGATCAAGACCAATTAGAGGAGGAGATCAGAGAGCCCAGAAATGAGCAGCAAGAAAGTAGACCAAAGGGAGAGCCGTGATGCAGCACGAGCAGAAGAACGACAAAACTAGTCCATCTAGCAATCGATAGACGGACAGAGAGAGACAAGTCTAGTCTCGCCTGAGGGTCTGCCAAGACGTGCTGAGTCAGCCGACGAACAAAAAGGGCTCGGGCAACACAAAGAAATGCCAATCCTTCTCTTTCTTCTTCTCTTCAGCAGCTTCTTCTCGACATTCCTCGGGCTGCGGCCCTCGTCTTCTTTCCCCCCTTCAGTAGTTTCTGTTCGGTCGCAGATAATGCGAGGCTCGTTCAAGGTAAGCTTCTCTCCTGGTCTTTCGCCTTTCGTACTGCACCATCTGTCTACCCTGCAATTTCCATGATGATTTCTTAATATTGGAGCTGTCCGAGCTACATCATGCGGATAAACTTATTATATACGCTTTTCATCTTTCTGAATCCTTATGCAATATCCTTTCTTGTTACAATTCTGTCAGATTATCTTCGTACAAGTCATGCTAATCTGCCAGTCAGTCATCACAGGGACCTAGTAGTGATCAGAGCTTCAAGCCTCCTTGATTTTTTATCTTTTTTAAAAATTAAATAACTTTTCTTTAAACAAACAAACCAAGATACAACCCATTCACTGTTTAATCTCTCCTATAAACAAACTATGGCCTATGATCCCAGACTGTCCAGTGCGGGCACTGCGACCCCCGATCCTCCCCCTCCTCCCCCTCCCCCTCCCCCTCCAGAGCCCGTCGCCTCTACCAACACACCCACCATGACGACCGACGAGGAGCAGCGGACGGAGGAGCAGGGACAGGAGAAGGAGGCCGTGGCAGCAGGAGCAGCAGAGAAGGGCACCACCACATCCGAATCAGAATCCGACTCCTACAAACTCCGCTTCTGCACAGTCTGCGCCTCCAACCAGAACCGGTCCATGGAAGCGCACCTGCGACTCTCAACCGCCTCATCCCCCTTCCCCGTCATCTCATTTGGAACCGGCTCGCTCGTCCGCCTCCCCGGACCCTCCATCACGCAACCCAACGTCTACAGCTTCAACTCGACCTCCTACGCACAGATGTACGACGAACTCCTTTCCAAAGACGAGCGCCTCTACCGCAACAACGGCCTCCTGAACATGCTCGAACGCAACCGCAACCTGAAATGGGGTCCCGAGCGCTTCCAAGACTGGGTTCCCGGCCTGCCGCGCGTCGACCACATCGCCAAGGGCGACCGCGGCGCCGTGGGCACCGAAGGCGGCGTCGTGGATGTGATCATCACCTGCGAGGAACGCTGCTGGGACGCCGTCGTCGACGATCTCATGAATAAGGGCTCGTCGTTGAACCGCCCCGTGCATGTCTTCAATGTCGATATTAAGGATAATCATGAGGAGGCGTTGGTGGGCGGGAAGGCGATTTTGGAGCTGGCGAATCGGTTGAATGAGGCTGCTGTGCAGGAGCGGCACGCGAATGGCGTCGAGGGCTGGGAGAATGGGACTGGGGAGGCGAGGAGGAGTTTTGATGAGAAGGTTCCGGATATACTGGCTGCGTGGCAGGAGAAGTGGCCGAATTTGCCGGCGTTGTGGACGTTGGCGTGGTTGTAGACTACGGATTTCTGCCTGGTTTATGGGTAGGGCATGTGTCTTTTTGTTTGAAATGAGCGATGAGCAATTGTTATTCTATTAGGGATTATAGAGAACGGAAATAATATTTCATGATTGTGATAATGGGAAATTAACTAGCCTGGTAGAGGCTGCTTTGTAGTATGTCTAGCCTAGGAGCCATTGTGTATCATTCGATTATCTTACCTGTTGGTGCTTGACTATTCGCGTATGAAGCCATGCAGAGTAACTATTGTGTTATCTACTCTGTTTTCAATAGAATCTAAATAATATCACTTACCATGCTATGTATCACCTACGAAGTCATGAATACTTACAACAATCCATTCCCCATTTGACACAACACTAGATCCTAGACCATAAAAGGAACCAACCAGTTTATCCAAAAATTCGCTATATGAACCAATAAATCATAAACAATAGGGGTATCAATCCAACTACTCCAAAAGCAATAAATCAACCGACCAAGCAGCCCTTCACCCATCCCCTCCTAAAGGAAACTACACTCCATTCCTCAAAACAACCTCCCTTCTCTCCCGATACCACTTCTCCAAACAAGCCCTCCTCTGAGCCTGCGTCATACCCTCCACCACTAACGCAAACTCCGTCGCATCCGAGAACCCAAACCGTCGCGCCATGCTACAGAACTGCCGTTTCTTGACGTCCGCTGGCGGACGGTATCGAAATTGGATTTCCGTACCTGACGAGCCTTTCACATTTCCCACAGAGTCCTCCTGCGAGGGTCCGGCCGTCGCAAAGACGTGCTGGTCGCCGGTTTGCGTACTGTTGGCGGAGTTGAGTTGCTGGGCGCGTCGGCTGAGTCGTTCTTCGACTTTGGAGGAGCCGATGACTTCGTTGTTGAGGTGGGTGTATTCGACCCCGGCGCCGGTGAGGATGGCTTGGATGGGGTCATGTTTTTGGCGCTGGAGTTGGGAGGAGGAGGGGACCATTGGGTCGGTGGTGCTGGGGTCTTCGGGTTTGGTGTCTCCGCGGATCATGGCGGCGAGATGGGTCATGACTTCGTCGTCGTTTTTCGTCTTCTTGGTGTCCGAAAAGTCGTCCGGGTGGTTGTCATCGTCCATGTCGTCGATGTCGATGTCCATGACTTGCACGCCAGCTCGGCTTTCGGCAACGTTGGTCTTGTTAACGATGTCGCGCAGGACGACGTTGTTGTTCTGGTACTCAAAGAGGTTGCTCAGGCCGAAGATTTCGCCCTTCTGGTCTTTTTTCTCCTGCACGCCTTTGAAGTAGCGGCGCTCCGAGCTGGCATTGTAGCCGATGTTCGCCTGCTGCTGCTTGTAGATCTGGCGCGCGTAGACGATCTCTTCGATAGTGCCGGCTGAGATGAGTCGGAACACTTCCACATCTCGGGACTGGCCGATGCGGTAGGCTCGGTCTTGCGCCTGAAGATCATGCGATGGGTTCCAGTTGGGGTCGACGACGACGACCTTGTTCGCCGAGGTGATGTTCAGGCCGACGCCGCCGGATCGCGTGGAGATGAGGAAGACGAACTGTCGCGGGTCCGAGTTGAATTCGTCCACGGCATTGGCCCGTTCCTCGTAGCTCATCGCGCCGTCCAGGTAGCTCACGTTGTAGCTGGTGTAATGGAAAAGCATCTGCAGCATCTTCAGCAGTCGGACGCTGTGGGAGAAGACCAAGACTTTGTCCCCGTTGTCGTGCCACCACTTGAGTAGACGTCGCAGGACCTTCCATTTGCCGCAGAACTCGGAGTTGGCATAGTTGACGATCGAGTCTCGAGTGCGGTACAGCTCCTCCCACTGATCCGGCACTGCGATCTCCAACATGTCCTTGTCTTTCTCTTGCTTCTCGTTCGAGTCCACGCCCTGCGGGATCAAAATGGCCAGGTGATTGCTCAGTTTCTGCAAGATGGCGATCGCAGGAAAGACGTAACTCTGCCATCGGCCCCCAGAGGGTAAATACTCCCGACAGCACCAACCCGCCTTCTTGCCCGACTTGCAGTCACACAAGTCCGAGGCATTCTTAATGTACTGGACAATGTCGCTGTCTAGGAGGTTCTCGTAGGCGTCTGCCTGCGTGTCGGTCAACGGACAGAATACCACTCGATCAATCTTCTTAGGAAGCTGGTCCGCAATCAGCGTCTTCATCCGCCGGAGAAAGAATTGAGGCAGCAGATTTTCCACCAGTTTCTTTGCGGTCTTCCGAGCCCTGCTGAGCTGGTGGAGCGTGGCGTCATGAGACTGTCCGATCCGCAGCGGCTCGGAGACTGTTTTCTTCCAAGCAGTCACCGGGCCTAGCTTTCCGGGATTCGTCCAATTAAGCAACGTCCAAAGCTCCTCGTACTTGTTTTGAATGGCCGTGCCCGTAAGCCCGATTCGACAGAGGGAATTGACGACATTCATCGCTTTCGTGGTCTCCGAACTCCGCTCTTTGATGATGTGGCACTCATCTGCGATCACGCAGTCCCAATCGACCATGTTCACAGCGTCCTTGTTGTGGAGATAAGTGCCGTACGTCGTAATCAGGACCTCGAGGCGTCCTGACCTCGCCGCATGCAGGGCCAGATCCTTGTTTTCGCCATGATACGCATCGAAGTGCCACCAGCCCCAGCGCGAGAACTCTGCCATCCAGTTCTTGATCAATGTGCCAGGGCACACGATCAGCGTCCGAGAATACCATACCTCCTGACCGCTCCGTCTGAGCTTCCGCATGCGCTTCGCATCCCGTTCATCGCCAGTCTTGCCATACGCCGCGGTCAGGAACGCAATCACCTGCACGGTTTTGCCCAGACCCATATCATCACCCAGAATCCCGCCCTTCTGGTAGACGAACAACTCATGCAGAAATGCCGCGCCGTCCACCTGATACTGACGCAACCATTGCGCGATCGGCGCGGGAATCAGCCCTAGGGAATACGGCAGCGTGATATCCTTATAGGGACTGCACGGCTTCAAGTCCTTGAAAGCCGGCTTTTCCTTCAGAAACTCCAGCCGCTCGTCGTCGGAAAATTCCACCTCGTCGTAGTCCGGCGGCAGCTTCAGCCCCGACTGTTTGAGATGCTCTGTTCGGCGATCGAACTTCTCGCGCCGTTTCTGCAGGTAATCTGGCAGCGTGTATTCCATCAGGTCGTCGTCGGATGCAAACTCCTCGCCGTATTCCCTCCAGGGCCGGGTCGGTCGCGTCTTTGCGTCTTGTCGGGGCCGTCGGCCGACGAATGAATTCAGGTCTGCCATTCGGGGGGTTTTGGCTTTGCGCGCGCTCGCGGAGCTGCGTTTGCGCTTGAGCGATTTGCGGTTCTTGAACTCGTTGTAGGCGGCTTCGCCATCGTTGAAGGTGTCGTCGCTGGAGCTGGGCGGGTCTAGGTCCACTACCGGGGTTTGTGGTTTCTTTTCGAGAGGGGAAGAGGGTTGTTTAGTCGGGGTTGAAGTTTCTTTCGGAGGCGTTCCTTGCTCTGTCAAGGACGGACGACTGGTATCTAAACATGTAGACGTGAGTTATCAACCTTGCAGCGAGTGCGGAGAAAGAGCATACTTCTATTGAGTAACCGATTAACCGGAGGTGCAGCGTCGAGATCGTCATTGTCGGAATCGACCGTCGTCGCGTCTGTATCTTCGAGCTCCCATCCCGAGCCCATATCGACTGAGCTTTTAGGGACTTGTGGTTGTCGTGGATGACAGAAGAGAGTGAACGAGAGAGCGCCAGAGATGCGGAGGCGGGATGAAGTAAGACAGCGACTTGCCCCAACGGGAAAAGAGCTGCAAAATGATTTTGTCGCCGCAGCCGGCTTTGTCTCTTCACCTCCGCTGCCCTGTCTTCCACCCACGTCAATCTCCGACCAGGCTTCTATCTCTACTGTTCGGAATTGAACCTTTCGCTTACTTTACTGCCACCAATCTCTTCAATCCCACCGCCAACCCCCGCCAGAATCTTCATTGAAAACTCGCCGCGCCCGTGCGGGGACCCAATTCGACTCTTTCTCTACCTGTTTCAAATTGAACAAAACGAAGTCTACGAAAAATGCCTCTCGATACATCTACAACATATCCCCTGACCAAACTGCGTCTTGATGGCCGTCGCTGGAACGAACTCCGTCTCCTGCAGGCGCAGATCTCCACGAACCCCGCCAGCTCCGGATCCTCGTACCTAGCCATGGGCAACACGGCAATCATGTGCTCCGTTCACGGTCCCGCGGAGGGTCGTCGCGGCGATGCCACCGGCGGCGCTGCCGGGTCGTCGGGGGCCGTCGTCGAGGTGGACGTCAACGTGGCCGGGTTCGCGGGGGTGGATCGCAAGAGAAGGGCGGGCGGAAGTGATAAGTACGTACAGTTGACCTTGAAAGGGGAGAAATACTGACTTGGGTTAATCTAGGCAATCGTCGCGCATCGCTACCACGCTCCGATCGGCCTTCCAGTCTCATCTTCATACCTACCTGTACCCGCACAGCACGATCAGCATCCACGTCTCGGTTCTGTCCGCCGACGGATCGCTCCTGGCCGCGGCGATTAATGCCTGCACGCTGGCTCTGGTGGACGCGGGTGTCCCGATGCCGGGTCTGCTTTGTGGCTGCACGGCCGGGATGAGCGGGAGTGCGTCCACGCCACGAGACCCGCGGAACGACACCCTCGACCCGCTGTTGGATCTGTCGCTGCCCGAGGAGCAGGAGCTGCCGTTCCTGACGGTGGGAACTACGACATCCGTGCCGGTGGGCGAGCATGCGATGGACGACGAGGAGGATATGAAGGTGACGATGCTGAACATGGACTCGAAGGTGCACTGCACGTATGTGGAGACGATGCTGGCGGTGGGCATTGACGGGTGTAAGCAGATCCGGGAGATTCTGGAGGCGGTGATCAAGGGGTCGAATCGGCTATAGCTAGGTTTCTTTTCTGTCTGTTTGGGCTGTTGGTCATCAAAAGCATGTTATGTATATGTATACCCAGAGAGTGCAATTCACGGTGTTGGTCTCACTTTTCTACTAGCTGTAAGCTACAGTCAGTGTCATTTAATCAAGGGATGACATTCTTTAATCGACCTACAGAAGCATGGAAGCTAGCCCTAACTCATTCATAACGTTTCCAAACGAACCGGGTAGAAAGGCTGCTCCCGTGGACATTGGGTATACTTTGAGCAAACAGTAGGACCACTACAAAGTATCGGACCATATGAAGCAAAGCTCAATGCCAAGACGTTTCACTATCGAGAACGATAATCTGAGCAATTAACCTCCCGAACGTGAGCTACACCGTATACTAGTGTAAGCCCATAAACTGATCTGCAGCTCGGCCATCAAGAACAAGAAACAACTGAACCCTAGCTCATCACCCTCCACCCTGAATAATCTCAATAACAATCAAACGATCGAATCAAACGATCCAACTTCCAAATGACAACTCAGCAAGAGTCCCCTGTCGACATGAAAACATAGGAAAGAAGACATCACCAACCCAACCAACCTCAAAAGGAAAAGTCCATCCCGAAATGTGCTCAATTCCGCTCGCCAGCACCGCCGGCCATTGGCCAATGCGTTCCATGGTCTTACGCTGCGGAGTCTCTCGTCATTAGCCCTATTGCCTTTGGGTAGGTTATGCTAGGTAGGTAATAGCCTAACAGGCAATGAGCTCGAGGTATACCGTTCGGCGTAGGGAAAGCGATGGGACCGATACCTTCTTTGTCTTTCTTGGCTTCGCTTCCCTGCAGAGTCTACCGGTTTAGTTCCTAGGCGTGAGGCCATTCGAGCAGAATTCCTGTGACACATGATCTTTTGAATGAGCAGGTTATATACTAGGTATGTATGTACTTGGTCGGTGTTTTCCTTTGGTTTTCTTTGCCAACTAATCTTTTTTTTTTCTTCGTCAAAGATTGTTCATACTTTTTCTATGTATGGCATGACATTTATCTGCTGATTCGGTCTGATCTGATATCTTAATACTTTAACCCGGTCTCCCCTTCAGATATAAACTCGAGAATCCATCAATACCAGACGTCGATCCCAACCCTGACACCAAAATCACAATGAATCACATGGACCACATGAGCATGACCATGAGCATGGCCTCAACAGGAACCGCCACAGCGCCTATGAGCACAGGCACCTCAATGGACATGGACATGGACATGGGCGGGATGTCTCATGATATGGGAGGGAGTTGTAAGATATCAGTGAGTCTATTCTATGCACATATGTGTACATACATCCCCATTGAGTGCACATTCAGATGGAGATGTTATATGATATGATGAGTACAACAGTTATAAGATCAGTTAACTGACAACCAAATCAATTGAAAATAGATGCTCTGGAACTGGAATACTATTGACGCTTGTACGTCCTCTTCTCTCCCATACCTCCGTCTTAACCTCATACCTACACCCCTATACATCCCTCCTCCATCACCAACAACACTAGCTATTGAATCCATCACGACGCTACCTAGTACTGCACACACACACACACACACACACACACACACACACATCACCACCCACCTAAACAACCAACCATTCACTTACCTAAATGAATAGGCTTCCTCTCCTCAACCTGGCACATAACCTCAAAAGGCATGTTCGCCGGTTCCTGCATCGGCGTCATCCTACTAGTCATGAGCCTTGAATTCCTCCGTCGCGTGGGCCGCGAATACGATGCGTTTATCATCCGGCGGGCGAGGTTACGGAATCAATACCTTGATTCTTCTACTTCTACTTCTACTACCAACGTCCATACAGGGAGTGGTAGCAGTAGCAAAGCGCCAGACACAACCACAACCACAAACACCACGAACCCCAACAAGAACGATAACAACAACATCCACACCCCATACCCAAAAACAAACAGGAGAGATGAATTCCGCCCCACGCCCATCGAACAAACCATCCGGGCCCTCCTGCACATGGTGCAGTTCGCAGTGGCCTATTTCGTGATGCTCCTGGCTATGTACTTCAACGGATACATCATCATCTGTATATTCATCGGGGCGTTCTTAGGCGCGATGGTATTTTCGTGGGAGGTCATTGGTGGGAATACAGATCGGTAGGTTCTTTTCCTTTTTCTTTTCCTTTTTCTTTTCCTTTTTCTTTTTCTTTCCATTCTGATATAGGTTTGGGGTTTCTGTTTTGGTGGAGGGGGTTTGATGTGTGTTTCTGTTGATTAGACTGGGTGGGCTGACGATTGAATTTAGGAATGATGCGACGGCGGTTACAAAGTGTTGTGGGTGAGTTTACTCTTCTGAGTATTCGTTGTTGTTGGTTGTTGGATAGAGATGGGGCTGTCATCAAGGTATTGGATTGAGTCTACAGTGTATGCGCATATCTATCGATATAGATCAGAACAGACAGATGAGAACACTATCATAGTAACAAGACCACTCCTACACGATTACTAGTCCACCAACAGTCTAAATCCTACAATCTACTACTCCGTACGTGACTACAACCTCGGAACAACTCCCACACTACAAAGATCAGTTACACGTAAAGTTCGTTTGATCAGATAGACACTCTAGATTACACCACACGCGAGAGAAGAATTGAAACACGAGAAGACCACCGTCACCTCATCCCGATCAGCCCGCCTTCTTTTTCAAGACAGCAGCGCCAGCCAGGACAAGGTCCGTCCAGGGCACACATATTTTCCACTTTATCGAACATGGTGATTTTTGTGTGTTTTTTCCGGTTTCTCAAACTTACAACTCACCAGCGTCAACAATGGTGGGCTTGATGTTGGAGCGCACGGCACCGGTGTTGCTGCCGAGAGCCTCGATCTCCTTGACGACCTTCATGGAATCCTCGTCGGCGACCTCACCGAAGACAACGTGCTTGCCGTCGAGCCAAGAAGTCACAACGGTGGTGATGAAGAACTGGGAGCCGTTGCTGCAGGGGAATGGTTAATCTGGGATCTCTCATGTTCTGACGTGACGATAACTTACGTGTTGGGGCCAGCGTTGGCCATGGAGAGGAGACCAGGGCGGGTGTGCTTGTAGATGAAGTTCTCATCGGCGAACTTCTCGCCGTAGATGGAGCGACCACCGGTACCCTATAGCCGTTAGCTACCTGCCAGATACCAAGGAAAGACAAAACTTACGTTGCCGCGGGTGAAGTCACCACCCTGAAGCATGAAGCTGGGGATGATACGGTGGAAGCTGGAGCCCTTGTAACCCTGACCCTGAGGAGCCTTGCAGAGCTCACGGAAGTTCTTCGCGGTCTTGGGGACGTCCTTCTCGTAGAGGTTGAAGACGACACGGGACGTCTTGGCTAGAGAGCGAAGCATTGTCAGTAAGATCGAGAAAACCAAATAGATCTCGTTTCCTCACTCGAAGAATTGGCGGTCATCTTTGGAGGGGTTCCTCAGAATTACCCCTCCTCAGCCATCAAACTCAAGCCGAGAAAAACAAAAAACAAACAGGGGAGATACATACGGGCAGAGCTGCCCACAGGGGCGTACTGAATGTCAAAGAAGGCCTTGGTGTTTCCAGACATGGCTGCGGCGGTTTGATGGAATGAACGAAGAGAGAGAAAAGAAGGATTGCAATTGAGCGAGGAGAAGAGGGGACGAGAAGAGAAGGACGAGCAAAGTGGGGTTGTTGTTGACCTCAGGCTTCGGGAGAACATTGTTGCTGGAGGGGCAAGCGGCGGGACAACTCGGCGGCCGGGTCACGGGTTCTGCGGCGCCGGTTAGTTCCTGGCAGTTAAGGGCGCGGGGGGCAGCCTCAGGCCCGTATTACGTCAGCCACCGCCATGGGGGCCTGAGGCCGCCACCTGGTTGGTTGGCGCAACACCGACAAGCTGAGCAGGGCAAAAATAAAGGGGGGCCGGTGGAAGAACGTGGAATTCGGACGGCCATTGACTGGTTTCCCCGCAGGCCGCGGAGGTGGTCATGGCCTGCTCCTCGAATTGCGTGATGCAGCCAGGATTCGGGGTTCACACTTACTGGGGGAGGTTTGGCTGGGAGGAAATTTCTGGAAGCCGGAAAACGCTGGGATGCTGCGAGACTTTGCGGTTGAGGCCGGAAAAGCAATCAATTTAAGACCAACCAGAGCTCCCGAATGGGTTTAGCCTGAAGAGCTTGGATTATCTAATACACTGTGGCTAGTAACTTCCAGTCTAGAAAGATATAGAAAGTGGACGGTCGGAAGGCAGGAATCAGAATATACACAACTTGTTTGATGGAAAGTTAAGGAAATCTGTCCTGACAGAATGGAATGCAGCTCCTGCAGTCCACGTGATGTCCGCCCCGATCTACAATGTGGCAACACTCGACAGCTCATCTCGACATGGCATCTAGCAAGCTAGCAAACTAGCACCGACGACGACCTTCAACTCGATCAGATTCACGAGATAAGACAGCCAGCCTCTCCATAATATATCCATTCTAATTGCAACGAAACCCGACCAAACAAGTCACACAGTGGCAAACACTGAGAAGAAAGTACAGGATCAAGAAGAAACCGCTAATCGAAACGATCGAAGAAAGCAAGCAAAATAATCCACAAGAAGACAAAAGGCAGTCAATAAGTATACAGATCCTGTGCGAAATTATAAAATTCACAAATGAGAAAGGAAATAAAGAATAAAAGGGTAGATCAGAATAGAAATCATAAGCTCCACTAAATTCAACATGTCGTTTCACATGGTTGCTCATTGTCATGCATGATTACTGAGTTAAATCAGTGTGCTCGAATATCAATGGCTTACGGGCCATGTGAATTATAAGGTAAAATGTCCAGTCGAATAGAAGTTAAAAAAAAAAGAAGACAAATGTCAGGTCGTGAGACATCAGAGCACAGTGACAAGATCCGTTTACCGGAAATCATCCTCGGCGTCATCCTCATGCCCCGGATCTAACCGCTGCACAAGTTCCTTGGTCACCCTGGCGATTTCAAAAGCGATGGGAGGAAGTTTGTTCGTGACGGTATTGAAGACTTCATCGTAGGAAAGGCCTTCGCCTTCCGCTGCAGCCTTCAGCAGTCGACTCCGGTGATGATCCAGGGTTTCGATGGTGGACCCAGCTCGGTCCATGAGTACGGGACTAGTGCCGGGCTTGTGGATGAAATGCTCCGTAGACGCGACAACATTGGTCACGACCGAAGAGATCGCGGAAACATGGGTGCGGATGGTAGTTAGGCCCTCTTCTCCACGGATGCTGGCCACGAGAGCCTGGATAGACTGCACAAGGCCGTCGGTCTGATCTTCTACGTAGAGCTGCAAGAGGTTAGATTGTTTCATACACAAGACGAATCTAGACAAACCTTGAGTTCCTGAAGCTCATGATCTTCAGGTTGCAATCCGTAGTTGACCTTCAGGGGGTGGTCCAGGCCGTTGGGGATATTGTCCGATGTAGGGTTCCGAGAATGGTTAGACGGAGGACTCATAGCGCTGTAGACAGATCCGTTGTTGCTCATTCTTCGCTGGCTGGGAGCTACGCTAAAGTAGTCCGGCGATTGCATCTGAGCGAGCTGCTGCTCCTCCTCGACCTCGTCCAGGTCATCAGCCGGACTAGCCTGGATCTTGACCAGCCGAAGCAGCTCGATAATCGCGGTTGACAGGTGCGAGGCAGCGGCATCCAGGAGAGAGACCGGGGAAAGACCGTTGGAGCTGGCGAAGTTCTTGGACGCGGTGATCAGATTGTTCGCCGTCGCCGAGACTTTGCGCGTGGCCTTGGTGCGCAACTGAGACGTCCCATCGCCGAGATCTGGAGACACTTCGACATCGTGCAGCACATGACGGACCGCAATCACAACGGTCTTGATCTGCTGCATGACAAGCTGGTGGTCATCGAAACGCGCCACGCGCAGAAGCTCGTCGATGGAGATCTGGAACTTGGTCACATGAACATCCTTGATCAAGCCATTCTCGTGCAGCAGCTCGTTATCTCTGGCAACAGTGCTGGCATCCGGAAGCGCCTCGGGAATGCCAGACGTCGAGGCTCGGAGGTGTCGTAACTGAGACTTCGCCTTGGCATACCGACTCTTCCACTGTTTGATCTCCTCTTCCAGCCGGTGGACTTCGCCAGACAGGCGCTCTTCGTGCTCCCATCTCGAGTGACTTTGTTCCGACAAGGCCCTCATTTCCATCAGGAAACCGGCGGCCTCCCGTTTGACCTCCTCCGTCACCTGCTGCTGTTCCTGCAGCTCGCCTTGCAATCCCCGGTGCTTGATCTCGAGGTCGGCAAAACGAGCCTGCAGCTCAGGATCGTTACCACCTTGCCGGGATGACTCGTCGATCTGGGTTCGAAGATCCCGTTCCATAGCGTCGTGCTCCATTCGGACCTTATCAAGCTCCAACTGCAACGAACTATTCAAGTCTTCCGCCTTGGAGATTTTGCTCTCCAGCTCCATTTTGATATCCTCCCATTCCTGCCGTTCGAATGTACTGATCTACGTAATGGTTAGGATAACAGGTTGAGAGGTCTCAATCGATACAAACATACCTGGGACTTGTCCTGCTCTTCCCGGTATCGATCGATCTCCTCGTCTTTCGATTTGATGAGATCTTCTAGCTTGCCCACCTTGCTTTGGTCCTCCTGGTGTTTGGCGATCTCTTCATCCTTTGCTTTGAGCATCTCCTCGAGCTTATTCACCTTATCCTGCAGCGTCGAATTTTGAGCCTGCGTGTCCGCCAGCAGCTTGCGATCCCCGTCTCCTAGAGTCGTGGTCGTCCCGCGCCGACTCTGCAGCACCGCATCCAGAGCAAAGGCATCGCTCCGCGCGTCATAGTCATCATCCATACCGGCCATATCATCGTCGTCCTCCACCATGGTACTTTTATTGGGAACGATTGTATTGCTCTGGAAGGACTTCGCCGTTGGACCATCCCCATTGACGGAGGGCGGCGCTCCGCCCAGAGACCCGTGCCGAGGAGGGAACGGACTGCCCGGAGGACCGCCCGACGGATATCCTCCTCTGCCACGCGGCGGACCGCGAGATTGCGACCGTCGACTCCCCGGAGGCGGCGGCGGGTATCCCGGACCGTAGGGGCCGGGCGGGTAGCCATTGGAAGGGCGGCCCCGGAAACTGGGGGCGGGACTCGCTCGGCGGGATTCCCGCGCCGGGAACTGGGGGAAGCGGCGCTCCAGCTCGCAGTAGACATCGGTGGCGAGATCTCTGAAGCGCTGATGCTGCAGCGAGGCCAGCTTCTGACGCGCCTGGTTGCGCTTCTCGTGGAAATCCTCACGGGGAGGCAGGAAGGGCGGAACGTCGGGGCGAGGCGGCCGCGAGGGCGACGGCGCGGCCTGCTGGCGTCGCAGCAGTTCGTCGTAGACGTCGGTACTCAGCTCGTGAAACTGGGTGGCGGACAATCGCAGCAACTTGTCGCGGGCCTTGCTCTGCTTGCCATTCCGGGGATCGTCCCGGTAGCCCATGTGCAGGAAGCGTCTCAAGGCCACATAATGCTGACCCAGAAATTCCTCCATCTTCTTGTGGCGGGCGCTCTTCTTATCGGCCAGCGTGCCATCGCTGGAACGGGCGGCCACGGAGCTGGGAGGCGACGGGTTCCCCGAGTCGCTCACCTGGCTGGAGGCACTTCCATTTCGCACGCCGTTGGTGGCGCTGGGGACGCCGGACGTAGGGGGGGTGGCTAGATTGCCGCGGTTCGAGAAGGTCGGGGAGAAGGGCGGATCGGATTTCTGGTACTGATTGATTCCCGACCAGTCACTGCCGTCCACGGAGACCGGCGACATGGTCCCTGAATGACCATTCATAGGGGGCCGAGATGTCGGCGGTCACGCTGCACCCGGAGCCGCTGATTCGGGGGGAGGGCAACGACGCTTGACCTGCAGAAAGGAGAAACGGCCTGACGACTAGGCATTCGAGGACTGGACGGGTTTAAAATAGAGAGTAGAAAGAGAAAAAATGTTTGCAACGATGAAACTGTAAGAAAGAAGAGAGAGAAAGAAAAAATGCGACGCGGAGAGCGACAGGGGTGGATCAACAAAATCCGGGAGGTACGGAGGTAAGATGGTTAATTTCGATCGTGGCTGACGGTAAGGAGCGACGGGTCCGTTCGTGCACTGAGGCTGGCCGGAGATTATTTATTATAGCAAGCGGAGGAATATAATCATGCACAAACAATAAGAGTCAAGTCAAAGGAACGGATGAGAGGAAGGAGAAGAAGCAAAGAAAAAAAGCAGCCACCCGGACAGGACGAGGAAGAAAGAGCAGAAGAAAGCCAACCAAAGGAGAGTGCAGCAGCAGAGAGAGAGAACGAGCGAGAGCGCCAGATCGGCCCAACAACGCCAGAGTTCAGGAATTAGTGAGTCGAGCCAGACCCAAACAGCCACAGCAGACGAGGTTCCCAAGGCCAAAGGAAGTGGAGTGGAGGAAGAACGGAGCCGGGGAGACGGGCGAGAGTCAGTAGCGGTATTTTATGTAGAGGACGGAGTAAGGAGACTCCCTTACTGCTGCACTCCCCAGATCTGAATGTCATACATCAGGACCAGTACATACTGAATGCACATGCATATACTGTGTACTGCTACTACTGTACATACTGTACATGTTCAGGATATTGTCTACAGATACCTGCAGTTACATGGATACCATAGATTAATACCGTACGGTAATACCACCGATCTCGAACGATCCCAATTAGGGTTAGCGTTAGTCTCCTGTGGCGGTGCGCTTTGTTTGCAGGGAAATTCCTCTTGATTCTTTATCTACAAGTACAATGTCTTCTGACACAGTTATCCTTTACCTTGACTATCTTAAGTCAAAGACTATTATATGTACTCGCATCCTAATCACCTCAAACCATCTATTGAAAATAGGAGAACCAAAACCAAAACCAAAGATCGTCCGGGGCCATTCCCATTAACGAGGATACAAGCCAACTCTCCAGGCTGGGCGATCCACATGGCCCGACTTAGCTCAGGAGGTCCTGCTGGTTGCTGCGTGAGTCTGGACCGTTTACTGTTTAGCCGCCCCCAAAGGACGGTCGTGCCGTAATTGCCTTACATTAGTCGGTCTACCAGGCAGCTCCCTGGTAAGGTGTGCCGGTACTTGAGGACCATAGTAATTGTGAAGTGGTCTTTGGAGTTCGGTAGATCGAGTTCATGTCTTTTGATTTATTTTAATTAGGACATTGACCACCCTGTGCCTCACTATCTGCACGGAGGATCGGATCTATTTAGGATCTATACACCGTTCGTGAACTCACTACCCAACTTACACCGTACATAGTTAACCAGTCTACCCCGTAAATTATACCTTAGAGTTAACCCAGGCAATCCAATAATCCACCATTAATTTCCTCCGATCAGGCAGCCAGTCTCGACCAATCCTCCATCATGCCACAATATATCAACAAACCATAAATAAACCGGTCCCGGCTCTAACCCGCCGCCTTCGTTTCAGAGTCGAACATGCCGCACGTCAACCAACCAGCCAGCTAGTTCGGCTGGTACTATGGAGTAGAGCGTTGCTGACAGGAGGCTCAATTTGAACTGTCATTCTTCAGTACGCCTGATTTCATGCTTGTTGACTTGTATATTTTTGTTGTAGATTCAATGTGAATTGGGTAGATAGTAACTATGGGTATGGATAGAAATGAAGTAGATACATCATCCAGACTATATATCACATCATAACTACCTTCCCAGACTACTAAAGATACCCCGCATGCTCAAGCATTCAGTCCCTCCCATTTTTCTCTTCCCTTCACTCAATAAAACAGAACCTAACAATCAAAATAACAAACTCACCCAGCACTGCGAATCTGGCTCTGAAAGAATGTCATCTCCCGTCCGCTTCGACCACGTTCTCATCGAACTCTCCACCCGAGACTTCGAGGCCCCGCCGTCGTGGCTGACGGACAATTTCACCATCCTCGAGGGTGGTACGCACGCGGGTATGACCTTCTAGAGTTACACAGAGCCAATGTTTTGTTTTGATGTCCTCTGCATTTATACATCTATACAAACTACCTACCCTTCCTGTATCCCTACCTTCCTCCATCCCTATCTACTTACCCCAAGCAACCAAACAACCCACCATTAATACTATACTAACCCCAACCCCAACCCCATTCCAAACATAACACCTACCTAGGTATACCTATAACCAGTTAACAAAAAAAAAAAAAAAACACAGGAGGACTAACCCGCAACAACCTAATCCCCCTCCCGGACACCACCTACATCGAACTCCTCAACATCATCACCCCGCCCGCGTCCCACGAGGACTGGACCAGCAAATACCCCGGCGATTTCGCCCTAACGACCCTCCCGCCTGTCACTGCAACGGAGAATTACAATCGGTTGGTTAGTGCATTGAAATCCCCAAACGGAGGAGACGGAGGGGACGGTACCCTCGGCATCAACGTCACATACAAGCCGCCCATCCCTGGCGGCCGGAAAACCCCATCCGGAGAGGATGTGAAGTGGGAGATTGTTAAAGCGGAGGTTTTGTCTACTCAGCCTGAGGGTACTGGTAGAGGAGCACAGTACGGTCCAACCACCGTGCCGTTCTTCTGCCACGACGTGACGGATCGCAAGGTGCGGGTTCCTCGGGTGCCGGAGTCCGGGCATCCGTCTGGGGTGGTGGGCATTAAGGCGATTGAGGTGGTGGTGCCGGGGAAGGAGATAGATGCGTTTGCGGAGCTGTATACGGCTGTGTTGGGGGTGGAGGAGCGGACGACAGAAGGAGGGGATAGGGAGTTTGCGTTGAGGGCGCCAGGAACGGAGGAAGAGACGGGAGTGGTGAGGGTGAGAGCGTCCAGGACGGAGGAGGATGAGAGGTATCTAAAGGAAAGGGGGGTGGGGGTGAGTGCGTTGGTGTTTAGGGTACAGGGGGATGGGGAGTTGAGACTCCCGATTGCGGGATATTATCTTCAGGGACGGTAGGGTTGACTGCTACCCATCTTATATCGCTAGATGGTTTATAGAGGAATAGTGATAACTAGCAAACATGTTCATATTCGTTCTATGGAATTATACATAGGTTGTAAATGTTCATTTCCCATCCAGTCCATCGATCACCAGCTCTCCCCTTCGTTAAAATAAAAATGAACCCCTTTTCTGTTCGCGTGGTGTCGACATGACCGTGTTTCTATCATGTCCAAGTCTGAGCGCATCCGGCGCCGATAAAAAGTTTCAGTACTCCTAGACTCCAGGTACTGATCCCCACGAAATGGAAGTGTCCTCTTTCGGGTACAGATCAGTATCACCATACAGAGAACGATGTACCAAAAGCAAAGAAGAAGAAAAAAAAATACAAGAGATCCAAGGATCCAAATAAAAGACACGACGAAACTCTCCAAAAGAGCGTTTTGGTTGGTGGCCGGGGAACATTGGGGTATCGTGTGAATGCCCAATTGGGAGAACGGCCGTGAGGTAAGGGGTAGAAAGAAGGAGCCCCTTAGATAATACCACCACAAAGTAGCGGTGGATTTCCTTTCCAGTGGTAAAGTAAGATTGGTTACACACTAGACTTGGCTATTATTTGGAGCCCGTCATGCTCAGACCACGAGCCGCCCCGACAGCCGCCGAGACAGGAGTGGCCGACCGAGTGGGAGCGGCACTCCGGTTGTGTGCCATGTGAGCCCGGACGAGGTGACCGGCGGCCAAAGCGGAACACAGACTCAATTCTCCGGCAAGAACGGCAGCACCGACGATGCGCGCAAGCTGGCGAGCATTATCTCCGGGGTTGGTGGGGTGGGCGCCACGAACGCCGAGCATATCCAACATGGCAGATTGTCCCTCGAGGATAGTACCGCCACCAATAGTGCCGACTTCAATAGAAGGCATGGACACGGAGATTTGGAGGTTACCATTGGTACTAAAAAGAATTGTTAGTATGCATCTTCGGGTACACCGAGGAGATCAGATGACAACTTACTTTCTCATCGTCGTGATACAACTGCTCGATTCCACGTTCTGCGCGGGATCTTGACCGGTGGCAAGGAAGATAGCCGTGACCATGTTAGCAGCGTGCGCGTTGAAGCCACCCAAGCTTCCCGCCATCGCACTACCGATCAAGTTCTTGCTGGTGTTCAGTTCAACCAAGGCGTCGACATCGCTCTTCAGAACGCTGCGAACGACGTCTCCCGGGATGATAGCCTCGGCCACGATCGACTTACCACGGCCATCGATCCAGTTGAGCGCAGCAGACTTCTTGTCCGTGCAGAAGTTTCCGGAAACCGAGATGGTGGCCATATCGTCAAAGCCACATTCGGTAGACATAACACTAAGCGCCTTCTCCACACCCTTCGAGATCATGTTCATACCCATGGCATCGCCGGTGGTGGTCTTGAATCGAATGTACAGATAGGTGCCGGCAAGCGCAGTCTTGAGATGCTGGAGACGGGCAAACCGACTGGTGGAGTTGAACGCTGCAGTCAGGATGCTCGTACCCTCCTCGGAATCAATCCAGACCTTGGCAGCAGCGGCTCGGGCAAGAGTAGGGAAACCAACGCAGGGGCCTCGGGTCATGCCGTCGCCCGTGAGAACGGTAACGGCACCGCCACCTGCATTAATAGCCTTCGCACCGCGACTGGCGCTGGCAACCAAGACACCTTCAGTAGTAGCCATGGGAATGAAGTAGCTTTGACCGTCGATAGTAAGAGGACCAGCGACACCAAGAGGCAAGGGCAAGTAACCAATGACGTTCTCACAACAGGCACCGTGGACGAGACTGTAGTTATAGTCCTTGTACGGGAGCTTGGACTTCTCCAGGGAGCTCGTCACAGCGGCGGTAGCCTTGGTACGGGAGACGACACCTCGGCGGATCTTGACCGCTCTGGTGAAGGCGTCAACCCGACTCATGAGGTCCTCGTTTTCCATCGTCTTTTCGAGAGCGTATCCAGGGATCTTGCCGCGGACAGAAAGGTCAATCAGTTCCTCATCAGTCAGGTAAGCAGCGCGCTTGTCCTTGAGCATGGCCTCACACTCCTCGGGCGTTCTCGTGGGGCCTTCAGGGTTGTTGAGATCGATCTTCGGGTATTCCTTCGGCTCGGCGGGAGCCACCTTAGGGGGAAGAGGAGCGGCCTCGGGTTCCCTAATACTCCACCGGGCGGCGTTAAAGAGATAGCCGTTCAAGATGATGCTCAGAGTCAAGGCAGCGATGATCCACTTGCTGATGATCGGGTCCTCGACGCTCTTCAGGAGGCTGTCGATCACTCGTCCACCAACCGCGTCCAGGAATTGGTCGGTGTATTCGATGTCGAAAGACTGACCTTCCTCAGGGACGGCGTAGTGCACCGAAGGGTATTCCAGCTTGTACTTGACAGGGGGAATGACAGTTACGACAGTTTCCATCATCTGGCTCTTGGCGGAGACGTAGATGGAGTCGAGACCATTTTCAGCAACCTTAAAGGGGTCGATCGGCGTCGGTGCCAGCACGTTGGAGACCCGCGAGATGATGGGAATATTCGAGTTGTTGGCGGAGTTGCGGAACGGAATGGCGGATAGGTTAACCACATTGACCAGGACGAAGCCTCCCACCATGAGGATCTTGAAGCGGCGGACGTTGCTGGACTTGATCTTTCTTCCGAAGATGCTGGTGTCGCCATCGTTGTCCGAGCTCGACTGGAGCCAGTCGTTGTTGGACGCGACGTTCTCGGCAACCCGCTGAGTGATTCCATCCTCCTCCAAGGCCTTGCGCGTCGCAACATGATGCTTAATGCGCGTGATCTCGAGCTTAATGCAAAGGATGGTGGTGTAGAACGTAAAGAGGAGCACGCAGTCGAAGAAAAGGATCCAAGCCGCGAGGAAACAGAACTGTCTCAAACCACCCTGCACCCCAGAAGCCGCTCCGGCGACCAGGATGCCGATCTCAATACAGTAGTCACGAACAATTTCGAATCCCTGGTGCTTAATCGCAGTCTGAATCGAGTCCTGGATGGATCTCGGAGCGGGCTGGTTGGGAGCGGTACCTGGGGCACCCTGGCGCTTGCGGTCCACGGACGCGTGAAGCACGGCACGAGTGAGAATGATCGGTTTCTCAAATCCAACGGTAACGACGAGGAAAGGAAGACCCTCGGACAGAAGAAGCATATTGATCGGGACACCGAGCTTAGTCGTCACAAGGAGACCGAAGAGGAAGGCAAACATGCCGGACAGAAGAACGGTGAATGCCAACCAGGACCGCGAGCCGAGACGACGCATGGAGAAGAACAGGGAGACGAAGCTGAGATGCATGGAAAGATAGCCCAGAGTCATGATGACAATATCGATCGTTTCGGCATGCTGACGCGGCGTTAGCAATCGATGTACCTAGAAATGAATATGTTCGTCCAAAGAGACAGTACCTTGATCAGATCCACAAAGGAGCTCCAGGCATCGGTCAACCAGAGTTGCAACGATCGGGTCGAGCCAGAAGCTGGGCCGCGAGCCGCACGCATAATCCATTTTTTCTGCTCGCCAATGTCCTCGTCCGCCGACGGATCGGGGATCTCCTGCACCGCCTTCAGGAATTGAGGAACCTGATCAAAGGGAAGAGCATAGGCGAGCGACGAGTCCTGGGAGAAAGGCGAGAAGAGGTTCGGGGTGTGAGGAACCACCTGCGCGGAGGCGTTGGCGGGAACGGGTACTTCTTCCGCGACGGGGGCCGTGGAGGCGGATCGCGACAGGGAGTCAGGGAAAATGAAGGTGGCCAATGCCAGATGCTGGGCGACCTAGAGGGAAGCAACAAGATCATGGTTAGAATGGCACGAGCAATGCAAGAATAGGTTGGCGTTGTCAATGGCAGACTTACCTCGCCCTCATTGTGCGTCAACGCGTCATCTACCTGCCATTTCCAGGAAGTGCTTTCACCCAAACGGAGGTTCCTGCTGCCCTGGAGAAGGGTGTCGACATCCACTTGACCAGCGACATTCCTCGGGTTTCGGATTGTATCGAAAATACTGCCCTCGATGAGCCCGACGTAGGTGGTGCTGGCGAGCAAGGCGACGACCACGATGGTGTGAATGGGATGGAGACAAGCACGGCGCGAGATGGTTTGCAGGACGTTGGTAACCTGACGCTTCAACCACCCCGGTTCGGCCTCCTCACCGTCGGCCGGGCGAAACGTCCGCGGAATTAGAGTCGCAGCCATGTTGGATGGTCGGGAGGGAGGAGGAGGGGGGAGGAGAGGAGAGGAAAAGGGAAAAGAAGGGAGGGAAGCGGTGTGGGCCGCGATTTAAGAGAAAGATAGTCCGCTTGATACTATCGACGGCCCGCAGGGGGGTTTGTCTCCCTGTCGGAAAGACCGCCACCGAGGGTTTGGTTTGGCGACGGTTCGGATTTCACGCAAAGACTTGTACGAGACTAACGGGTGTAACTGAAAAAGTCCCGGTCCCACAGTGACATGGGAGAGAGGGAGCCCAAGAAATAAATAAATAATGGATCAATGATTAGGGTTGGAGCCTGGAGATGGAGGAGAGATACGTCGGAGGCGGAGCTGTTTAAAAAAAAATAAAAAAAAGGCACGATCAGGGAGTCAGTATCACGTATGAACTATTACCGGTTGGGGCATCATCAGGGCAGAATGGGGCAGAGGTAAAAGCTTACCAGAGCTGAATCCGACCGACCTCGTGTGGAAAAGCCCAAAAAACAAGAGGTCAAACGGATAGAGTCCAATAGCTGAAAGTAATTGCCCAGCTTGTTCGTATACTCCTTCTTTTGATTTTCTTCTATTTTAACCCTTTAATTTTTTTTTTCTTTTTTCGTTTTTCTTAATACGCGATACAAGGATGTGCCACGGGGGACTCACCGGATCTTCTATTGTTCCGGGGAATTCTGCCGCCTGGCTCAGCCACCGTGCAGCCAGCCAATCACGTAGGGCGGTAGGCTTGCTGTGGGTGCGGGTATCCGTACTAGCCTCGTTGCCTGAGGCTGGACAGGGCGTTGGTCGGGTTGGACGGGAGGTGATTCAGACTCAGTGTAGGTAGGTGATCCAGTAGTGTAGGTAGCAAGTTGATCTGGAGCATGAAAGAAAGAAGAAAGAATCAGAGAATTTAAAAAAAATGTTGGGATGGCGGGGGTCATAAAGAAATAAGCCGTCAGCCGTCAGCCCTGGGCCAAGCTGCAATTTTTTTCCTTTCTTTTTTCCCTTCTTGGTTATCTTATTACGGTATTTCGCTCTGGTTATTTTTTATTCTAGTTTTTCTTATTCCTTGACACCCTCCGCTCCGTTTATCGGGAAGCCACTAATTCACACTAGTTCAAGGACCATCGACACCGGAACTGGGTCGCTGGTGACGGTGTACGCTTACTTGGAGTCTGAATGGGCACCGGCAGCTCCGCTTTCGAAACTAATTCTGAGAGATGGCAGAACAGGAAACAAGGGATCCTCCGTTACAAGCACCTTAGGGCAGAACCAGAAGGAAGGGGAAAGGATCAAGGGATAACAGTGGCAATGCAATGTTCATGTCGACGAGAGTGTCGGCTGTTGACGCCATTGGCATGTCTTAAAGCGTCGGTTTCAACTGGCTGGGGCCCCATGCATGAAGAAAGTCTCGAAAACTAAGTGTGCAGAAGTTGGGTGCATGAGATCAGATCGAAAACTCAACACACATCACCGTTATCCGCCTTACATGAATCGTTGCCGTTGGTCCAACACGTCGCACCCATGCCAACACAGGACGTAGGGGGGAAACCTCACCGCTTCCTCTCTCTGGATCCAACGGTATGTTGGCCTAGCTTTAAGGGTTGTCTGGAAACTTTTCGAACGGAGCAGAGCTACCAAAGCTGGTCTGTGGCATGGCATGGCGTATTTGCACCAGTGACCAGGAGGGAAAGAGGAATTCCTGAGCTACCAACATGGCTTATGATGGTAGTATCCGGTCATTATTCGACAATCGGCATGCTCGAGGGCTCACAGACCCATCGGCTATCAGAGCTTCTCGGTGGGACTAGGTAGCAATCAGTACACCGTAGTTAGTTAGTTGCCATCAGTTCCTGGTCTTTTATGTAACCATTTACCAGGCTCCATTGAGTACCATGTTTTCTGGCACCTCGTCCCATTTCCATTCGAGCCGATCATTTTGGCCCATCCTCGACAAATTGGATTCTGCACGCTGAATGGCAGGTATTTCCCTCGTCCTCCGAGCCTGAGTGGGACGGACTCCGTATATTTTTGTCAAGTGGGCTTTGGGGAGCCACTGAGCAGCGGTGATTCATCGGAGATAACGCTGGCCAAACCCACCTTTCATCTAATCAATCTCCCATCGCCGGTCAAGAGTCCCCATTCTGCTCGGTCTTCGTGTCTCGCTTCGGAAGACTTTGCCTGGACGGGGCCCTCAAGGTAAAACAGTTCGTGTTTCCAGTTCGATTCCCAATTGCACCTGGGACGAGAAACGAAATTCCTAGCCGCTCTCTTCGCCATCACGAACAAAACCGGCCGAGCTTCGAGTCGGCGCCAATCATGATGAAGTTGATTTTTACAATTTGCGCCGTCATCTGAGGGTAGCTTAATGCCATGTGAGTTTGTTCCAGTCGAGGGAGCTCCATGAAAATGACGCACGGCCAAACTCTGAGCTGAAGAATTGGCCGCACAAAGAAGGTTGGATTCGCTCAGGGCGATTGTGGTGGGGGTGCACAATATAATTTGGATTCCGACAACAATACGGAATCCAGAACACTCTGAATGGAACCGTTCCGAGTTCTGGCGAGTAACTTAGCAAGCGAATCGCGGTGGATTTTTTTGTCGGCGCCAAGCGACAAGTCCAGGAAAATGTCCTCCGTCCTCGGTAGGTCTGTCCTTCGAGCAGTGGCAGTTGGAGATGAAGGTGATTCCCGCCCTTCAGCTTTTGCTCTGTCTCCCACTCACTCACTCTCTGTCTTTCTCACAATTTTCCCCTCTTTTTTTTTCTAGAATTTGATTTTTCCTGACTTCGAGAACCACTAATTATTCTCCCTGACATCACCCAAACTAAGCTTACAGTGTTAAGCATGATGACAGTGGTCCGGAGAGTTCTTTTACTTTTGTTGGTACATCGATACTAGATGCGGAATGAGTCCCAGATTGATTCCACTTTTATTTTTACTTTGACAATTTGTATGGCTTTCTTTCCTTGAGTCATTCCTCTTCACTTGAAGACAGAGCCCAACCTACTGTAAACTGCTCCTGTATCGATTGGCGCCGTGTCTGTCAAGAGCGTGGGGCTCCAGTGTTTCGCCGCCATATTTTGGGCGCCTGATTGCCCAACGTCCGTGGACCATGGCCATTTCCATTTCTAAATTTGACTTGGAGCTTGATTGACGGGGTTCCGATTTCTTCACCTCAAACAGGCCCCGGACTGTGAAGACTCGATCTGCCGCCGTCTGCCAGATCTCTCGCCATGCGGCCGACAGCGCTTAAGCTGAACGTTGGCAGGGCCAATCGGTGAGCTGCCTGACCGGGATGGCATGGCTTGCTGCAACAATAGAGCTGTCATTGACGCCTGACATAGTGAAGAGCTTTTGTCTGAAACTCGTAGGCGCCGTTGCTATTTGCAGACGGCGGGATCCTGCAGGTCGCGCTGATTGATGGATTCCAATCTGGCATGTCCCATAGAGCTCTCGACCGACGCTATCCCAGAGCCTCCAGTACTCTTCCCTCATGTCATTGGCAGCTTTACCAGGGCCTCTAACGGTCTAACCCGGCTAAGTGATAGGGGTTGATCGACTGATCTGTATCCCTAACACTTCTGGACGCAGATGTTGCAAGGACTATGACGTTCAGTCTGCGAGTGATTGGCTGACAGCCTCTGTTTTCAGATCTGCTCGATTCACTCACATCGACTTAGCGTCTCGCGAGACATGCTATTCTCCCTCTATTGACCCTGCTTCTATAAGCGTGTTTCGTCTATTCACTCGAGATACCCAATCTTGCAGATAGTCCACCGCAATGCGTCTCGATTCATCGGGTTTAAAACTGGAGGACATTCTCCTCGAGGGAAGGGGAGTAAACAGAAAACATACAAAAAAGGACCCTGGCGGTCACAAAAGGATTCTTTCCTCGCAGGCCATCTCTTTCTTTCCATTGTTTTTGGAGATTCCGCTGTGGCTTTAAACTTTTCATTGTTGATTATCTGAACTTCCCTTCCTTTAGTTCCCCCACACTGACTGGTGCTGGCACCACCCGCAAGACAAAGACGATATACTGGAGAAAGTCAGGAAGCTTGCTGACGCCGTTATGTTTATATAAGTCACTGTCAGTCTCTCATTATCCCTCTCTCTACTATTTCCACACATACACTGTTTTACTGACCTGATCGAAGATTTTAAGAAACCAAAACTTCAATTCTCAATTATCTTTCTGATATACTCCGCTGGTCGGTATCTTTCGCCAAAATCAAACCAAAAACGCACAAAACCCACACATCACAATGGTGAAGTCTAATGCACCGGGGCTGATGCTCCTGACTCTCTTGGCCGTGGCCTCGAACGCCCATACTTGGGTTGAACAACTCACGGTCATTGCCCCCAACGGAACCTTCATCGGATCTCCAGGCTATCCGCGCGGGAACGTCCCTCGTACCGCGCCCAACTTCAACGACGGCACCATGACCCATTTGCTATCAGCGACGGACGCCAAAAACATGTCCGCCGTCACCGGTGACATGTGCATGAACTCGCAGAAGAAGCAAGTCCAGAGCGAGGGAAATCCCCGACTGCAGGCAGCCGCGGGAGATGCCATCGCCCTTCGATACCAGGAGAATGGCCATGTGACGCTGCCCGACACGCAGGCCGGCAAGCCCAAGAACCGCGGGACGGTGTATGTCTACGGCACCACCGATCCCAAGGAGAATGATCGACTGGAGGCCATCCACAAGGTCTGGAACAAGGACGGTAGCGGCGGCGATAAACGCGGCGTGCTGTTGTCCACCCAGGACTTCGACGACGGCCAGTGCTATCAGATCAACGGCGGTGCCATCTCCCAGAAGCGCCAGACTGACTTTCCCCACCAGGCGGATCAGTTGATGGGCGCCGATCTGTGGTGTCAGCAGGATATCAGGCTGCCGCAGAATCTTCCCTCGGACAAGCCCTACACCCTCTACTGGGTCTGGGATTGGCCGACTGCCAAGGGCGTCGATCCGGGCTTGCCTGGCGGAAAGCAAGAGGTTTATACGACTTGTATGGACGTGGACGTGGTCAAGAAGCCCAACACGCAAGAACGCATGCCTGTCAAGTATGTCGACGGTCAATCTCTGAATCGCGCCGCTGTCAAGGCCCGTTTCATCGGAACGATGGGCTCCAGTTTCGACGTTCCTCTTAACGACGACGGTGGAGATGCAAGCAGCACTTCGCAAGGCGCGGACATGGAGTCAGCCACTTCTGCTTCATCGCCAACACCGACCGGGTCTCAAGATGACGAGAATCAAGATGGGGGTGATGATAGTGCTGGTGAGAGTGAGGATGCAAGCAGCACCTCGCAAGACTCGGTGGGATCAGTCACCGAGTTTTCATTCCCAACACCGACTGGGCCCCAAGACGAGAGCGACAAGAATACCGAAGAGATTGAAGATGCCAGCAGCACCTCGCAAGACGCGGCGTCGGAATCAACTACTCTGGTAACTTCATTCTCAGCACCGACCGGAACCCTCGACGATCCTGATCAAGATGAGAATGGCGACGAGAGTACCGGTGAAGGTGAAGATACAAGCAGCTCTTTGCAACCCGCAGTCTTCGTGCAGCCCACGACAACTCCAACATCGCCTGAGCCGGTCACATTGACCACATTCAAGACAGTGGTGAAGACCGTCCAGCCCAGTGGTTGCTCGGGATCGTATTGATGCTGCATACACATACACATACCCCTTGCATTGGAGACATAGCTGCACCTAGATTTGGAATTGCTTTCATTTCCATTTTTGTCTGGCAGCCAAGAGATGCGCCGTTCATTCTTTCTGCATTCATGTTAGGGTCTGGCAGTGGCCGGCTGGGGGTCAATGTGTTAGTACTGTTGTTTTCCAAAATTACATGATTTTTTCTATATGTTTAATCTTTTAGTAAAATAAGTGCATAGCATAGCGAGGGATTGAAGCACTGTCTACAGTTCAAACTAGACTGATCATTATTTTGTGGTGTCTTCGTAAATATAGAATACTGTCCGTAGTAAATGAGGGTGGCCAGCCCCGGACTTTGGCAACGCAAGGGCCAGTCTCAGGCATCAAAAGCCCTGGCGCCAGGCATCCTCAGGTGAAACACGCTAGGCCGCGCGTGGAGATCACGTGCTGTCTGGGAAAAGTGGCCGAGAAAAGAAGCACGAGATGGTGATGCACTTCTCGGTCTCCTCCCCATTTCTCATTGCTGCTCACGATCTCTGCAGTCTCTCGCTCCCAGATTACCTCGCGGCCCTGCATCTGCTGTGCGCTTACAACCAGCGAATAATCAGGGTTGAGAACAGCAAGACCTGACCGAGCTCCACCTGCCGACTGCGCCTCGTTGATCCTTAACGCTTCAGTTTGTCTTCACACTGTAAGTAATCTCCGGCACGTCTTTCCTCGCTCTTGCCCTCTTACTCCTACTACTGTACTCTGCTACAGTACTACTACTGTGTACCCTGTGCTTTGTACCCTCACTGCTGAGGAATTGCTCCCTCTCTTCCTCCCTCCCCCTCCCCCTCTCTTCTCTTCTTCCCACCACAGTCCAGTCCAGGTCCTACCTACCTCTCTCCTGCAGGTGTTGTCATGCACTCCGATTGATGCCCACCCCCTCTTTCAATTTTCTTCTCGTGTCCCCCCTCCCCATTTGCCCTCGCTCTCCTCTTTTAGTCTGCCAGGCTACGTGAGTAGTGCCGTCTTTGGTAATCCACTTTCTCTGACACTCACTGGCGCCTTGTTACTTTTTAATTTTATCTAATTAATTTTGCTATTATTAGAATTCCCCGTCTGCCCTCGACCACCTCGAACTCTGTCTCTCTCTTTCTCATTCTCAAGCGCGGCATCCTCTCCATCATTGGCCACCCACACGACTTGTCTAATCTCACTCCGTCGCCTATTCGGAATTTTCCTGGGTTTCCTTCTTTTCTTTTCTTCCGCTGGATTGTTCTTCATTCATTGGTGACAATTCTCTTGTCTCGAACCCTCCCGAAGCGGTCTCGTACAGAGTTCGGTCTGCGATCGATAGCCGCACCTTACCTATCACCTACTATTGATCGTCGTCGATTCGTGCAGCAACTTGCCGACAAAAACCCATTGAGGCCACCTCGCTTCTCTGGCGCTTAGTTATTTCTATTCGGATCTTCGCTGGCCGCGGTTGTCCCTGGATTCGGGCTGTCTTTCCCCGTAGCGCAGCCTCCCACAACATATCCCGACCACCCCGTTCGGATCGTGCTTTGCAACGCAAGGAGTCCGCCAGGTGCCCCTCCAAGCTTGGGTCGCATGCTTCTTTCGCCGTCGTTTCACACTGCTCATCCCTTCGACCTGTGGAAATTCGCTCGGCTGGATACTGCTTGTTGACATCAAGCTTTCGGTCCCCCGGTTTCACGTCTAGTAGAGTTTGTGGGTGGATGGTCTCGCGATGCCAAACTAGGACGTAGCATCTTTTTTCTTTTCTTTTCTTTCGATCGTGAACCTCCCTAGTGTCAGCTTGCTTTCTAAGTTTCTGACATTACCTGACTCGAAAACTTCCTGACACGCGACCGTCACTTTTCTTCTTCCTTTCTCTTTTCCTTCTCGCCCTCACACATTGTGAGAAACACATCCATGACGACCACCATGACTTCGACCACCTCGCCACTCTCGTCGCAGCACGATCCCTCGCAGAGTCTCGCGGTTTTGCCTCCTATAATCACAGATGGCACCGTCAAGCCGCAGCCGCCAATTCGACAGCGATCGTCGTATGCGAAAGATCGCCTTTCCACGCAATCCAACATCTCCCTCGCCTCCCAAAACCGGTCGCGTCCGGGATCGCACGTCTTCCCCATCTTCCACTCCAGCTTGCCGTACTCGCTCGTTCGGGATTTCGCCTACCCTTCGATCCATCCGCTCCACTATGGCCCGTTGCCACCACGTGCTTCGGGAATGTCCTCCCCGGTGAGCGAACACCGACGTCTGTCAGACCCCCCGGCTCCATGGGACACGTCGCGTGGGCAGTGGTCAACCGGACCATGGAGCACAGACCATAGCTATGGGCATCAACAACTCCCTGCGATGTCGTTCGGCGACGGGCCTCCATACAGCGAAGATGAAGACTTGCACAGTCCGGTATTTACGACGCCCCGACACCGAAAGAATAAGTCGACCGGAACGGATTTGAATGGACACAAGAGCAGGAACCCCAATGATCAGGGCGGCATGGACTATTTCGGCGGCGCGGAACGCGGAACGTTTGTCAGTATGAACGCAGATGGCAGTGAGACGTACTATGTGAACGATGAGGATGCAGCCGACGACGGGCCCGGTGGTGAATACGTCACTTATCCGGCCTCCGAGAGCCGATATTCGCACGCCGGTGCCTACGAAGGATACCAGGGCTATGAGCCGGAGTCGTTCGACTCGGAGGAGGATTATGGAGGGGACCGTTACTCTCGAGATTTCCAATTCGCCGTAGGATGTCCTGACGAGGAGATGCATGGGAAGGCCGTTGCCCTGTTTGATTTCACTCGGGAGCACGAGAATGAACTTCCCCTGACGGAGGGCCAGGTGATCTTTGTCTCATACCGACACGGCCAGGGCTGGTTGGTTGCCGAGGATCCTAAAACCGGCGAGAGCGGCCTGGTGCCGGAGGAATTCGTGCGGCTACTTCGAGACATCGAGGGAGGGTTGACGTCGCTGAATGGAGAGTCCGACGTCGAATTGACTGGGAACCACACGCAACACGTCAGCCCGGATTCAACCGACTCCCAGCAAGCCATCACACCCACTCAAGATGACCAGGATGCACTGAGATCTGGCAACGAGTTGACGCAAGCCATCGCCAATGGGCAGACAACCCAGGAAGGTCAGACGGTCACCGCGGGTGGGGACTCGAATTCGAACACATCACATACTCTCCAATCCCCATCCCAACAAGGGGCCTCGGCAACGGAACCAATCTCAGAGAACAAATCAGAGGATATTACGAAGTCATGAGCTTGTTCTGGTCCTTTTTTCTGCCCTCAATGCCACCTCTTCCAACACCTCGAATCGTTCTATTTCTGTCAGTCTCATTACCATCTGCATCATGATCGTCTTAGCATCTTTATCCCTGCTTCAACCTCTTTTATTTTTATCCTGTTCCCAGGTCGGAACGGGATCTGAACTTCGCACTTGAATTTTGATTGGAATATACCTGAAAATGGTGAAATGAATACCATCTGGTATCCACCATTTCATATGATTGGGAAGGAGAATCGTCCTGCTTTTTCTTTTTTATCTTTGCATGCATGCATATCACATCACACATACATTCATACATTACTTACATATCATCATCCATGATACGATAGAGTTTCATGATTCTGATCCTCGGTCCCGTCCAGACAATTCTATCTTATCTTTGCCCTGGTTCACCTAGCATGGGAGTACTAGCAACTCGCTCAAGCTTAGGTGTTGGAATAGTAAAGGAGGAATCGGATGGGAGTGGGTGACCAGTCACTCAACGGCTACCTATGACCGGGTGCGTCTGATCTGACCGATCTGACCTAACCTGACCTTATTATATTATGAAATATGTGGTGGGATTTATTCCCCTGTAAATACGCTATTTCCTGCCTCATCCGAAATGCTTGTCTTTTTGTTGCCATCTGATTTCTTGTTTCTGAAGTTCTCACGTCTCTTTCTTCGATTTGTATACTCTTCAGCGTCGGCGTCGCATTTTTCTTTGTCTCATTGCATTACCTAGATTCTTGATCTTCGATATATAACTATACTCTATCTCATTCATCTACCTATCCATCTATCTTTCATGCTAGTTTCCTTGTCGAGAGGTCTGGTTTAGAGGGTTTTCCTTTCTTTTCAGGTGTGCCTAGCCGATCTACATGTCTACCTACAATCCACATACCTTAAGTGAAGTAGGAAAGACACTACTTACAAACAAATGTACAACTAACCAGAGCAAATGACACTCCTATCTTAGGCAATGGGTAATAGATAGTTATGTACATATGTACTGTAGTTAGCAAACCAGCCCTACCAGCAGAATGTAGAAACTATTACAAGGTCCAATGTAATAAAATATTTGTTGTATTCGGTAGCTATTCAGGCTTTTTGTTTTAATGGTTCTCTCTGTCCGCCCTATCTCGTCTGTGTGCGCTAGGTAGGTTCACTATGCACGGTATGTATGTCGTTTATTTTTGTTTAGTTTCTTTTATCAGATCTGATCCGGCCATACCATGTCATATCCTGCCATATCATACCTACCCTATAGTTCCTGTCCTCTTGTCCTAATCACGGATGATTGTTTCCCTGAAGAAAGAAAAAGAATGAAGAGTAAATGCAAAAGCAGGGAAGATGGAGGGAGAAAAAGATGGAATATGAGATGGAGTAGCATGGAATTGACAAGAAGATCGATTCGACTCGAGTCCATATGATAAGATAATTGTAATTTTTCCCCCAAGAGATCAAGCCAGAACGAGTAAAGGCAAAGACAAAGGCAGAAAGAAAGAGAGAGGTGAGAAAGAAGATGAAGAAGAAAAGTGGGAGTATAAAGCATCAGACGAAATTTGAAATTGAAGCAAAATGGAGTAGAATAAAGATACAACAAGCTTGAAAAAAGAACAAGAAAACAACATTTAACCCAACAAGTCATCGAATGCGGAACCCCCCGGTTTAGAAGACTGAGTCTGCTGAGAAGCCTGAGGCGACGAGGCAGGGGCGCCCCAGATGCCGGCGCTGGCCTTTTCCTTGGCCATACTGGCCAGGTTGGGTCCCTTGCTGGCGGTCGACGAGGACTTTTGGATTCCGGCAGTGGCACTGGCGTTGGACCACAGGGAGCCGAAGGCGTCGCCGCCGGAGGACTTGGACGCGGCGGGCTTGGCGGCAGTGGAAGGAGCGGTGGCGGAGCCGAATGAGGAGGTGGACGGCATGCCGGGTCGGTGGCCGGAGAAGGTGGAGGGAGATTGGGCCGTGTTGTTGTTGGCGTGGACAGAGGTGAAGTAGTTGGGGGTGGCGGCCTGGAAGCCCGTGGGCTTGGGCTGGGCCGGCTTCTGCTGCTGGGCCGGCTGCATCAGGGAGCTCTGCGACAGCGTGGGGGAAGCCATCGTGCTGGAGGTGGGCGTAGGGGTCATCGAGGTGAATCCGACCAGTCCGTTCAGGTTCGACCCTTGAGTCCCCGAGACCGGCTTGGGGGCCGCGAACTGAGTGCTCGAGGTTGTGCTGGCGGTAGAGGCGGGCGGCGGGATGCCGAATTGGTTCGACGACGCTGCCGGCTGGGGCGCGGGGGTTGCGGACTGGAAATCGTCAAAGTCGTCATCGTCGATGGGGTTGGCGTCAAGAATATCCAGGCCGTTGCTGCCGCCGGCCGCGGGTTGCTTGCCGGCCGCAGTCGACGTCGTAGGAGCCGAAGTGACAACCTCCTCGTCACCGAAGTCGAAGAGATCCTCTTGCGGCGGCGCTTTCGGAGGTTCCGGCTGCTTCGCCTCTCGTCGGGGAGCAGCACGCGGAGGACTGGGACGAGCAGCCGGAGCGGCACCTCCTTCATCATATTCGTCATATTCGTCGAACCGGTTGCCGTGGCGCGCCGCGGTGTCCTGGAATTCACTCGAAGCACCTCCGAACCCGCCGCCGTCGCCGAACACGCCCCCGCTATATCCACCGAAGGACATGCTCTCACTGCCAAAGCCACCGTATCGCCCGCTCGAGCCCGAGAATCCTCCGCCGACGGACGCGCCGCCCTCGAAACCGCCGAACTTGTTGCGGTTGGCCCTGGCCTTCTTCCGTTCGGAGCGGATGAGATCGACATCCCCGAGCAGCTTGACCAACTCCGACGACCGGTTGCGCACGTTGATACCCTGATCCTTTCCGTTCGGGTCGATATAATGGAATTGACGCAGCATTCGAAGCAAGGACATGTGCGACCGCGCGTCGTCAACCACTCGTTCCGATCCGTTCTTCACCAGAAATTCCAATAGTTGGAGGCTCTGTCGGTATTGGCGCGAAAGCGTTAGCAAGCTTCCCTCGAACAACCGGTGACCGACAAATCGAAAAAATACCTTGTAAATCTGTCGCCATTCCTCCGCGGTCTTGTCTGTGAAACGCTTGTAAATCAAGGGCATGATCTCGTTGAGTAGTTGGCTGTGGAGCTTCAATCAGCGCCCGGTCTTCCTGCGCCACGCGACGAAACAACGATCTCGAAGGGGAGGGAGGGACGAAAACTAACTAGCTGTGAGTTCCGTTGGCGATTTCCTGCATCAACGTGGTCGAGGCACCCCATGGTTCGTTATTGGTAGCTTCTCGGACCTATTGAAGATGAGCGACCAAGTCATCAAAGACAAGCAATTCCCCGCAACGCATCGAGGAAGCGGAGGACTCGGAGGATGCGGAACGAAAGGATGCGGCGACGAACCTTGGATTCCATTTCGGTGTAGTTCATTACCGCTGCAGACAAGTCAGTTAGAGTCGCGAGCAGGCCAAAACCTGCCTGCGGAGGGGAAAGCTTGGAACTCACCATTCTGCACCTTGCGGACACCCGCCTTGAGGTCATACAAGGTCAGGTTGCTGACCTGGTCTTTGAGATTGGAGAAATCCATGGTGTTGTGAGAACAACCTAGAATATCCTCACGCTGTCAATTGGATCAAGGACAAAGACAGGCCGACGGGGAACGAGCGAGCGCAATGGAGAAGACGAGCGGGAGAGTCGAGGGAAACAATCGATCCAGCTGGCATCGCCGTTGGGCTCCAAGAGGTGGCGGTCACGTGGCAGCCCCTGAACCTGCTGCGAAACGTCATGTTAATTAATTCATTTATCCCATCGCATGGTCCCTGGTATTAATTTGGTTGATTCTACAGACGAACAGGCCACAATCACTTTCACATACTAACGTACTACAGATGCCTACTTGGTTCCATGGGAGAATCAAAACTATCATTGCCAGGACGACATCATGTACTAAACAATACTATTCGATACATACATACATGAGTCGTCTAAATCATCACAAGAAAAAGAAAGAATAACAAAGAACAGAGTTGCAAGCATGCAGGGTAATCATATCATCAAAATCAAAGCGTGCAAAACGTAACAAAGGGGTAATCCGAAGCGTAAACAATCAAGGCATTGAGATCCTGCATGTGCCGAGTGATACATCATGTCGGGTAGGATTTCTCTGCCTGACATATCATAAAATAAAGGAGTATGTCCTGAATGAGTGTGTGCATCATGAGCAAAAAAGGAAAATGGCGAGAAAATATTGAAAAGACACACCGCAAAGGGGGCGAAAATAAAGCAAAGAGAAGTAAACAGATAAACACCTTGAAATCCCGTCGTCAAATTTGGAAGGCAATCATTCGTTATAGAATTTCCTCATGATGAGATGGAGGAAAAGGTTGACGTTGACTCGTAAATGTCCCTCGAAGAAGTCCAAGAACTGCATGTTGTTGAACTGGGCCTGTAGCAAATCGTCCAGCGGCACCTGGGCATTGGCTCCGGGAACCATCATTGGACCACTGCTTCCATCAAGGGTGAAAACGCCGACTTCGTTGCTTGAGATGGTCAGATCAACTCGGTCCCATTGACGCTCAGTGTACCCCTTCCAGTGGACCAGGACGCCCTTGTCTGCCAGGTTGCGGGCTGAATACTTGTAGGAACCAAACTTGAAGACCTTTCCGGACTTCTGGAGCTCGCGCTGGTGATCCCATTGCTTGGTGAATGGCATAAGGAAACGTTTCTTGCCCTTCTTGTTCTGCAACGTCACCATTGCCTGTTCGATGTAGTCGTTGTATGTCTTGAGCTGCTGGTCCAGCCAAGCAGCTTGGTCATTCAGTCGAGTCATTGTGAGGCGAGTGCTTTCCAATTCGCGTTGTCGCTGAATCCGGCGGCGATGCTTCGTTCGGATATCGATGGCGATGGCATTGAGAAGATCCTGGTAGTAGTTGTCCCGGCGAATTCTACTGCTTTGTTCAAGGTGGAGGATGTTCTCGAGGGCCGTCCGTTTCAACTCTGAGTAGCTCATGGACGCGATGTCGACCATAGTGTTGGCGTCGGAGTAAGCACTTTGGCGCGTGTTATTCGCGCTGAGTTCATCGCGCACCAGCGTCATCCATTTTTCCTCGTCTTCTTCCGTCGGGGGTTTCACCATGATCTCCATAAGGTTGGCGCCCGTTTGGACTCGGATGATGTAGAGCACGCATCGCTTAGTTTCCATGAATAGGGCCTTGATATCCGCCTCCGGATCTGCAATTCAGTTAGTTATTCGTCCTTCAAAAATAACGGTACAGTCGGAATTACCTTCGGTCTGCGCAAGTTTGGGGTTCAATGTAAGGTTGATCTCCGAGGAATTGACACTCATCAGCTCGTTCTCGTTCGATTTGACATTGCCGAGATCGCGTATGATCTCTTTCAGGATATCGTCGGGATTCGGGCAGATATAATGAATTTCCGAAGCAACAAGCTGATGAATGGAGAAGATATCAGACATTTTGATGTATAGAGTTGGCTTTGTCTTAGCGTAAAGATCGTTGAACTCGTCAATATCAAAATAGGCCTCGGCGTCTTGCACAGTGACCACTGCGATCTGTGTCAGCGTCCATCATTTTCAAAGCGTACGTTGAACAGTTACTTACTGTCGCCCCATATTTGACCCAGTCGTTGTATCGAGTCTCCGATGTAACTATTCAATGGCTGGAGATAGACATTCTCTGCGCCGAATAGTCTTCCGGATGCAACCTGAGCAATAACCTTTGCGATCTCCGACAAGTTCCGCTTCTGCTCCTGGGTAAGCCCGCGATCGACCACACCAAACTTCTCAGGTTCCACCAAAGCGGGCTGGAAGTAGTTTCTCCACACCCAGTGGCCCGCAGTCTGCAGGATAAAGCCAGGGTCTTCTTTGGAGAATCGAGCAAGAAGGCCCTCGTACATCTCCTTCGCAATGTAGCGAATACCGAAGGGCATGCGGTACAGGAGCTCCTCGAAAGCAGCGAAGAATTGATCAGCAATGTCACGAAGGTCCTGCAAGTGCTGGATAAAGGTCGCCCTTGTCTCGGGGTCTCTGATAGCTTCTTCTCGAGGGATATCCGGACGACGACGGCTTCTCTTGCCTGTTCGGAGCTCTTCGTCATTCATAGCAGAACGATAGATCTGCATCGGGTCGCTCTCTAGATCCAGCTCGGGGTTGTCGATCACATTCTCCCGCACCACAGTGCCCAGAACATCACGCATGAACTTCCGATCCCGCGGCGATTTGATGTACGAGGCGAAGAGTTTGTTCCAGAAGGAGTTGCAGCGCAGGTATTCTTGCAGTGAATCGAAGCTCTCAATCTCCTCCCTGGCAGAACGCGCCAGAAGCTTAATCAGGTAGTATTCCTCGCGTCTCTTCTGAGAGTATCCGAAGAGTCCCATCATCAAGTGTCGAATCCGCTCGTACTCCTTCTCTGCCGTGTTCTGCTCACGCAACCTTCGGAAGAGCTTGGCAAGATATTGAGACTGCGTTTGCAGAAGGAAGAATAACACCTGGTATTGGTCCAACTTTCGTCGTGACGTCTTGTTCAGTGCCTTCAAGTCGAAGGGGTCCTTTGAGGAAATTTCACGGTTTGGAAGAAGGCTGCCCACATGGCCACCGAAATGCCTCTGGTGCTTCACAACTTCATCGAGGGTAATCTTGTTTTTCACTAACAGAGCAATTTTGATGTCGAGTTGGCTGATGTATTGCTCAGCCAGTTCGTTTTGCCGGACCTGTTGAACGACCACCTTTCTCATGCGTTCGAATTCAATTTCTTCGTCAAAATCGAACTCGCTGTCGTTGAGAAGATGGACAAAGCCTTTGACCGTTCCAACCGGTGGGTTCTTGCCACTTGTCAAGCTCTTGTATGCTTGTCCCTGGATCCTGCCTCTCACAAAGCTTTGTGCCTTGATGACCTTCTCCATGTTGGCTCGGTAATAGTGTCGTTTTTCTTCGAATTTGAACCGAACAAGGTGTCCCCGGATGTGCGCTTGGAGGTCAGTGATGACATCTTCCTCAGCAGCCAGGTCGGCCAAATCTTGCCCAACATCCACGCGGACGAGCATTGCCCGGATCTGTGCCTGGAGCTGACTGATTTCATCTTCGCAGTCTTCCAGGTCCTCGAGTATTCCGCCTACCTCAATACGCAGAATCGCGGCTCTTGCAAGAGCCTGGAGGTCAACAATGGCGAGTTCCTGCTGTTGCAAAGCATCCGCATCAGCCTCAAGGCGTCGCCTTAAGAGCACACCACGAGCCATTGACTGCATGTCGAGAATACGGGCGCTCTCGCTCTCCAAGGCTTCTCGCTGCGAGTCCAAGTGCGTTCGGACAGCCTGTGCCCGGAGAATGCTTTGAAGGTCAACAGTTGATGGCACGTGCTCGGCTAATTGGGATCGCAGGTGCTCGAGACGCTCCCTGAGAGCGCCTCCACGTACAGCAGCCTGTAAATCAATACATTGATCCTCCGTCTTTGAAAGCGCTTCTGCTAGCTGGGCTTGTTGCTTTCGAACTGCTAAGGCCCTTGCCCCGGCTTGGATCGCAAGGATTGATGGTGTGTCTTTGGAAAGCCTGTCCAGAGTGTGCGCAACTGAACTGCGGGTCAGCATCCCTCGAATTGTTGCTTGCAGGAGCTCCGCGTTGCGCCGGGCATCGTCGAGCTTTTCGTATTGCGCGCTCATTTCTTTGCGGAGGAAGCCACCCCGTATGAAAGCCTGCAGATGCTTCACACTCTCTTCAGCAGACCGAGTCGCATCGTGTTGCTGTGAGAACCGTTGGCGTTGTAGGGCTCCCCTAACTGCGGCTTGCAATAATTGGATTCCACCCTCCGCGTCCTCGAGATCGGCGTACAGGTCACCCATCTCCTTGCGCTGCAGAGCACCTCGAATAGCAGCCTGGAAGCGCTTCACGCCGGATTCCCCTTTTCGCATCTGGCTTCGCAGATAATTAACTTGGGATCTAGCCTTGGAAGCTCTGATGATCGATTGTAGCTGTAGTATATCGAACTCTTGGGCTTGGTAGCTTTCCATGTCCCCTTTCTGGCGAGATCGCACGATGAACCCCCTGCAGCTCGCTTGGAGATTGACCGCAAACTTTCGCATATCCAGCCGATATTGGATGACCTGGCGAGCCCAATCGCCGCGAAGGCGAGCTTGAAGGTCAATCAGCAGTGGTTCGAAGTCCCATAAATCGTTCATCAAATTCCCAAGCTGCAGTCGGAGCATCGCTCCCCTAAGCTGCGCTTGAAATTCCGCGATCGCCCCCTCGTTCTCGTATAGTTCTCGATGGATTCGATCCTCCTCAGATTCGGGCTCGGGCTCGGGCTCTGGCTCAGGCTCCGCGCCGAAGTTGGCTGCCATACCCGAGAAACTGGGCATGCTCACACCCGCCTTGTCTAGACCCTTTTGCATTTGCTCAAGCTCATGATGCTCGAATTCCAGCTGGCCAACAAGATTACCCATTCGAAACTCGACAAGTCCCTTTTTAAACAGGAGCCACGACAACGCATGAATGCAGTGGATAACTTTGGGAATGTTTTTCTTTTCGTACAAATCAATCAGTTCGAACCGAAAAAGCTCCGGCAGCTCTACCTCGTCCAGTAGCCGAAAGAACAAGGCAATGTTGTCCGAGTGACGATACTGCAGCCTCGCATGTCTGAATATGCGAAAGTTGCGGTTCGGGTACATCGCCTGGACGACCTCTGCGAGCGTCACTCCATCCCGGAGAGCTTCTTCGAGCTGAACGATGGGTGGGATCTGCTTTTGAATCACTTCTTCGATCCATTCCTTGGCCTCTCCGATGTGGCAAAGATACTCATACGCCTGTAGGAACTGTCGCTGTTGATCCATCCAATTTCCGGCCGTCCATGCCGATGCGTTCTTCCTTGCTGTCGCAGCCGGGCCATGGCTGACAGATACCGAATTCGTCCGCTTCAAGCGTCGTCGTCCTTGTAAGCCAACGACCGATGGAGTATGACTGTCAATGGCAAAATCTTCGGTTTCGCTGGACTTGGCAAATTTCGACAAGGTTCGGAGATGGCCAGTCGACGATTTCTGGAAAATCTCCAGCTCTGGGGCAGATAAAGCCGTTTTGAAAGCAGGTGGATTTGACAGACTGTGTGAATGTTGCGCTTTGGGTTGAGTCGGCGTAAGGGGTGAGGCTGGTCGAGGAGAGTAATTCTTGGGTGAGTTGGTTGTCGGGGGCGTTTGCGCGGCGTACAAATCTTTTGTCTTCAGAGGTTCAAAGTCCGCATGATTAGACGGGCGCGATTCGGGGGTCTGCGGGCGGTTCTCTTTCCAGTACTGGGGGTTGTCGACAGTTTGGCTCCGCGTATGCCGGTAGGCTGACGGCTTGCTGGCTGGCGGAGAGGCGTTTGGGGCCTGGGGCAGTGGTCGCAAGGAACGGCGGATATTCTCATACGTCGTGGCAGCACTGGAAATCCCCGGTCGAGGTGTCTTGTCGCCAGTCATGGCGTTGTATTCGCTTTTACCTCTTTTGTGACCCATGCCGGCTACAGACCCAATCGAGGCATTTGACGAAACGGTACTCGTGCGACTTGGTGCGAATGAGTTCGACGAGATGGAATAAATCGAGGAGTTGGTGGATGCTGTCGACCCATGACGGAGCGGACTCGAGGTGTCGGTCGAAAAGTCCGTCTGCGTACGTCGAAGAGAGGCCGGCGAGAGGGACATCACGGGTGCGATTCTAGATGTGACAGTACAAAATCCAACGACGGTGTGGGAGTGTCGAGCTCAATTGGCCGCATGCCTGCTTCGCCAACCGAAGCAGTGATTTGACCGAATAATGCGATGAAAATAAATGCGAAAATCAAGGGGCCGACAGCGGCATGACCCTTCGGTAGCGGACGGACTCGGGTTGGTACCTATAGAAACGGGTACGAAACCTAGAGACGGCGAGGAGGGTGAATGAGAAACGGACGATGGATGAGATTGGAGAAAAACAAAGTGATTGAAAAGACTCACGTAATCCAGGTCGTAGAATTGACGGGGCCAGCCAGATGGTCGCACCTTCCCAGGAATTCCAGAGAGGGAGGAAGAAAGAGAGGGAGAGAGGGAAAGCGGCAGCAACGGAGCGGGGGGGAGAAAGCAAGAGTAAATCGGAAGGCACGTCCCAGGGAAAACAAATCTCCTGATCGGGTATGGCCCCGTCCATCAGGTGGCTGCGCCACAGACTGCCCTGCTCGTGACGTCGATCATCGCTCCAGCCACTTGCCTTGCCCGGTCGGTGCGGTTACCCTGGAATTCGAGGGATAAGGAAATTAATCAAGGTTTCACCTCCCATTGGGCATTTCCACGGATCTCCGGCTTTGTGCATTCTCTAGGGAGTCGACACTCATTGAGACCGCACGTCTACGTATACAAATCGCAGGGAAATCGGACTGATCGGTCCCTCAACGATCGACCCACTATCGGCCATTTTCCCCTCATGTCGAGAGGAACGTGGATAAAACCTGTCTCCGGTCAAAGAAGACCTATCAATTGTACCTGCATTCGCTGATAATATACTGTGTCGGCATATGTATATATCTTCTTCTCCCATTGTCGGGTACCAGGGATTATCTAAGTTCGTCAGAGCGCAATGCCGATAATCTTCAGCAGGGGTGATCTACTTACGGTATATTGACGGCACGAAATATTTAATATACCCAGGCAAGGCGTTATGATTCAAGCCCCACTCAAATCGGGATTTGACACCGCAATATGTCTTGCAGATGAATCCATATTACTGATTTCATCATAACGATCTAATTCAATTGCGACCTTTGTACGGGTCAAAGAACGTCTAGAAGTCCATGACTCAACCCTTCTCTATAAATCCCGGTTCCGCCAATAGGTATCTACACCTAAGGCTCAGGTTCGCACGAGGATTGCGCCACCCCCATACTCCCCCGATATGATCTTTTCAACTGGCTATTGATCTCAAGTACCAGGGAGCCCGCAGTTTCTCGAAAAGGCACAAGTGAGGTCAATGACGAATGCCTAGGTAACGTGCCAAATTGCCAACCTACAATATAAGTACCAGTATAGAAACTTAGCGCCCTGTTTTGTAAGGCAGCGTTACCACCGACAAGCAAGCCCCACCACATCCGGTCGTGCCCCTCTATCTATCGCAATCTTAATATTTAACCGCCACAAGCTTCTACTTAATCGCACTGAAAACGAAACACCAGAAAGAAAAAAGAAAAAGAAAATGACAGACGCCGAACCAGCCTTCGTCTACAAAATCATCCCGTCCACGTCTCCGGTGCGAGAGCCGCTACCGGACCGACTGCCGGTCAGCGAGATCGACGAGAAGTCGAAATTCATCCACCTCTCTACGGCGTTCCAGGTGCCCAACACGCTCAAGTTCTTCTTCAAAGATGAACCTCTCATTTACATTCTTCGGATCCCTTACTCGCGCATAGCGCCGCATATTCGCTGGGAATCGCCCGAGGGCAATGTATGCGGACCGCGCCCAAAGGAGGGGTTGTTTCCTGTAAGTTTCTCTACCTTCCGTGGCCCTATCTTATGTATGGATCTCTCTGAGTGGCAGGACTTACGTTCTAACGAATCGCTAGCACCTATACAACGATCTCAAGTTAGGCAAGGATGAGGTTGAGAGTATCGGCATCTGGACGAATGAAGCGGGATGGGACAAGGCTCTCTCCCAAGCTAGGCCGTGGCTTTTGTACTGAAGATACCATCAAGGATGGCCTGGTGTTTCCGCTACATGCTTTGTACATATCTTTGATTACATCTTTGGGTAGTGTCTACTTCGTGTCATGTCATAGGAGCCTTATCTTGAGTTCCTTCATGTTTCAATTTCTCTCCCTTCTCCCCCGCCCTCTCTCTCTTGTCTTGTGTCATAGCCTACCCATCCAAAGGAAACATATAACCAGCTACATAACAAGTCAGCCATTTCGAGAGAGAGAGATCACCACCAAAAGACAACATATAAAACTCACAATAAAGCGAAGCCTGGGCGCTAGCCAAAAAGACAAAACTGGTTGCAACCGCACTCGGCTCAACGATTCGAACGAGAAATCCAGTCGATGCCAAACCCTCCATCTCGGCTCCTCCTTGCACGGTCTTGTAAATAGCCCCCGGACTACCGTGTCCAGTCAACCTCGTTAGATCCTGCCATTGAACTGGGTAAAAGTAGAACTCACGCTACACAGTTAACCCTGATACCCTTCGGGATCAATCGCGGCGCTAATGACCGTGTAAAGCCGAAAATGGCGCCTTTTGTGGCTGCATAATCGGCCATGGTATCTGCGCCGGGGAGATCAACGACGGAGGTGGTGTTGATAATGCTAATATAACAAGCAAAGTTAGCTTTCAGTGGCTCGTTCATTGATGGGTATTATTGTCTCGGTATCTGTATGTATAGACTCACGAATCACCCCTCGACATATACGGTAGCGCATATTTTGCCATGGCAATCATCTGGACGGCATTGCCTTGAAAGATCGTTCCTATTCTGTCGTGGGCATGCTGTGATAGGTCCCGGTGCAGATTCTGTCTCGATGCGTTGTTCACTAAAACGTTTAGCTTCGCAAACCTGAGTCAAAAGTCAGCCTTAAATTCTTATAGCTGGCTACTGCGCAAGCACGTCACCGACCTGAGTAAATGTGCCTCCACAGCTCTCCGACAATATTCCCGGTTCGACAAGTTCCCCGACACGAGCAGACAGACCCGATCTTCCGATTCTATCAACCTCTTCGTGTCTTCCGCCTCCTCGGTCTTCTCGGGGGCGTGCGCAATCGTGATATCGGCGCCTTCTTTTGCCATTAATACTGCTGCCGCGCGGCCGATTCCGGAACTATACCATTAGTATCATGATTAGATAACCTGTATCGATGTGGTAGTCGGGCAAGGCGGGAGGGAAGGCGCATACTCTCCATCTGTGATGAGGACTTTCTGGCCCTTCAGCTTTTCTGATCCGATGTATTGGATGAACGTCCCTATGGGTTCTGGCGTGGTTGGTTGGACGGCTGCTCCTTTGCCGGATTCGATGATCATGTTTGTAGATTGTGGTGTTCAGGTAATGTATTTCTGTTAGACAGGAATGATGCCATTTTGAGGGGACAGAGGGAGAAGAAGAAGAGAAGATGAATCGTATCCTCAATTACTGCCCCTACCGTTGCATCTAGCCTGCTCTGAGTGCCTAGTAGGTAAGGTAGTACTACAACTGTATAAGTAGTTCCGCAAACGACAGACGAGCCGCCAAGACGGAGATAACCCCAGCCCCCAGCAGACTAATCTCCGAATCCACCACGTTACTCAAACCCGTCTCCTCTTCTCCAGTTCCACTCCGCAAGCTTCACTCACCACTCCGTTTTTATTTACCTTCCCTTCCCTTACGTTGATTCCCATCCACCTCAAACAAACACCAATCCCCAATCTAATCCAATCCAAAAACACATCCCAAATTCAAAATGAAATTCCTCCCCACCCTCCTCCTCGCCCTCACCACCCTCACCGCCGCCGCGGAACTCGGCATCGAAACAACCCACAAGGTCGACTGCACCCGCAAAACCAAGAAACACGATACCATCCAGATGCACTACCGCGGTACCCTGGCGGCCGACGGCTCCGAGTTCGATGCCAGCTACAAGCGCAACTCGCCTTTGCGGTTTATTTTGGGTGCTGGGAGGGTTATTAAGGGGTTTGTTTTTCTTTTCCTTCTTGCTTTTCTTTGGGTTTGGTTGTTCTATGGGGCTCCCTGGGTTGCTTTTGGGCGCTCTTTATGGAGGCACTGGGAATGAAAGGGGCTGGGAGTCTGTCAGGATGGGGTGACTGAATGAATGTATAAAGCATATGCTAACGATTTGCTTAATTAGATGGGACGAAGGACTCCTGGACATGTGTGTCGGCGAGAAGCGCACGTTGACGATCCCACCCGAGTACGGATACGGAAACCGTGGCGTGGGCCCGATCCCTGCTGGTTCGACGTTGATCTTCGAGACGGAGTTGGTGAAGAACGAGGATGCGGATGAGGAAGAGGAGGAAGAGAAGGCTAAGGTTCAGGATGAGTTGTAGATTATCCGTTAGGGAGTTACGATGGATGAGTGAGGTGGATGATGCATGTGTTATGATAAGAATAAAATACTATAACGAAGAGCAGAGCGGTAGGTAGTGTTTGATTTTGTACAGCATACCAGAGGGTATCGTTTCTCTCCCAGTCCAATATAAGAAGCTCTATCATGTCTAATGTACATATAATGTCGGTCTTCTATGCAAATATATACGCTATTACCAGTCAATCAGCATGACCCATGCGTGATGGCGGAAATATCAATCCATCGCATCAAGCTGATTCTCGCTCCCCTCATCATTCTCCGAAACCAATATCCCAACTAGACACTCCCCAAGAATAGCATCCCAATTGACCCACGGATGGATTTCGAAGAACAACTTCGCCGAGTCCTTCCCCGCACCGCGAAGCAGCTCGCCCTTCCCTCCGGGATGAAACGGTATATACGGCGTGATGTTGTACACCTTGCCCTGGTACGACGTCCAGGCATCGGCTCCCTTGCGACCGTTCTGCGCCTTGAGCTGCGACGGCGTCACGCGAATCAAATGCGGAGGGAGATTCGCTCCTCGCAGATTGTTCTTCGGGTTGGAGGTGAGAGCCGCCCAGTCGAGCGGCGAGTAGCCCGGTTCAAGGACGGCTCGTTTGGACGAGGGGGACGGCTTCGCGGTGAGTTTGGCCGGGGCGAGGCTGTTTGGCGAGCGGTTGGGAGGGGGGCCGCGCATCGAGGAGGCGGCCGAAGGGGGCGGACGGAGGGAGTTGGATCCGGTCGTAGGACGTGGGGGAAATCGGCCTGGTACGGTCAAGGACGGTTGGGTTTGGGGCTGCTGTTGCTGCTGGTTCTGCGACATGGTGGGACGCAGTCGCGGCGGCGGAGGGGGAGGCATTAATGAGGAACTGGAGGCGTTGGGCTGACGGCGCGGCAGGGGCGCCGTTGGCGGCGGCATCAGGGAGCCCTTGGGCGGTGCCATCGTCGGCACTGCGACAGGCGGCTTTGCCGATCCATTTTGAGGTTGCTGTTGTTGGGGAGAGAGGTTCCTGTCGGAGGATGGCTGCGCGGTCGAGGATGACTCGTCGGCGTCGAGGCTGAAAGTCGGGACCTCGGGGGCAGGCGCACTCGATGCCGACGCCTTGGGTGTCGACTGCGATTCTTCTGCGCTGGTGTCGTCTGCCTCTACGGGCTTAGGTTCTGACTCTGGCTGCTTCGTCTCATCGTGGATGACAGGCGGCTTCTGCTCTTCGGGTGTCGATCTCGGCTGGGGCGAGGGGTCCGGCGTCCAAGAAGCAGGGGGGTATTTGTAAAGCACGAAACAAGCGGTTGCAATAAGCGTGACCACTCCTACCCAGCCCATGCTGGGCGGTTCAGAGTATTTCGGGGGTAAACTTGGAGGAGTATGAGAAGAGGGGATCAGATGGAAACTGATTCCACATAACCAAGTTCATCGACATGAACATAATGACTAATCGAAACCTAAGGGATCCGTGCATAAACTATGCATAAATCGGATAGGCATTGTATACTTTGGCTTGATGAGCCAGTATTTACCTCTCAATATGGAAGGATTCCAACATAGTTACTCTTGTCTGAGATAATAGCCGAGTGCTTACTTCTGAGCTTGACTCACCCAAAGAGGTCTGCTGCAGACTTCGTTGCCTAACTCACTAAAGAGAAATAAGCATCTTCGTGTACGTCAGGAAGCATTTGGCAGACCTAATCATCGTGTAATTTTGAAAGTAAACAAAAGCTAGGAAAGTATAAATGTTGAAAAAGTAAGCCGGTGTTTTGACGAGCAAGCTGTGAGGTGTCGCTTTGCTCGACTGTATAGATAGCATCTCTGGCAGCCACCTTTGCACGATTACATCGACTTGAGAGTGTTTAGGGCCTATGAGGAGTTAATCAAATGGCAAAATCTTAGAGTTGACTAGCACCAGTTTGTTCTAGGAGCATGATGTATCAACCAATTTGTCTGACGCAGCAATGCTCATACACATAGAAAAATGGAATACTGATAGGGAGCGAGTCATCACACACTTTTGGGCAACTCATTCGTCCATAATTTCCTGGACTCCGGGCAATGGACAAAGAAAGCAGACAGCTCCGAGTAGAGGTACAACGTAGGGTTACACTCGAGCAAGCGGGTCGAGCTAATCTTTCTTTGTGCAAGAGAGTTTCTTTGTATAGAACTACCGGGATGGCTCCAATCTACCTTCCCCATGCAGTCGATTCAACCAGCTAGCAAAAGTCTCTCTATCTATGGAAAAGGATATACCACTTGTCTCGAGTCAGTCGAGTGCGTATATACTGTGCCCGAACCTGCATGTATCTCCGGAGTACATCCGACAAGGCAACCTATCATGGCACTGCTTAGTGAGATTTACTCGGTAACTATTCTACCTAGTGCTGTGGATTTTCCAGAAATCAAATGCCGGATTCCTCGCCTAAAGTCCGAATGCCTCGAATTGATCCTGATGAGGACTGGCCAACGATCAGATAACAGAAACATCGAACGCGACCGAATTAGGCAGGAGGTACATCCACACCGGTGTAGTTCTCAGCCCCTCCAACAGCCACCAGACGAAAGATCAATGCCCACTGGGGTCAGCACAGCCCAGATAACTGCCCAAGCTCCGTTATTCGGCCAATTAATTGGCAAGTGGATGTTAGGCCAGCGCGTATCAGTCTTGGACCCTGGGAAAGGGTCGGAAGCCGCCGGTGATTGGATTCCCCCCCGTGACTTAGGGCTATGTGCAGACTGCGGCGGGAGTTGCATCATATCTTCTTCTTTCACTTTGCTCCGTTGGGGTCCGAGTCGGGGTTGTTGAATGATTTCTAGGTAGCACTCATTACAGTCAGCTGCAACGCTCACGAGACTCGGTTCCATGATCCCGTAGTTCGTGTCACCTTGCGTCATGTTGTTTGTTGGTTTGCTGTTGTTACGGTGAAACTTCCAGTAAGTTTGTGCTACTAATTATTCACTCCATGGAAATTCCTCTTTCTTCCCCTCTCTGTCCTGAACTTCGTGAAACCTACAGACCACATCCTCCCTTCCTCTACCAAACGATCTAACTCGCCATAATGACTCCCCCAGCAGGACACATCGGCCGCAACCACTCTCACCTCCGCTGGTCCAAGAACATATCCCCCGTACAGACCATTTCCTCAGGGGAAACTCTTACCTTCGACGCCATCGACAGCAGCAACGGCCAGATCACCAAAGACTCAGACACCAGCGCCCTCAGCGCCTTCGACATTAGCATCGCCAACCCGGTCTTCGGGCCCGTCTGCATTCGAGATGCTGAACCAGGCGACGCGCTCAAAGTCGAAGTCCTCGACCTCCAAACCGCCGACTGGGGCTGGTCGGCCGTCATCCCCAACTTCGGTCTGCTAGCCGAAGACTTCCCCCAGCCCAGCTTGCGCATCTGGCACCTCGACCGCACCACCCAGACTGCCGCGCTCAATGATCGCGTCTCTATCCCCTTGCGTCCGTTCCTCGGCTGCATGGGTCTCGCCCCAGCCACCTCAGACAACGACCTCTCGGTAATTCCACCGAACGAAGCAGGCGGGAACATCGATTGCTGTGATCTGACGATCGGGTCGACCGTGTACCTCCCCGTGCAAACGACGGGGGCGCTGTTCAGTTGCGGCGACGGCCACGCAGTACAGGGTCATGGCGAGGTATGCGGGACGGCCATCGAGACGCCGATCAAGGCAACGTTGCGGTTCGAGGTCTGCAAGAACCAGCCGTGGGTGAAGACGCCTCATTATGAGATTCCGCCTGCCGACTCGACGGCACAGACGCCGTTGTATCATCCCGTCCTGAGCAGGTCCGGGCGATACGCTGCGACGGGACTCGGCTCCGACTTGACGGAGGCGTCCAAACAGGCGGTGCGCCATATTATTGAGTGGCTGGTAGCGACGAAGGGGTTGTCTCGTGTGGATGCGTACATGCTGGCCAGCGTGGTGGGAAACCTGCAGATCGTCGAGGTAGTTAATATGCCGAAGTATTTGGTTTCTATGGCGATTCCGTTGGGGATATTTCATGATTGATCTCACCATGATGGGCTTGATTTATTTATCGTTCAATACCAGCGAAGGCGATGGTAGGCACTAGCTGCCAGCCATACTTAATGAACAGATGATTCTTTGGAAGGTGGCATAGTATCCAATTTTTATGACAAGTTCAATCACACATACATTTGAAAGTCATCAGCCATGCGCTCCTCCACATCACATAAATCAATCTTCCTACGTACAAGAAGAATACTTACTCCCTCAAACTAGCCTCACAATTAAGGCAACTCATCCGTCGGATAACTTCCCCCAAAGAGAAATCTGATATGCGCGCTCCCCAAGCACCGTCCTAACGCCCTCTCTCGGATATGATTAATCCCACTCCGCATATTGTTCGTAGAAAGGGACCCACGGGTCCGTCAACGTCAACGCGTTCTTGACGCCCAACAGCATCCGATTCTGTTCCACGCAGTCATGCATTCCATGCTCGGGGATAAATTAGTCTTGGGTGGGTGTTGGAGGGATCGGGGTCAAAGACGGTGTCACGTTCAGTGTGCATACGAGCGAGGACATCAGGACACCAGGTATAAGGATAGATGATGGCGGAGGCCGTGGCCGAAAGAGGGAGAGGTGGATGTGTTGCGTTGTTCAGGTCTTGAAGGCTGCGCTGAGACTGAAGGTGGTAGAGGAGGAGTTGAGGACGTTTAGAAATTACGCGATAGCACGGTCCATGATCGAGTAGACTTCGAGTTGGTTGGATCTGCGGTGCCATTCTGCCTGGTGCTTGTCGAGCTTGAGTCCGTTCTGTATAAATATAGCCGGACCGCCAGCCAACGGGTCCACAAACACATTCAGGATATCCGGCTTTGGTAGGTCTGACAAGCCTGAATAACCAGATCGGGCGAGGTCACGAGCAGCAGGGGCATGGTGAAGGGCCAGGGTTAATGTAGAAGCAGGTGCTGGTCTTGAGCAAGTCCCGCGAGAGAATAGTGAAGGCGTCCGACTGCTTCGAACCTTCAAAGACCTGCCTCAGGAACCCAGAGAAGACATGTCAGACCTGTTTCTTTAGTCGGTAGAGTATCAACTTCTTCTTTATTGGTTCGTATAGAAAGATGATCAAAGCGAATAGGGCCAAGACAGTAGAGAGCTGGCCTGCAGTGGCCTTTCATCCAGCCTCTGGGAGCCTCATAGCTGATTTGGTACTTGGTTACAGTTCAGAAAAGCATGGGCTTCAGCGAGAAAGGAATCGGTGCAGTTGGGGTGGATAATCTACAACTCATAATTGAGGAGAGCAGAAATGACGAGTTCATTGAGGCGTTGCCTGTGAGAGAAGGAGACTTTGCCCAGTAGTTAGCGTTAGGGCTAATTCCTCCCAAGGGTCTTTCAGTTCCCCCGTCAGCACGAACTAGCGATGCCTAACAGCGCTTTGGCACAGGCCTTGGCAGGGAGGCTGAAGAGTTTACGATAGTCATTTTAGTTATAGTGCTATATGGTTTTATTAATTTCAGGGGGTAATAAATAATGCATGGTTTAGATCATTATTATGGCAGTAATAAAACCTGAGGGCTTTCTTGCCTATAAGCCTGCCGTTTCCATTCCCAATCGTGTCGTTGTACTACTTCTTGGGTGAAGCTGTGACACGCTTCCTTTGTCTCGAAATGAAGCTGCAATTGCAAAAAACCGCTGATCGAATTCCCAGGAGAGTCTTTGTGGTGAGTATCATGACATAGTGACACACTCGTTCAACGAGTTACTCATCGCGAATTCGTAGATCTCGACATCGGTCCTTCTCGGCCTCTCGCTGGTGGCCGTCATCGCTCGATTCCTCATTCGATTCCGCGTTCAACGGCAGCTACCGAATATCGACGATCTTTTCCTGACGCTAGCTATTGCTCTACTACTTATCAGTGCCGGGTTCCTGCACGAAGAGGTCATCGACCGTATGTACCTCATCGCCTCGTTGCAAAGACAAGCCAAAGAAGGAGAAGTCATTCCCGGTCCAGAATGGATGCAGCTCGCGTCCCAGTTTCACAAATGGATCACTATTTGCTCGATGACGACGTGGTGTACTATAATGATGGTTAAGTTCAGCTTTCTATTTTTCTTCAAGCGGCTGATAGACTTCATTCTGCGCTGGTGGCTCTACTGGATTTTTGTCACCCTTTATAATGTTGGGGTCCTGGGCTATGGAGTCGCAATCTACTATACCAGCTGTCCTTTTTTCTTTGACCCTAGAGAACGTAAGGCTTCTAACACTCCCATTGAGACCGTTAAAAGAGCGCTTCTGACTAATTTCACGATGAACAGTGCAGTGTGTCTCTGGACCATACAAAAAATTGTTCGTATCGGAGTTGATCGCTAAAATGGTGTTGGACCTCTTTGGCGACCTCTTGAGTGTGTTAACGACCTTATCCGATCCATCAACAATATCAATGTAATAAACTAATCTACAATCCAGTTCTCGTAATACCTATTGCGGTGACCTGGACTGTCCGAGTCCCTTGGAAGCAAAAGATCATCTTGATATGCTCTCTTTGTTTGACCATCATCATGGCGTCTCTTTCGATCATTCGCGTATCCGGCTTTGTCTACTATGGAATGTCGGACGTCATCTGGGGACTCTACTGGCAATTCCTCGCCGCCGAAGTGGGCGTCTTCCTGGCCGCAGCCGTTGCTTTTCGATCTTTCTTCGTGGCTCGCAAGAACAACAGAAACGGCACGCCGCCGTACTCCATCAAACGTTTCGTCAAGGAATCAATTACGGGGGCCTACCCTCCGAGAGGCCTGAATTCTCTACATAGCTCTTCGTTCAGGGGTTCTGGAGTTGATCTGGAAGACATGGAGAACGACAATACCGACATGACCGGCTCCTATGACTCCCATCAAGGCCAAGAATCTCGAGCGGGGGTTCCTCACCAGCAAAATCCGGGGACGATGCCCCTAGACCACAGTAATGCTCTGCCTCTTTGTCCAAGTCGAGTACGAACGAAGGATTCAGCTAAGGTGGGCGTTACTCATAGCGTCAGAAGCATGGACTAACCTCGGGTCCGGTTTCCATCTGCAATTCTAATGTCTTGATTTGTATACTTCCATTTTTCTCGTTTCCCTCGGCAGATATTTCGTTTCTTTGGTTGGCATTATAATGGGATTTGAGGCAGGCTGGTTCTTCCCAAATCCTTGTCATATATTTGCAACATATGTGGCATATGATTCGATGGTTGTTATTGGCTCCTCTGGAGCAAAAAGTACGTGACTTAATAAAATATATAATAATTAATATTACATTATGATATTCACGGCCATCACGGTCAGTAGACTGACTAGCTTGACTCGTAACTTGCACTAATTCTTTGTTAAGTGACTTTGGGGCGTGCCCGGGACGCCTTTCCGCCAAATGCCTGTTACCTGTGCACCGTTCGTTAACTCAGTTTAAGATCCAAACTAAGACCAAGACGTTCGCCTGAACTTTTCGGGACTTGGACTCGGCAGTCAGAAGCCCAACGACAAGATTGTTTCTGCGAAGGGGTGAAACTTCCTTGGTTTGGGTGGTTTCAGAATTGCTTTCCTATGATTTCTTTCTTATTCCCTTCCTCTCTCCGTATATCTTCCTTCCATTTTCCAATTTTTCTTTCGATATCATGTTTATAGACTTTTTAACGAGCTCGTCATGTGAATTGGTAGCCTTTTGGGTCTAGTATGTACGATGTACAGTGCATGCACACCCAGTTAATCACACACCCATATGACACAATTTATAAGTCTAAGCTCTCAGGTCTTGGCAGAACATATTTCTTTGTCGTCTTGGACTCTAGTAGTCGTCATAGCGTAGTCACTGTCTAGTAAGATAAACCAATTGATTCCAGCAAAATAGTAGCTATCAAACTCCTGTGCTCTCGTAGCACTGGGAGGGGGCACTTGACTACCTCGGTAGCCGTTAATAACCGGGTTTACATTGGTTTTTGTTGAAAGTTAGTGCATGTCATTCATCATGTATGAGTGTGATTGGAGCGAGGGGATGTGACTGTATCAACTTGGCGCGGACGCCGGACTAGGAGTAAGTATTTGTCATTTGACCAGAGGCTGGCTTGGCTACCGTCGGTTATATGGAATACTTTTGCTTTCTTTGTTAATCTATAGTACTTTGGGTCATATCGGTCCGTCTTGTCCTGTTTAACGAGTATGCAGGGGCTGGAGTTGGATTTAGGGTTGAGTGCAGAAGGCAGTATACCTTCTGGTACGGAGATAGCATGTGGCTTAAGGCCGATGGTATCTACCAAGATTCGTTGCCGAGAGAACTTCTGCCTCTAGAATTATACCTTTACACTCTGTAGATATTAATTTCATTTACCACAACACTAGAAAGCAATCTCGAGCAAGACACCATATCTACATCCAAACGCCCGTCACATGACTACGCGACGGAAGCGCGTTTCTCTCCGCACCACGGACTAGATCTCTCCCTCTCCCCACCACCATGTCCAGGACCATCCCATCCCCACCCCCATGGATCCCAATTCCAACAACCCCATCAATCTAACACCAATTCTCGATGGCCTGAACTTCGCCCAAAGCAATGCGGTCGCTTCACCCGCCTCCATCCTTCAGGTCCTTGCGCCTCCGGGCTCGGGGAAAACCAAGACTCTGACGGCGCGCGTCGCGTATCTGCTCGCGTACCATGGCTATCGACCGCAGGATGTCATTTGCTGTACATTCACAATCAAAGCGAGTCGGGAGATGCGGGAGCGGCTTGGAAAGTTAATCGGTGAGCAAGTACAGTCGAGGCTCATTCTGGGGACGTTCCATTCGATCTGTCGAAGGTATTTGGTGCGATATGGGCATTTGATTGGTCTGAGGAAAGGGTTTGGGATCGCAGATTCGAGTGACAGTTTGGCGGTTATTAGGGTGGGTTTATTCCCCCTTTCTATGCTTTCAATTCTGGTTGGTGGGAGAGGGAGAGCATTATTGAAATTACTGGAATTGTTTCAAATATCCGGTTTATACTTATCAGAATCCTACAGAGAATCGTTAAGCGGTTGAAGTTCAGCATCCAACCCAATACGGCCCGATCGCGAATTTCTCACCAGAAAGCCCACGGCATCAGTCCTGACGAGGCCGCAGCCAAGTACGGCCCCAATAATAAGGCCCTGGAGCACCGGGAGTTCATCCAGGTGTATCAAGAGTACGAGGAATATATGGCGGCGTCGAATCTCCTCGACTATGACGACCTGCTTCTCCGATGCGCGGAGCTCCTTCGCAAGAATCCCGACTGCGTGTCTAATGTCCAGGCTGTTCTGGTCGACGAGTTTCAGGACACGAATCACATACAATACGAGTTGATGAATCTGTTTGCGTCCCGAAATCGCCGCATCACGGTCGTCGGCGATCCCGATCAGAGTATCTATGGATTTCGGTCCGCGGAGGTCAAGAACCTGGGCCGATTGCAAAAGCTGTACCGCGACGCGTCGGTCGTGTTGCTCGAGGATAATTATCGGTCCTCCGGGTCGATTCTGAACTCGGCACAGGATGTCATCGAGCAGGACTCGTCAAGGCCAGCGAAGAAACTAGAGCCGACGCACGGCGTAGGTACCATGCCGGTTCTGCGCAAGTTGCCTTCTGCGGAGGCGGAGGCGCAGTGGATCGTGATGGAGATTCGCAGGGGCATGGCCATGTCGGGGAAGCTGTTGAACTACTCCGATTATGCCATCCTGCTTCGCTCGGCGGCGCTTTCACGGCAGATCGAATCGGAGATGGGGAAGCAGGGCATACCGTATAAAATGGTCGGCGGATTGAGGTTTTTCGACCGAGTTGAAATCAAGCTGCTCCTGGATTATTTGAGGGTTATAAGTCAACCTGGGAATGCGGATGCGTTGCTACGGATCATCAATGTACCCTCGCGGAAAATCGGAGAGGAGACGATTCGGTCCTTGCTGAGTGGCGCTGAGAAAGCACAAAAGACTCTCTGGGACTTCATCAAGGATGTGGCACAGGGTCGCAGGTCGACTGAGAAGCCCCTGTCCAAGCCTACGAATAACGGCTTGTGCACTTTGGTTGGCCTCATCGAGTCGTCACGGCAGAAACTCCAAGACTGTGAAGATGGCTCGGCCCCGAGAAAACTTCTTGACTACGTGATTAAGAAGCTGTCATTTCGGGACTACCTTACGACGACTTACGGTGCGAACGAGGAAAATCGATGGGCTAATGTGGAGGAGCTTCTAAACCAGGCGGACGATACGGCTGGACCCGAGCAGGAGGTGCAACCGGACGACAGCCTCCCCGAAATCCAAGGCCTTGAACAGCAGCAAGCTCATGCGGGGGAGGAGGCGCTGTCCCGTTTTCTGGCGAATGTGGCTTTGTCTACGGAGGTTAAGCCACAGGAGGGTGCGGAAGACGGAGAGCAGTCCCAGGAGAAAGTGACCATTTCCACCATCCATGCAGCAAAGGGACTTGAATGGCCCGTGGTGTTTGTACCGGCCGTAATTGACGGCGTCATTCCTCACTCGCGCGCAGAGGACTGGGACGAAGAGAGGCGATTGCTTTACGTGGCCATGACTCGCGCACAGGCGCTGCTATATCTGAGTTGTCCTCGTCAGCAGGCCCGGCAGAGCGAAGAGACGAGCGTGTCGACGTTTCTTCCCGATGCGATCATTGATTCGCGCTTTCGACTGGTTGGGCCGAACCTGCAAGAGAAAACCATCTATGGAATCGCAGACATCTTGCGGCGACCGAGACCGTCCAACGAAGCGATGATCGAAGGCCAGGTCTCGCTGCCTTCCGTGCATGACGATCGCTGGACCGCTGCGGGCGAGGAGGCTGCCGACGCCGTGTTGCGCTGGGATGGCTCGCGAGCGGTCGAGATTGTTGTAGAGCCCTGCGCGAAGAGACGACGGTATGATTCGGAACAATGGTCGACCACCCTCGCTGTCACACCCATAGCAACTTCGGCAAACACCATGGGAGGTTCAAATTACAGTGCGCCGCAAACGACCATGTCGCTCGGCTTCTCGACCGCTCGCCAGTATATCGCGTCCAACTCAGCGGCAGGCGACCAGGGCTCACAGCCCCCTTCGAAGTTGGACAGCAGTAAGCCAAAGCCCCGGGGCGCCGGCGCCGGGGGTCTAGGTCGACAGTCCGATGGCCTGACCCAAAAGAGCATATCGCGATTCTTCGGTCAGCCTTCTTCCTCAGCCCCAACGCAATCAAAAGCCCACGAATCAACAGCGACAGACCGCCAAATGCTGAGCCAGGATCAGGGGCAGAGCCGGAACAACAATCGAAGAGGCGTGCCGGGGGCAGCGGTCCAGGCTCCGTCGTCCAATCCGGGGTTCAAAAGCGTCATCCCCAGGCAATATTCGACTTATCGACCGCAACCACAGCGACTGCAACCCACTCGACCGGTTCTCGAACCTTCGGACCCGAATTGTTACACGTGGCTGGCGGCGTCGTCGTCGTCGTCGTCGTCGTCGTCCCAGGCCGCCTCGGAGAAACCGATATTGCGCGGCGGTCAAGAAAAGGACAGCAAAGAAATGTCCGACCAGAGCGAGGCAAAAGGAGGAGGGTGGGGAGCAAGCGAGGTTAAAAGGCCTGAGCAAGAGTCGGTCGCCGGCGTTCGACCAGTGACCACGTATCACACGACCACGATGTCCATGGTCCAAGGGGGATCGGGCCTGCCACCACCACGACGAACGCTAGGGATTCGTCGAAGCATGAATGGGTGGGAGGAACGGATGAAGAGGGTGGGCAACGAACAGACTCGATGAAAGAAATTGATGAATGGACAAGTTTCTAGCCGGGAAGAGGGAGGGGAAAGAGACCCCGGCTCCCCCGTTAGGATCTTGTGAAACCGTGAGCGAGATGGGGAATCTGATAGGCGCCTTGTTTTTTGGGCGCCTTGTCCTGTTTCGGATGTACTACGACATATACGTTGTGTCTAGTCCTTATCTATTTCATGTACCACTACTAACGACCGTCTCCATACTTCCGTCCGATAAAAGCACGGATCCAGCAATAAAAGATGGGGTAATATTGAATCAATCCCGCCTGATTTGTCTGATGGGGTCTACTCTAGCCTAGTCGGCGCGATATTGGGATGTTCGTTTTGGTCTGGGAGACTGCTGGATGCAGTCCGATTGAACGCTTCCCCACCCCCAGCGGAGCATTACCATTACTGGTCTGTCTACCAACTGGTCCGAGGCTCCCAGTTCGGTTAGGCATAAACATCAGGCAGAGGACAGACCTGACTGACTAAGCCGACAAGTCACTCCCTTTAGAGAAGTACCTGTACACCGCAGTCCAGACCGGTCACCTCATCCAATAGAACCCGCCGATCCACGCAGGTACAGCTGGCATTGACTTTGCGTTGTACGGAGGTGGCTGGTGCTGGGGTACTCGGTACTGTGGCGGGGAGAAAGGATTTTCCGGGCCGAGGTGGTGATAGTGGAGGACCTTGAAGCTTTGTTTTCTAGCAGAACACATCTATCTCGGTGATCAGAATCATTATCAATACGATCGTTAAGCCGTCTAGTTGCATCATATTCCAGTCGTGTAGGCATCAGTACCCTCAACCCCTTGTACTTGACCCCTAGATCTTATAGCGCTCCGCAGTCGTACCGCCCTTTCAGTACTTACATCTAAGGGAACCAAGTGCCTCACTCCAGTAGATCCTAAATCTACCAGATTTGCTTGCGAGAGTAAATATCCCCAAATCGAGTGGATTGAATTTAGCCGCCCGCAACTTCGCCTTGCTTTCTTTTGCCTCCCGGTTCAAACAGAAAAGAACGAGCAAAGCACACCCTCGTCCGCTGTCCCATCTTTACTCCCTCCATTATTCAAACCTCTTGCTCTCCGCTATACCCTCTCAGACACCATGGCATCGACAGCACCCGCAATGCTTGAGGTGCGCAACCGCTAACGGCGAGCGCTTCTGCGCATCAAAGAGCAGATCTGCGACTTGCAAACAACCCCGATCGACTTCCAAGATTGCACGAAAGCGTGTATTCACCAAGGTCCCTTGTCGTTAGATGAGAAAGCTGATGACCGGCCTCGGTTCTTTACTCCCTATCGCGATGAGTATTTCACCCATAAGGAGCTACCGGAGTCGTTCCACAACCTCAACCCCCAGGAGGAAAATCACATCAATGTGCAGGGCTTGCACCTCTTCATGGAATCATATCTTGGCTCGGTTTACACCCAGAAACCTCGTGGGATCTACTATCGAGCGTGAGTATCTTTGGATCCCCTCATGCCCCCTTCCCCCAGGAAGTTTCTTGCTAACCACCGCATAGTTGGGGCGATCTCAACTTCGGCGAGCTCTCGGAACCCAAATATTTCTGGCAGGTCTCGTTCACCTGTCTTACATCAACCAAATTTGACCGCTACTTCCGTCCAGTTCTCGGCCCCAACGAAGCTCTGCCTCACGTGAAGTGCATGATGGAAAGTGACTCCGTGGAGGATGACCGCCTGCTCCGAGGAGAGATCATTACCATAATTCAGATTATGGCCGGTCGGCTCAATACCAAGTCTGTCCGTGCCCATGTCATGGCCCCAGTAAGTCGCTTCTTTCTCAGAGTCCTCCTTTCAGTACTGTACAGTACAAACGAACCCCGTTGCTGACCGTCGCTCTTTTTCCAGGTGATGCTCTACTCCATCATGGGACCTCAGCACCTTCGAGTTTTGGAGGCATATTTCACCGGTGAAAACCTCGTTATCCGGAAGACCAAATTGTACGACATGACCAAGTATGATGCCTCCACGCTGGATCAACTCACACGCTGGTGGTTGGGACATGCCGGTGGCCAAACCACGGTCATAGACCGAGAGCTGTTGGACTCATAATGTCCCTGGACAGCTGAACAGCTGAACTGATGAGTTGACGACCATTTTTTTGAGGCGTTTGAAATCTTGGGTGGCTGGCGTTGTGCGCAATGCATTCTCTGCGGTCTCGTTTCTTCCTATGTGTATTATCGTCCTTGTAACGATTGGAGTATTGAAATACCAACCCTGCATGAAACAATTTGATATGACAATAGCGAGCATAATTGGTACTTTGCGTATTTACAACTCGTTGGCTTTCTCTTATAAACGCCAGTTTTCGGTCAGAAGAGGAGTCCAGATCAAGTCTACACTAGGTAGCCATTTCGAAACAAATGTAATGAGTTACTGGCATTGAGATAAATACAAAAAAATCCAGCTTCTGGATTCAAATCAATTGCATCATTTATCTCAGGCACCCTGGAAGCACAACCAGAGATCATTCCCATCCAAGCATGACACCTCGGCATTCAGGCATTCAATGCTTAGGCAGCGAGGCATGCAGCACCAGGCAGATTCCAATGGCGGTCAGGCCTTAGTCCTACGTAGTACTGCTTTCTGGCGGTGAAGACAATCCAACAACTAACTCGATTCAGTCGGGTCCAGACTCTGGACGGGTGAAATTGTTGAGTTGCCTGAGGTGGTCAACACTGGATCCGTACTTCCTGTAGTTGGTTACTCCGTGGAGGCCTTGGATTCTGGGCATCCTTCATCACGGGAACAGGTCTCTGGCACTTGCCATCCAGTTAGTAGTTAGTCTCCAGCCTAGCCTAGCTAGCTAGCTAATTACTCCGTAAGTTACTGTAGTTACTTAGTCGGACATACGTAATTGCTACCTCTCATAGCTCCAACGAGACTATCTCGAGTCTAGACCTGTCTGGTCTAGCTCCGAACACCCGATTCCGTCGAAGCTGTCCAGACGACTCCACTCGGGTCCAACAAGTAAACAACTGGACTGACCTTGAAAGCGACGCTAGCAAGGGTACGACGCTAATCCCGTTCAGGACCGATGAAGTGGCCGTTTTTGCCGACGTACCCTCTCTTGCTGTGCTATCCTCTGGAGGTGACTAGTCTATTATCGGTCTAGAGTCTGGTCAATAGGTACCTAGGTATGTACACGGTAGTACACCGTACGCAGTGGTCTGTACCCCCTCATACAGACGCGAAAGGAAAGGAAAAGCAGGCAGGCAGGCTACATACGCTATTTCCAGCCCGGATTAGAGTTACAGGTTATCGGGGATCGACTGGCTAGATACGTACGAGAGAGGACGCAATGCGATGCTAAATGCCAATGCCAACAGACTTCGGGGGTAGAGTCAGGAGGAGAAGGCCCATATGGTAAGGTATGGCAGTCAATCATGCGACCCGGACGGAGAGAACGGCACGTCGTACCTACAGCTCAAAGGAGTAAACACTATCCCGAATATGGTTAGCAGAGTGGTTCTGTCTTAGTCATCCGTAGAATGAGGCAGCCGGGTTTCCTCGTCCTGATTGGTGTATTCATAAATAGGACTGGACCTTGTTGTCAGGTGATGTCTTTGTCTCCTTTAGGAAGGGAGGCCCATCGTAAGGTATTGGGCAGTATTAGAAACGAGAAAACACATCAACACGCCCCAATTTTGCCGACGCCTTGCTGTACAATACGGTCCGAGCCATACAGTCTCAGCCACGTCTTTTCCCCTTCCAGACTCCCTGAATCAGCCTCATCAGGCAATGAAACTGTGGCTGGAGCACCGAGCAGGCAGACTTTCTTTCCTTCTTTCGTCCTTCCTGACGGTCTGTCTGTTTGCCTGTCTGTCAGGCTGGGATGACGTCCGGTTTGCCGCCTCACTTCCTTTTGATCCTATTTCATCTTGCCCCTGTCAGTGGCGGTGGAATGGGGCTTCGACAAGACGTTCCAGATTCATGTTTAGGCTGGCATCGAAGGGTCTGGGTTTGGGGGATCTTCCAGAAGGGTGAGAGAATGGAGTTTCTCCTTCCTGGGATGACGTCGTCCTTTGTTTCTTTTTTAGTTGTCGGATTATGGTTGAAGGCATTGATAGACATGGGCCCTGAGCCATGCAAGATGACTGATCGCTCTCTTTTTCATCTTTGATTTATTTCGATTTGGGAATTTCTGATTGGGATTTAGTTCCAATGCTCGAAATCCAATTTATTTTTAACCTAAAATAATAATTTCTGGGGACGTTCTATTCCCTTTTGGCGATTCCTCATACTTCTGGGGAAACGTACAAAAAGCTGCTTGGGTCCGGCTCCTCCCCCTGCTCTCTTATCCATCATCAATCCATCTATCTATCCTCATCTTGCACATCAATTCTGTGAACAATTCAATTCATCCCAAAGCCTCGTCTTTTTCATCTTCTCCCTCTGTTCAGCTTAGAGTGAGAATCGCCTTGCTCCGCCACCCAGAATCACCTTATATACTCCGGTTCCTTCCCTTGTCTCGATCGACTCGGACTTCTTCATCAGACCAACTCCTCAATACTCTATCTATCATCTTTCCTCTGTCATCTATCATCTATCACAATGCCTCACAAAGTCAACGAGTCCAATTCCACTCTGGCCAGCTCCGGCAGTAGCGGTGACCGAGTCGTTGTCTCGGATATGCGAGGTAAGTTCGTCAGATCCTGGTGGCCCCCGATTCTCACTAGGACCGTCACTAACGGGAAGCTCTATGCGTCTAGGGTCCAATGCGGTTCCACGGAGAACGCAGCCCCCGGTGGTTGTCCATAATCAGGGGGGTCAGATCTACGACGAGACGCGACCTTCGGATTGGGATAAGCAGCGCTGGAAGTAAACCTGTCTCTTCCTTCGGTGCTCTCTCGCTCGGCGTTCCCCTACTGGCTTAGGGAGCTGAGTACTCCGTACTCTGTACAGGAGACAGGGAGACAGAGAGACAGGGAGACCCCAAGCTGCTGGCCAGCACCCTAGTCTCATTATCGCCGGGTCTGCTGATTATCCGCGCGGCTTTCCAAAAGTGAGGCGGCCGCCGATCGACACGACCCCCTATTATTCTTTCCTTTTCTTTTACGACTCATTACCGTCCTTTTTTTCTATATTTGTTTTTATTTGTTTCTGACGGAGTACGGATACTTCGTCGGATGTACGATTCTGCGGGCTTTCACTCTCGTTCTCGACCAGCCCTCGACGGGCGCTCTTGACTTCGTGACTTTCTGGACCTCCGTCAAGTCGGTCACCGCAACAATGACGGTCGCTTCGGTGCTTCCTTGTGGCCTTGGGGCTTGGAGGGATTCCTGTCCCCCCTGGATCGGTGGATGCACCGATGCACCCCCTGTTTGTCCCCGGATTTGACTTGTCCTGACTTGTCTTGGTCGGGGTCCTTTTTTCCTTTCTTGTTTCTTGTATTATTTCTTATTTTTCATTTCTCCTTCTCGTCTCTGGTACTACTCCGTTACGAGATTGTCTGATTTCTTTTTTTATTTCTCTTACTAATCCCCCTGTCTCATCATCCACGTGTTACCCTCCGGTCTGGAGCCTTCAAACAGGAGATTCTCTGTTTGACACGGTTGGATTACGCTTCCTGTCAGAGGGTCCGAAAGAAAGGGAGAGTTCAGCCCGCTTCAACCCTTGCATCCATCAAAGTGCCTGCAACAGGGACCGGCATCCTCTCTCTTTCTCTCGTCTCTTTGACTTGATGCCGATGTTTCAGCTCCTGTATTTCTATTTTTATTTCTATCTTTGTGTTCTTCTGTTCGCATAGCGTCGGTTTATTTGGAGAATTTCGGGTTTTTCTTATTGGTGTCCAACACTGCTTCTGGTCTGGTCCCGATCAGTGTCATACATCCTACTTACTGATCATGTCATGTCATGTCGCTCTTTGATTCGCTCGTTTTGATGATCTCGTCGGTCTCGTCTGGTGGATGATGGTTGGTCGGCTGTGACGGTCTCGACTTTCAACGTCAACGTCAGTGTCAACTGTCATGCTGCATCCACCGGTTGGCAACCGATCCCTTATGTCTCTATACTCCCACTGTTGATTCTCTGGCATGACTACTTCCTCACCAGATTGTTTACTATTACTATCTTGATATATTAGATGTGATTTTAGTGTATACTTATGCTATATTATACAACATTACAAGAATTTCTCCTCTCTGAAATCCTACTTAATAACTAAAATCCACCGATTTAGTTAATCTAATTCTACTCCTCATATCCAACCCAGTAAAATGAAGATCTTACCAATCCATCTAATCTCCCCTCCGGAAAACAGTGCACAGAATACCCCAACCCCAACCGCAGATCACTGAGTTGTCATCCACCACACCCAACGCAGAGCTAATGTACCTACCTACTTCGACCTACAGGTGCCAGCTCAACTCAATTCCCCCTCGTGCATTCAACCTAGTCTGCAGTGACACAGTATACGGTTAATTCACTTGTGCATTTGCGCGTGCATACCAGCCACCAGCCTGCCTGCTACCCAGTCGTTGGTGGAATTGTCGGTGTTCAGGTAATCCAACCCTACACCTACCTATCTACCTATGTACATATCTGTCTGTCTTTCCGTTAATTATCCAAGTTTTGTTAAAATGAGGTGGTTGGTCTGTTCTACGTATGTATGTACAGTACAGTAGGATGCTTGTTGTCTTTGCATCTCTGCAGACAAGGCAAGCGAGGTAAGCGAGGTAAGAATCTCCAAATTCATCGGGCTTGTTGGTCTGATCTTGACCTATCGAGTAGATGTGGTTGAGTATTCGACGTCTCATACTTGCGCATACCGCGTTTAGAATGTTGAATTGGGTTGGGTTGTAGGGCTAGTGAATTCCGTGGGGATTAGGGAATTGGTGCTGGCGATGGCGAGGGATTGGACTCCGTGCGTGATATCCTAGTGTAGATAGATATCTGGATATTCACAACTTGGTGGTGACTATGCAATGGAGAGATGTCATGATGAATGTCTTGTAGGGAATGGGATGGTGAATTTGTTTCTTCACGGGGGGAGATAGACCGTCTCTTTGGCTCTTCTCTCGTCTTTTCTTCCTCCTCCTCCTCCTCCTCTT